ATAGCTGATTTACCACCAGACTCTCAGGTACTTAGGTGCTGAGAGTGCAGTGGCACAAGGAGACAGCAATTAATGACTTAATAGCCAGCCATCAATACCCCGATTAACAATTAAAAGCTACACACAACCAGGAACTATATCAATGAAACGTGTCGAGCGGCCCAGTGCACATATTCTGGAGAGAGAGAAGTTCCCTGAGGATGGGCTCCAGCATGATCCCAAAGCTTGGAAAAATAAACCTTTGGTCCCAGTGACTGACTCAGATTGGATCCTGCAAGGATTGTTCTTCTTCCATTTTCATAATCCCATGTGAAAGTCCTGTAGAATGTTCTAGAAAGTTTTGCCCTGCCCCTCCTCTAACAAACTGTCTTGTCCACACAGGAAGTTGTGGAGAATTTCAAGGACTTGGGAAACCTACCCATTTTGCATTAAAAAAAAATTCAAGGATAATGAAAACCTGAGAGGGAGTCAGCGTGAGGCCACTGTGTCTCCAGAAATGGGATTGCAGAGTGACACTGTCCCTTTCCCAGAGAGGCTATGCTGGGACATACAAGATCCATTCTGTCCGATGACCGTTTCTGGGGACACCTGCAAAGGAGTGTGTGTCAAAGAAATCATGTCGACGAGATAGAGCTTTGCTCTTTTGGGCATGCGTCCATGTGGACATCCTGGAACTCAACTTCCTGAGTCGGGAAAGGGGGAAGAGAGAGAGAAACGTATTGGGAAAGACTGGGGTTTCAGCAGCAGGAGAAAGGGGAGATGTTTCTGAGTGATGGGCACTACCTGCCCGTCATTTACAGTGGCATGGCCACCAGGGATGGCTGTCTCTCCATGTCCTCCTCAGTCTTCTTTGGGTGTAAAATGGGCCTCTTCCCTCCTCTCTCTCTCCAAGGTTCTGGTCTCAGGGCCATCCCGGCCACTCGGAGCGCCCTGGAGACGGAGAGCAAGGCTGCACACTTATTGTCCCATTGTCCAAAGGGCTGAACTGGAACGAGGTTGACTGCAATCAGCTGAATAGATGGGTCTGCAAAGGAACTCTGGGTGCGGAAGAGCCCCAAATTCACCAAACACATTGACCGGAGCCGATGAGATGGACTCAGAAAATCTTCACTGGGGGGGGGGGGTCAAACCCCACCAACTATGCCCGATCAGGAAGAGGCTGTGGATGGACTCTTTCGTCCGAGCATAGTTCCTCCAGCTGAGAGACAGGAGAGAGGCTGGTTTTATGTGGCCTTTCCGTGTCCAGGTGTGGCCTTTTTTCAGAGCAGAGTCAGCCAGACGGCGTTCAGAGGGTCATCATAATTCTGGCCTTGAGGCTAATTCAGGCCCCGAAAAAGCCACAGAGGGAGTGGACGGGGACTCTCCTGGCTCAGCAATCAGCTGTTATCTCTACCGAGAAGATTTCCCGAAGGAACGAGTGGTGATCTGACTCATCTGTCACCCCATTGGTCGCCAGGGTGGATTCCACTGATCAGACTGGCTGGCCGGCTGGACCCTTCCTCCCTCACTGCCCCATGTGTGCCTCTCTCAAAGCTCTGCGTTTGGGGGAAAAAAGGATGACCACCCCAGATTGAAGGGGTGCACCGATCTTTGGTCGGGGGGAGACGATAGCTGCGCTCCCCTTCTTGCTGGGAGCTCCAAAGAAGCAGAAAGCCCAGGGCATCCTGGCAACTTGAGGTGCACCAGTGGCACACTTCGAAAGGCAGAGCCTGCCAAGGTGTTAACATAGACTTCTTACTAGAAGCTGCTAGGAGAGTCCAAAGATTTTGTGTTGCAGAAATTTAACAACAACCACAATAAAAATAAAATAGAAGACAGTGCCAGGAAATACCCGGCTGCAGGTCCTGGAACAAGAAGTTGGAAAAGCAGGCTGGGGGAAGGAAGGGTCCAACCACATCCGTCTCTTTCCCAAGAAAACTTCCTGGATGTGTCCATAAGTCCTCCAGACGTCAAACTCAGCTCTAAGAAAATGACCTCAGTTTTCCCAGCTCTCAGCCCACCCAGAGACCCCATAATGCAGAATAAAGACTGTGCACCTCTAGAGAAGACTGCAAGAGGAATGGTTTCCTTCCTTCCTTCCTTCCTTCCTTCCTTCCTTCCTTCCTTCCTTCCTTCCTTCCTTCCTTCCTTCCTTCCTTCCTTCCTCCTCCCTCCCTTCCTCACTGTAACTCAGCATGAGTTCATGCCCTCCCTCCTTCCCCTCTCTCCCTCTCTCTTTACCTTCCTTCCTTTCCCTCCCTCCCTCCCTCCCTCCCTCCCTCCCTTTCTTCCTTTCTGGCCACCTTTCTCATCAAAGCAATTCTGGGTGGCAAATAAAGTTCAAAACTAAGAATCACTGTATAAAGAAAATATTAAAATGTATCACAAAGAATTTTTAAAAATGGTGTCTGAGAATTTCAAAAACCTCACAAAATAACGTCAGGTCTCCTGGCCTTTCCCAACTCCCTGACCCCAATCCGTGGGGCAACTGCCAGATCTCGGCATTTCCCCGAAGGCTGGCAAGGTGGAGCCTATCCTGATCTTGGTGGCAAGATGGTCCAGAGGGCAGGTGCCCTGGCTGAAAAGGCGTGTTTCCTGGGTCCCACAGAGACCTTCTTTAAATGCCCCTCCTATGGGGTCCAGCCGAGCGGGCAGAGACCACCAGAGGGAGACAAGGCTGTGGGTGTTTGGGCCCCGTACCATAGAGAGCTCTGCAGGTGACACCCAGCACTTTGAATTCTCAGTTGGGCGCAGGAAGTCCCGCCCTCGCCCCCTGCTGGGTGGGGTCTGGTACTTTCTCCTCTTCGGTTGAACCTCCACGTGAAGCCGGATGGGATCATCTCTCATGAAAGGCTGAGATATCGTCAGTGTGCCGATGACACCCAGCTGCCTGTCTCGGTCCCTGGTGGCTTAAGCGAACAGACCCTTGGCCAGGCGGAATGGATCTACAGCTGGAGTCTTCAGATTGTGGAGAATTGCTGGGTTTGCTTCGGGGTTCAGTTCCAGCCTGTCCCTTTCAAGCCCCTTCATGGCTTGGGGCCAGATTATGGGTAGGACCGTCTTTCCCCAGTTACCTCTCCTTGACCCAGCAGAGGTTGTCGTGGGTCGGCTCCGTCGAGAGGTCTACTCCGTAGCACAAGGAAGGAGAAGGGCCTTCTCCGTGGTGGCTCCCTCCCTATCTTCCCAATGGAGATTAGACTAGCCCCCTCCTCGATAGGCTTCCGAATGGCCTAAAACATAAATAAATAAATCGCATTCCCCCAAGATTTTGGGGGGTCTCAGCTGGAGGACGGAGGGGCAGGAGAGGGTCCTGGAGAGGGTCCGTGGGGACCAGGCCGTGTAGGGCTTTCAGGGTCAAGCCCAGTTTTATAAATTGATCCCGGAAGCCAATGGGAAGGCAGTGCACTGGACAATTGTGTTTTGTGTTCACAATTTGTGCCATTGTGCATTGTGCTGAAGTAGTGCAAGGTCGGAAGAGGTGGAGAGGCCCGGCCTAGAGAATTGGCAAAAGTCGGATACGACTGAATGGATAACATCACCACCATCATCATCATCATCACCATCATCCTGTTGAATTCTGAACCAAATGAAGCCCCTGAATGGTCTTCAAGGACAGCCCCACATATAGTGATGACTGCAGAAGTCCAGTGGATAGAAAGAATCTCTCTCTCTCTCTTTGTGTGTGTGTGTGTGTGTGTGTGTGTGTGTGTGTGCGTGCACCTTTGAGTCAGTCTTGACTCCTGGCAACCATGGGGAAGTCCACATGCTTTTCTTGGCCTTTGCCTTGCTTCCTGCTTCCTGGGGTTGAGAGACAGAAAGTGGCCCAAAGTCACCAGCTGCCCTCGTGTCTAAGGCAGAACTAGAACTCTCTGTCTCCCGGTTTCTGGCCTGGTGCCTTGAACCCCTACAGCAAACAGGCTCTTCAGAGTCACCACTTTGTGCTATGTAGCAACTCAGGAGGAAGGTGGGGTAGAGCTGAGCCCCCAGAGCTACTGAGAAGTGACTCGGCCTTCCCTTTGAAGAGAGGCTCTACTCTCACACAACCCAGCGCCAGGCCAGAGGTGTGTGAGCTATGGCAGGGCTTTCCAACCAGTGATATGGGTACTACCTGTGATACATTGGCACCTGGCAGGTGGTACGTGACCATCTAGAAATGTGGTAGTGGGGGGAGGGGAATGAGCTGAACCAGTGGCAACACCGCACAAGCCTGAGCGAGAGACGGCTGGAGCTGCAGGGCTGTCAGGGCTCAGTGGAAGCGCCAGGATCGGCGCTTCTTTGGGACTGTCAGGGCTTAGTGGAAGCATCAGGATCAGCGCCAGGCTCCAGCTGGAGCTCGGCGCTGATCCTGGTGCTTCTGCTGAGCCCTGAAGAAGCACTAATCAGCTGGAAAGCAGCACTGATCCTGGGGCTTCTGCTGAGCCCAGAAGAAGTGCCGATCAGCTGGAACGTTGCAGCCTCTCCAGGGTCACAGTGTCCCAGGGTCATGTGAAGGGACCAAAACCTGCTGCAACCACCCAGCAGACGGGGGGAATAAAAGCCAAACACCCCCCGCCCCACCCCCACTGCCAATCCTCAACAGAAATGCTCACAACAATGAAAACCTCGGACAGAAGGAAGAGCACGGCCGGGTGGGCAGGCAGGTGTCTTGCTCGGCTGTGCCTTAGGGGGCACTTTTTTCAGTGCCATTGTAACTTCGAACAGTCACTAAGTGAACTGTTGTAAGGTGAGGACTACCTGTACTTTATCACTGTTTTCTTGTTTTTGGTCATCAAGTTTTTAACACCCTGGCTAGGTGACTGGTGGTATTCGGATATTGCCGTATCCTAAAAGTGGTACAATGGGTGAAAAGGTTGAAAAGCCCTGAGCTATGGGATGCCAATGGCTGCTTCTCCAGGGCTGCCCCCTCTGCACTGCCATCACAATCCATCCACAGCTGTGCTTGGCTGAGGACCCACAGCAGCCAATCAGCAGGCTGCTTGAGTCACAGGGCAGGGGAGGCCTTCAGCTGGGGACAGAAAGCAAGCAAGCCAGGCCAGAGGAAAGAGGGACCACTCCATCCAGATGACAACGTGTGCAGAAGTAACACAAGAGCCAACGACATCTCTAACTAAGGAGATTCCCAGCAAGGACGTGCAGCTTACTCAAAAGATTCCCTACGGGTAACCAACTTCCCCCATCAGCGGGAGAGCTGACCAGGAAATGTTCTCACTTTGTCAGGAGGCTGATGCATCTGGCTTCCTTCTTCTTTCTCGTTGGGTAAAAAGGTTATTTTGCTCGAAAAGCATGGATGGCTGTATCCATGCTCCTGACACGTTGTCAATTGTTCATAAATCCTTGCTATTCTCTGCAACAATGGAAAACCCTCGTTCCCCAGAGGGCAACTGAAGCACACCCCTGTACTTGAACCTATCCGGTGATTTAGATGGCTTGAGGTGCAGGAAACTATGTCCCATAATCCTCCTATTTATAAATGACTTCACAGACAATCAGCATCTTGAATTGCATCCAGAGGTCCCAAAGTAACTAGCGCAGCTCATGAAGTAGAAATGGACAAACAGAGTATCGATGCCTCTGCCTTTCCCTTAGCACAGTGGTTCTCAACCTGTGGGTCGGGACCCCATTTGGGGTCGAACGACCATTTCACGGGGGTCGCCAAACAACGCAGTCCGCCATTTTTTCCCCCCTTTTCCTTAGCTGTGCTACTCCCTTTTATTCTATTGGCTTTTGAAAGCCAATAGAATAGACTCTCTTGAATAGAGTCTAATTCTATTGGCTTTCAAAAGCCAATAGGAATTGTTCAGGCTGTCTCTGCCCTGCTGAGCCCGCCAAAAGTCCCAGTCTGCAAACGGTGCTGCGCCAGTTGAGTAGTCCTCGACTTACGACCGGTTGAGTAGTCCTCGACTTACAACCGGTTGGGGGTCGCGGCATTAAAAAGGTTGAGAACCACTGCCTTAGCAAGACCCCTCGGATATTATCCGAAGGGCTCAAGAGCAGAATCTAGGGTTGGTAGGCTTCATCAAGCCATCTACCCTTGGGTAGATTTATTCAGATGTTCTCCAGCTCTTGAACTCCGATACCCAACTTTGGTTGTTACATCCTTTCTTTCTTTCCCTCACATGTGACCTTCTGGTAATATTTAGTGGTCCTTGGCCATTGCCAGAATCCACATTCTGGGTTTAGGTGTGTGACCTTCTTGATGTTTTTTGTCATTGTGCAGGCTCTGAGGTCCTCTGCTGTGTAGTGGGTTAGTCTGTATCTGCTGATAGTTGCAGAGCTGGAAGGGCAGGCAGTTGGCTGCTGAACATTGGTGAGTCTTGGTTTTAATGCCCAAATCCCAGAAAAGGGGATCATGGGTGTGGCCTTTGTCCCTTGCTGCCTGATGTGACTGGCATTTCTTTCCCCTTTATCTCCAAGCCATGGCTCCTGAGGAATTCCCAGCCAAACCACCTCCTGATGATGTTATTTACTTGAACCAAAGTCTTCTTACAAAAGTCCCTGCCAAGTACTGGTGGATAATGATTTGTGTCACTGCAGGAGTCCTTACGGTCATCTTGACAACATCAGTCCAAACATGTAAGTTTAGTTCTTCTTGCTAAAGGATCATTTCCTTTCCTGGGAGCTGAAGAAGCTGGGTGACCTTGCTTTCTTTCGTGGACGTGACCTTTGCATGGAATCCAGACCGATGGAGTTGGAAGGAAGATCCTATGCCCTTCCCGTTAAATGGAATGGAATTGATCTTTTCTTAAAAACCTCCAGTGATGGAGAAGCCAAAACTTCTGGAGGCAACTTTCGTTCCACGGATTAATTGTTCTCACTGTCAGGAAATTTCTCCTTAGTTCCAGGTTGGTTCTCTTCTTGATTTATTTCCATCTGTTACTTCTTGCCCTGCGTTCAGGTGCTTTGGAGAGTAGCTTGACTCCCTCTTCTTTGGGGCAGCCCCTCAAATATTGGAGCACTGCTATCATGTCCCCCCTAGTCCTTCTTTTCATTAAACTAGACATTTTGGCAAAGATGGATATCACCGACGGCTAGTTCTTTCCCTTCAGAATATGCTTCGATATCAGGCAGTTGTAGGAGAACTGTGTTAGTCCATGGGAGCAAAACAACAGAATGCATAAGTTTCCTCACCAACACAATTTATGAAAAGGCACAAACCTTCCGAAGGTCATCCTCATTCGATCCGATGACGAAACTCATCTGAGGAAGCAAACTATAGCTCAATACCACTTAGGCCAGTGATGGTGAACCTTTTAGAGACCAAGTGCCCAAAAACCAACCCCCGTCCCCCGCTCTGCCTGCCACCCTGCCTACTCTGCCCCCACCTGCACTGCCTCCATGGCCTGCCACAGATCAGCCAGGCAGCCCTGCAGTGCCATGGCAGCCACGCCCTCCGCTCACACCCCGTAGCATCATCCGCACGCTATGGGGCGCGACGGTGGAGTCTTGTCTCTGCTGCCCAGCTATGTCCTTGGCTGCGCTGCTCCATGCAGGCCGCGCCCAGGGGTGAGTCTCCTCCAGGATCGCTGCTGGTGAGGGGGCTGCAGGGGGAGGCAAGGCTGGGGCGATGGCGCACGTGCCCACAGAGAGGGCTCTGAGTGCCGCCTCTGACACACATGCCATAGGTTTGCCTAAGGCCTGACTTAGGCCTTAGATACCTGAAAATCTCTTAAATATATGAAATGCATTGAGGAAATGTGATGGACACATGAGCTATAGCACAGCTAAATAATATTGTAAGTTGCCTAGTGGCCATATAAATCTTATAAAATGTAAATAAACACACTTTGCATAACAAAATGCACAGAATAGAAATAAATTCTTCAAATACAAGAGGGTCTATTGATGGACTATCTACTGTTATTGGCAAGGTATTAAGCAATAAGTGAATCAAGCAAGCCCAGTTCTGTCACTGCCTGTTTCCAGGATGTGCAGTGCTGTCCACAGGTATCATAAAAGTCAAGACTGTTAGTAGGACAATATTGGAAGAAGGAATCTTTGCCTACTTTGCAGGAATGGTTTCTTAAAGTGTCTTATTTGGCGGAAATGGCAAAGATTTCGGCTTTCTTAAAAGAACAATCACAAGAGAAATTTCTTGCTGTTTGGGATAAATGGATAAAGTTTATACAATTTAAATTGGATATAAAAAATATCACTTAGCTTTTTTATAACTTTTATTTTTATATATATACATATATCTTAGTGTTATATTCTCTTTTTTATATAATTTTTTTAATTTTTTTTTTAACTAAGCCTATATTCTGCTCTGGGAAGCTCCAGGGGGGGGAGGGAGTGGGTGTTTTGGGGGGGGGGTGGGGAAGGGTTGTTTTGTTTTGTTATGGTTAGTTTTTTGTTTATGTTGTTCTTGTATTGTTATTTTTTTGTTTTTCTGTAAAAATTTATAAAAATTTTCAATAAAAAAAAAAAGTCAAGACGGTGACCACAGTGATACAATTAATACTTCACCTGTTTTTCAGGTGTTGTGTTGCAGCTGCCATCTTGAATTTTTGACACCTCTTAGCATGACAGTCATCAAGGGGAATAAATAACTTTCTTAGGCCCTGGGGAACCAGTACTCATTGGATTAACTTTCTTCCAAGAGGTTGGATTGGTGAACGCTGACAGTCCAAGCATCAAGAGGGCATCTTCAAACCTTAACCTCTATATGTCTCCATTACTCTAGACAATGCACTGCTTGCTGAAGACTGGAGTCCTTACGATGGGCCTATGAAAAAACTGAGGACTACTTTGTCAATTGGGGTTAGGGATGAAAAGATCAAGCATATTGAGAATGGTAAGTGAAGAAGGTGATCCTGACTTGTGTCTGACTAGTTTGGGGCCACAATCCTATTTGGAGACCAGGGAAGAAGAAACGAAAGGCCCAGACTGCCAAGTAACATCATGGTTGGAAGAGGTTGGAAGAATGGTGTGGAGTCTGTCTGGCACACAAGGCTACGGGTGCTCCTTCGTTCAAGGGGGTCTTGCCCAACACCAGTTCCAGGCTTAGTAGGTCCTCCATAGTGAGGGTTATGAACCACCTCCTGGCAGTTTCTCCTTGTGGAGTGTTTGCCTCTGCTTCACGGATCCCAGGCCCTGAAGAGTTTGCTGTTCCAACTATTGACCGTGGAAGTGACTCTCCCCTTTCCCCCAAAGTCTCCTTCCGTAAGGCAGGTGGGTTTTTTGACCCCAGCAAGGAGGTCAAGGGATACCCAGTCAGCAACCTGGAATTAGGAGGAGTCCAAGGACCTGTCTAAGGTGGCTTGCGGTTCATGAGGGTTTGTGCTGATTGCCAGAGACAAGAGCAAAGCCAGGTAAGGCTAACAGTTCAAAAGGAAGCAGAATATGATGCTGAGGACAAGGGATGGGCAAGGGGACAACAAGCCCATTCATCGGGACGGTGTGGACTCTGAGGGCTTCGGCAACCTTGGTTGAGCTCTGCAGCCTTGAGCAGCCCCTGTGTGGGGATCCATCTGAGGATTAGGGGCTGTGGAGTCCTCGGTGTTCTCTGAGCCTGGTTGGGTTTTGGGGAGAAATTTCATTACCCAACTAGCTAACATCTCTAGCACTGGAGACAATAGCGAGTTGGGGAATGGAATATCTCCAAAAAACAATAACCAAGCTCAGAGGCCACCCAGGACGCCACTGTTCAGCCTTGAGCTCCAAATATTCTCTTCTCTAGATAATTCTAGGTCTGTTTGGCCAGACCGGGAAGTTTTTTAAAAAAAAATCTCGAAAGGCTGGAAAATAATCCCACCCTCCCGATCATCACTGCCCTTTCCTAGACCTTCGGGGGGGGGGGAAAGGCATTTCCAAAGCTTTTAATCCACCAGGGTTTCTCCACGCAGGTGTCTGTTCTGTGTGTGGGACAGGAAATCAGCTTCTAATTACATCTGGTTTTAGCCCTAAAGGTCTCAAGGTTAGTAGAGAGACTGCCGCAACTGTACAAGGAGTCTGAAGGTGGCTTTGCTGCAGACAAAAAGAAATATCGTAAGTCTTTTTGTTTTGAAAGAGAATGCTATGTTGTGGTTTATCATTCTACCCCAGTGTTTCCCAAACTTGACAATTTTAAGGCATGAGGACTTCAACTCCCAGAATTCCACAGCCAGCGTTGCTGGCTGTGGAATTCTGGGAGTTGAAGTCCACATGCCTTAAAATTGTCAAGTTTGGGAAACACTGTTCTACCCCAATGTAGCACAGAAGGAGACTATAAACACCTGTATGCACATCAATATCTGTGAATTCACCTTTTTAACCTCCCAAATTTAAGGCACTAAAGTTCTGATGCTGAATGTCGTCTCCTCTCCACCTCCTCTCCTCCTCCTCTTCCTTTTTCTCCTCTTTCTCCTCCCTCCTCCTCCTTTATCTCCTTCTCCTCCTCCTCCTCCTCCTCCTCCTCCTCCTCCTCCTCCTCCTCCTCCTCCTCCTCCTCCTCCTCCTTCTCCCGGTGCACAAGACTGCTTTAAAGCAGTATCTCTGAAAACATTTTCCCCTAAATGTTCATCCAGTTTTGGTCACCGCGATGTAAAAAAGATGTTGAGACTCTAGAAAGAGTATAGAGAAGAGCAACAAAGATGATTAGGGGACTGGAGGCTAAAACATATAAGGAACGGCTGCTGGAATTGGGTATATCTAGTTTAATGAAGAGAAGGATGAGGGGGGACAGGATAGCAGTCTTCCAGTATCTCAGGGGCTGCCCCAAAGAAAAGGGAGTCAAGCTCTTCTCCAAAGCGCCTGAAGGCAGGACAAGAAGCAACGGATGGAAACGAACCAAGGAGAGAAGCAACTTAGAACTAAGGAGAAACTTCCTGACAGTGAGAACAATTAACCAGTGGAACCAGCTGCCTCCAGAAGCGGTGAATGCTCCAATACTGGAAGTTTTTAAGAAGAGACTGGACAGCCTTTTGTCCAAAATGAAATAGGGTTTCCTTCTTGAGCAGGGGGTTGGACTAGATCAGGGCTTTTCAACCAGTGATACGAAATGTTGAAAATGTGGTAGCCGGAGAGGGGAATGAGCTGAACTGGTGGCAGCATCGCACAAGCCTGAGCGAGAGACGGCTGGAGCTGCAGGGCTGTCAGGGCTGCGCGGAAGCGCCAGGATCGGCGTTTCTTCAGGACTGTCAGGGCTTAGTGGAAGCATCAGGATCAGCGCTAGGCTCCAGCTGGAGCTTGGTGCTGATCCTGGCGCTTCTACTGAGCCCTGAAGAAGCACCAATCAGCTGGAAAGCAGCACTGATCCTGGCACTTCTGCCGAGCCCAGAAGAAGCGCCGATCAGCTGGAATGTTGCAGCATCTCCAGGGTCGTGTGATTTACATTCAGATGCTTGGCCACTGATTCATATTTATGACGGTCCCAGTATCCCAGGGTCATGTGAAGGGACCAAAACCTGCTGCAACCACCCAGCGGACGGGGGGGAATAAAAACCAAGGGATTGAGCCCCAACTGAATTCTGTTTTTAATGCGTTGAGGCTCTACAGACACAGTTAGATGCAAAAACTGAACTCACTCAATGCAGGTTCTGCTAACATATATTTTCCTCTTTGTGTTAATTCCTCTCAGAAGCTCTGTTTAAAAGAGGATCAAAAACTAATGATAACTGGAGGCTTTTTGGCTGGAATCTCTACTATATTTCAAAAGCAAATGAAAGGAAAACCTGGCATGATGCTGAGTACTTCTGCAAGTCCAGAGACTCCCACCTGACCTCCATCCTGAATGAGGAAGAACAGGTTGGGTGTATTTTTTTTTCTTCATTTCCTCCTCGTATTTGGGTTTTTTTTGACATAGAACTTCATCTTGGCTAAATGTCTGCATCTTTCTGTCCTCCTCTGTCTGTTGTTGTTTTCAATTTCCACACACAAATGTTTGACAACTTTTTTTGCAAATGTGGTTGCATCTGCTCCTTTCTCATGTAATTCGAAGCAGTGGTCTGCAAACTGATCAAGGAGAGATGCAACCTAGAACTAAGGAGAAATTTCCTGACAGCGAGAACAATTGACCATTGGAACAGCTCACCACCAGAAGTTCTGGGTGCTCCAACACTGGAAATTTTTAAGAAGAGACTGGACGGCCATTTGCCTGACATGGAATAGGGGCACCTGCCTAGGCAGGGGGTTGGACTAGAAGACCTCCAAGGTCCCTTCCTGCTCTGTTACTTGTTATCTGAACTGGCCAGGACAGTCTATGCAATGGGGCCACAATTAGAAGATATGGCTCCCTTTCAGAATAAACTCTTTGACTCCCATTCCCCACTCAGAAGCCTGCTACCCATGTTCTTGACGTGCTTTCATTGAACAAGGGTGGGGCATAAAGGTGGAAGCCCCCATGTCCCATCTTCAAAATCGTGATGTGACTTACCTCACCACAGCATGGAGCTGATTTTTCGTCGGGCAGAGTGGAGTCCTTTGGCGAACAACAGTGACCTGTTCATGGTTAATTTTAGGCACTGGGGCTACACAAACCCAACCCTGAATCTCTTGAGTGTGGAATCCCGTCTTGTGAAGCTGCTCCATCTTCCTTTTCATTTTTGTGTCTTTGCAGAAGTACCTCTCTTCCAAGCTGAATGAGTCTGCCTGGATTGGCCTAACAGACGAAAATGTGGAAGGTCATTGGGAGTGGACGGATGGCTCCAGATTAATAAGAAAGTGAGACTCCAGGATACAATCATTTGAAAAGTTGTACTTAAAAGCGGTAGCTTTTCAGAAACTGTGGTTAAATTTAGGCTCCAGGCAGCTCGGATTGGCCTGGGTGCTACAGAGCACGCTTAATGCTTGAAGGGTTGATGCTAAACACGGAGTTTATGCATGCTTCCTGTCGTCCTACGATACACTGGACCCGGACAAGACAACAATATTACGGCTTTGTACAATGGCCTGCTTTCACATAACCTGCTGAGAAAATGGGCTGAACCAAGAACAACCCAACCTTGCCTAATGTTGTGTGAATGCAGTTCATTTGTGCCAATTTTTGGTCCAAGACAGGCTATGCTTCGGAATGGAGTAAAGGTTTTGGCCTCTGCCTTATGGATGTCTCATGCAATCGGTCCTCTTCTCTTTTGCATGCCGGTCCTGCAAATTCTGGCTGAAGAAGCCCACATTGGCCTGATCTAGCATCTCCAGGGATTCTGGCAACCTTTGTGGACTATTTTGCCTGGGAAAGTGAATGACGGTGGCAGCAGTGAGGAGAAGAGGGGCAAGTCCCCCAGACATCCTCCACGCCTCCTTATCCCCACCTCCGCTCAACGTTGTCTTTCCTTTAAACAACTTTGTACTCCTTTGGCTGCATGTAGAAATCCAACTGTCAGTCCTGCCCCAACTTGGTCCCTTGAGTAAGAAAGACCCTCGACTCCATTCGGTGTGAAAGGTTTACTTTACTAAAGACCAAGTGGATTACAGTACAACAAAGTCAGAGCTGAAGTTTGCATGCCAAACTTTCCTGGTTGACTTTCCCCATCCAGATCTTCCATCCTTGCTGGTCTCTTATTGTCCAATTATATTAGAATAAATTGTTTTGGTTACTGTTTCTGCAACGGTGGGCAGGTTGGTGAGCCATTGTGTTCCGTTCTCAGCGCTTTGACCTTGAGATGGTGTCTCTGGAAGGGAGGACGAGTTGTGAGTTTCCTGCTCCCCTCCAGATCAGCTCCCTCCCCCCCCATACTTCATGGCAGGCTGGCAGCTGGTGAATGCGAAGCTCAAGCGTATGAGGCCAGTTCTGACACCAACCTTCCCTGTCTCTCTTCTTAGATACTGGGCCGAGGGCAATCCCAACAGATCTGTCAGAGATGGAGAAGCAGATGAAGACTGTGCTGCCATAAAACCCTCAGGAAGTGATTTGAACTGGATCGATGACGATTGCCAAGAATTTAGAAGATGGGTTTGTAAGGAGAGATTAGTTGCAGGATCCAATTAGCTGGAGAGATTAGTGTCTGGTGACACGTAAAATTCATCAAATTCATGTTGACTGACGCATTAAAGATGGAGGGGAAAATGAGGAGGAAGATGACTTTTTAGAACCAAACCTTATTGGATTTCTAGTCACAAAATAAACATGCACTCCCAACTATAAGGGTCTCCAGTATGGTAACGATAGAGGCAAACCACACAGCTTTCTGCCATTTAAGAAGATACGACAATCAGCAACAGGAAAGGATTTTTTTTTTCCCAAAATGTTTTAAATGTGCACGGTATTCACAAGCAGAAAGAGAAGCTAGTTGTTGAAGAAACATTTTTGGGGGACGAATGACAGCAACTGCAGTCTATTGATCTTTTGCTACCAGAAGTGAGCTATGACCGAAGAATTTGGCAGACGTTATTTTCTTCATCCGCAACTCTCAAAGCTTTTTGAAACAACACTGTTCTGCAGGTAAACGTGGCAGAATTTTCTTTACAGAGCTAAACTATTGATTTTTGCTAGGGTTTTTTTCTCTCTCTCTTTTTTTTTTGTATATTTGCCTAGCGATTGGAAAACACCAATCCTATCCCATTCCCTTTGGACTGGGGTCCAGTTTACAAGCTGGGATCCTTTTTGCATGGCAGTTAAGATTGCTCCAGCAATTCCCAGGTGTAAGACAATCTTTTTTAATTTCAACACACTTGTCCCTTGTGAAGGAGGCGGGGTCTGGCTTATGGGCCATCCAGAAACTGAAAAAAGGAGAAGGAATCCTCATTAAAACCATCATTTCCTTGTCACCTGAAGGGCTTCCAAACTATGCAGTAGCCCAGATCTCTAAAATGACATATAATTTCATTGGAGTCCAATGAACAAAATGAATCAAGAGCCAGCTGGCCTAGTGGCTAAGGCACCAGGCTAGAAAGTAGGAGACTGGGAATTCTAGTCCCACCTTAGGCAAGAAAGCCAACAGGGTGAATTTGGTCCAATCACCAGGCGATCCTGAGTTGTAGCCCAGCCTTAGGTATGGAAGCCAAAAGGGTGAATTTGGGCCAATTGCCAGGCAACAGCAAGTTCTAGTCTTGTCTTAGGCATGAAAGCCAATGGGGTGAATTTGGGCCAATCGCCAGGCGACCGTGAGTTGTGGTCCTGCCTTAGGCATGAAAGCCAACAGGGTGAATTTGGGCCAATCGCCAGGCGACTGTGAGTTGTGGTCCTGCCTTAGGCATGAAAGCCAACAGGGTGAATTTGGTCCAATTGCCAGGCAACCGTGAGTTGTAGTCCTGCCTTAGGCATGAAAGCCAATGGGGTGAATTTGGGCCAATCACCAGGCGACTGTGAGTTGTGGTCCTGCCTTAGGCATGAAAGCCAACAGGGTGAATTTGGGCCAATCGCCAGGCGACTGTGAGTTGTGGTCCTGCCTTAGGCTTGAAAGCCAACAGGGTGAATTTGGGCCAATCGCCAGGCGACCGTGAATTGTAGTCCTGCCTTAGGCATTAAAGCCGACAGGGTGAATTTGGGCCAATCGCCAGGCGACTGTGAGTTGTGGTCCTGCCTTAGGCATGAAAGCCGACAGAGTGAATTTATATTCTCCACCTTGAGCTATTTGTAAAAATAATAAAGGGGGGGGACAAATTGTTTCATTAGGTTAGCTCAGCCAAGAAAAAATATATCTACTTCTAATAATTTAATACATACCTTTTAATATTCCAAGGATTCTCAAACTTTGTGGAATTGCCAGCGCCCACTGAGGTTTATGCAGGAGCAAGGCTCCAATCAAGCCGAGCGAAGATGCTCAAGTTGTTTTTAAAAAGGTGAATCTCAGCTCCTCCGAGATGCTCGTGATCCATCTACCCTTCCAGGGGCATGCCTACCCCTCAACCCACAGCTTGAAAACCTCTGTTCTAAGGAGACTTACACTTCCTGTTCTTTGCCCTGTTCTAGGAACAACTTTGGGAGAGGTCCATTTTGCTTCCCAACAAGCCAGACTTAGGAGGAACTAATCCTTGAGCTTGAGACCCAGCCAGCTTTTGGGCAATTGTTTTTTTCCTTGCTGCATTCAGTTTGGATGCAAGTAGGAGTTCCTCATTTTCATAGTTGAGTCTCGAGAGTGGCTAGTCGTGCCACTAGACCAGGGGTCTTCAAACCTGGCCCTTTTAGGACTTGTGGACTTCAACTCTCAGAATTCCTCAGCCGGGCATGCTGGCTGAGGAATTCTGGGGGTTGAAGTCCACAAGTCCTAAAAGGGCCAAGTTTGAAGACCCTGCACTAGACCCTCCACTCAAAGGAATCCAGTCAGCTTGCATTTGGTGCAGGTATAATCTGGGCCCTCCATGGGGATGAATACATATATGACACATACTTTGCAAATCACCACAGTGCTAGCCTCTTTTTCCATGTCTTTGTCGTTCCTCGTGGAAGTGTTCCCAATAAATCCAAAGCAAGCAGAATCTTTTAAAATAATCTTTTCAATACTGTAGTTTGGGGATGGGGGGGGGGGGCGCTTCCCTCTGTTAAAAAGCAGTCTTTGGCTCCCTCTTGTGGCTAATGTTAAAATAGTACTTAACAAACAAAGGCGAATCAGGGGTTATTTTTAACCATTGGTATCATGTTTTTTGCTGGAAAGTGTAATACTCCCTCAAAATATAATTTATCAACCCACAAAGAGGGGGGGGGGAAATCATTCGGCTTACAAAAAAAAAAAAGATTTACAGCCATAAGTTTTCAGTTAACGTAAAAAGGAATAGGAAAAAAAAGTAAACCCATCTTCTTTAGTTCTTTGTGTATTTATTTGTCACACACACACTCTCCTCCCATGTTCTTTGCTGGGCTCACAAAAATCACAATTCCTTTTCCAATGCTAAAGGCAAACAAGCAATCAAAAGGGAATAAGAAATAGCAGGAGATTTTCTATTACCTATTTCTTTAAAGGAACGCCTGTTTTTTTGTGGGCAAAAAAAAAAAGTCATTGGAAGCCTCTCATCTCAGCTGAATCCACCTGAGAAGCTTGCAGACGATATTATAATCTCTTCTTAATAATTTACACTATAAAGGCAAAAGAAAAAAAATAGTTCCTAGACTCACTGTGGATGATACGGCGTCTTCCCATCGATCCACTGCCAGTTTTTCTCAAGAAATTGCAACCCAACCCAGATTCCTTGATTTAACTTTTTGGACTGAGACTCCAGAAATAACTGCAAAGGATACAAACCGAAACCAACATCAGATGAAAAGTTGATTAAGAAACTGTATACTCTTCTATTAAATTTTAAAAATGGAAGATGAACAAGTGAAAGAGACAACGATAACATGGGCAAAAAAAATTGGGCATAATAATATAATTAGAAAAATGGCAAAATCCTTGGGAAAGAAACTATAAATTGACAATGGCAACTGCCTACAAAGAAAATTTATATAAAATGTTTTATAGATGGCATTTACCACCTGCGAGATTAGCAAAAAAGTTTAAAAACATGTCTAATAACTGTTGGAAACTGTAGGCAAAAACCAGGCATGTACTATCTATCATCTTTGGTGGACGTGCCCTAAAGCAAAAAAAGAAATTGGACAAAAATACATATTTGGTTAGAAAAGATGTTAAGAAAAAGTAGATTTTAAACCAGAACTATTTTTATTAAGTTAGTAGAGGACAGGAAGACCTGGAGAAACATTGTCCATGGGGTCGCGATGGGTCGGACACGACTTCGCAATTAACAACAACAACAATTTTTATTAAGTATAATATCAGAAAAATATGATAAAGAAAATGTATATTTAATGTTGCATGCATTAACAGCAGCAATAATTGTATTTGCTCAGCACTGGAAAAATGAAGAAACTCCATCTGGAGAAGAGATAATCAAGAAAATACTGGACTGTGCCGAAATGGATACACTTACGCTGTAGATGAAAGAAAAAGACGATACAGAATATTTTCAAATATGGGGTGTATTTTATCAGTGGCCGGAAAAACGGGGTCGAGATTAGGAATTTAATATGCATTGCCAAGTGAAACAAATGGACCCAGACAACCCGTTGTTTACCAAGCACCTATGGATTGTAAATATAGAAAACTAATACAATATTATATTAAAAAAAAGAAAATGAAACAGGAAAAGGGGCAGAGATTGTCAGTCTCCCCATTTTCACTGCAAGAATTGGGAGGTTGAAAAGCAATCCCAGCTCTCCCTGCGAGAAAAGGCCTTTAAAGAGCTGGGCTAAGTCTTCCCGATCTTGTGACCAGGTACTCTTGTCCACTTACCTCTACCTGGGGATGGATGACAATAGCCAGCGTTGTGTTTATGGATTCACAGGTCTTTTGGGCTTCATAAAACGTCACTAGGTCAGAAAAGACGTAGTACAGGCTGCCGTTGATCACCGTCCACCCATGATTTATCATTGCAAGGGTGTCTTCTTTGAACCATGCAAGGAGCAGAGAAGAGAAAAAAGACAATTTACGGGGGGATATGTTTGTCAGTAGGATTGTGCATGCATATGACAGGAGTAGATTATTAATCAGAAATTTCTAATGAATCTAAAGGTCTGCAGGAGAAGCCACCCGAAAGTCATAAACTCAGGCAAGTTAACTATGTACAAATCAGAAAAGCAGAAGTAACTGTGAGAGGGACCTCGGAGTCCTAATAGACAATCACCTAAATATGAGCCAGCCGTGTGCTGCAGCTGCCAAATAGGCCAACACAGTGCTAGGCTGCATTAACAGAGGGATAGAATCAACATCACGTGAAGTATTAATACCACTTTTCAATGCCTTGGTAAGGCCACATTTGGAATACTGCATCCAGTTTTGGTCACCACGATGTAAAAAAGATGTTGAGACTCTAGAAAGAGTACAGAGAAGAGCAACAAAGATGATTAGGGGACTGGAGGCTAAAACATATAAGGAACGGTTGCTAGAATTGGGTATGTCTAATTTAACGAAGAGAAGGACAAGGGGGGACATGATAGCAGTATTCCAATATCTCAGGGGCTGCCATAAAGAAGAGGGAATTAAGCTATTTTCCAAAGCACCTGAAGGCAGGACAAGAAGCAACGGGTGGAAACTAATCAAGGAGAGAAGCAACCTAGAACTAAGGAGAAACTTCCTGACAGTGAGAACAATTAACAGTGGAACAACCTGCCTCCAGAAGCGGTGAATGCTCCAACACTGGAAGTTTTTAAGAAGAGACTGGACAGCCATTTGTCTGAAATGGTGTAGGGTTTCCTGCCTGAGCAGGGGGTTGGACTAGATGACCTCCAAGGTCCCTTCCAACTTTACTATTATTATTATTATTATTAAGTTGCTGGCTAACCGAAACCACAAGCAGAGGAAATATAGAAATAACTATAGGAGCCAAGCTTTGTTAACAGAAAATTAGATGGTGATAGATAAGACGTGCACATAGGGGCTTCCTCAAACATAGGGGGGGGGATAGTGGTTTTAGGCAAGGGGCGTTGAGAGCGATAGGGGAGGGGGGAATCTCTTTAAGGTGTGGCTGGACTCCTATGTGTGCTTCAGCTCACCAAGCCTTTGCAAATGCTTCTTCTCAAATAAAACTTGGTGGCTGGAATTCCACGTGAGTATGTTTGTTTTGGGATCTTGAGCCTCTGTTCCAAAGCCATATATTTATTCAGAGTCTGCATCAGGATTGGAATCCAGCTGAGTATCTTAGATTGGATCTTCATGTCCCCAAGAATGAATCTGAATCTATTCCACCCCATTACTTGATGTTAGCAAAGTTGTACTTCCTGCTTGTTTATCTAGAACAGGGGTTCTCAACCTTGGCAACTTTAAGACTTGTGGACTTCAATTCCCAGAATTCCTCAGCCAGCAAAGTCTTAAAGTTGCCAAGGTTGAGAACCCCTGATCTAGAACTTTAGCTGCAGAATGTGAGTTTGGGACAGTAGCATTATTCTGTAGGGCTGTTCTCATGGATGTGTACGAAACACACTTTATCAAAACACCTCCCCACCAGCAATCCACATCCAGATGAGCATAGATTAACTCCAAGATTAACATCAGGTCAACAAATCAAGAAGTAAACAATACCCCAATCAAGGTACTGCCAAACAAGTCAACAGTGAACAGCCCAACCAAAGAACCACCAAGAGCACCGCCACCAACATTGGCAGGGCAAGCCACTGGAATATATAATAAACAGAGAGCAATCCCCACTTCTTCCACCATGATGATGTTACCTAGTTAGGTAATGAAATGTCTGCAAGAAAACAACCAAGCTCAGAGAGTTCCAAGGAGCCCACAATCTTCTTCTTCTTCTTCTTCTTCTTCTTCTTCTTCTTCTTCTTCTTCTTCTTCTTCTTCTTCTTCTTCTTCTTCTTCTTCTTCTTCTTCTTCTGCTTCTTTCTTCTTCTTTCTTCTTCTTCTTCTGCTTCTTTCTTCTTCTTTCTTCTTCTTCTTTCTTCTTCTTCTTCTTCTTCTCCTCCCTCCTCTTCTTCTCCTCTTCCTCCTCCTCCTCCTCCTCCTCGCTCCTCCTCCTCTTCTTCTTCTTCTTCTTCTTCTTCTTCTTCTTCTCTTCTTCTTCTTCTTCTTCTTCTTCTTCTCCTCTCTCCTCCTCCTCCTCCTCCTCCTCTTCTTCCTCTTCTTCTTCTTCTTCTTCTTCTTCTTCTTCTCCTCCTCCTCCTCCTCCTCCTCCCTCCTCCTCCTCCTCCTCCTCCTCCTTTTCCACAAACCACCCTCACTTCTAGCACTGACAATGATACCTAGTTGGGTATGAAATGTCTGCAAGGAAACCATCAAGCTCAGAGAGCACCAAAGAGCCCACAATCTTCTTCTTCTTCCTCCTCCTCCTCCTCCTCCTCCTCCTCCTCCTCCTCCTCCTCCTCCTCCTCCTCCCCCTCCTCCTCTCCACAAACCACCCTCTCTTCTAGCACTGACAATGATACCTAGTTGGATTTGAAATATCTGCAAGAAAACAACCAAATGCAAAGAGCACCAGAGACCCTTCATTTCCACCCTGAGCTACAAATATTCTCCTATATTGGAAACACACTATCATCTGCACAAGGTGTGCTATGTGAGATCCTGAAGTTTGACAGATTTTTTTTCAAAAGCAATTGCACCTCAGCAGTGATGTAATCAGCAGCACAGAACAATTAAGAGCATGCACCTGAGCCACACCGCTTAGTTCTGGACATTTTCAGATGGCCAATTGCCTTGTGATTGCTGTTGTGCACACCTGAGTCTAATTTTCCCATCCAGACGTTGTGACATCTTCAATGTCTACAGTTGTAGGGTGTTCCACCCTCCCCCTACTCTGGGAAACTTACCTATAAGAGTCTGTATTTCAGCCCTTTCTTGATATATCTGGGCTACTTGACATATCATCTTTTCAACTTCATTGAGGATGTCAGAATCTGGGTAGTTAGCAACAGATCAGGTCAGGAACATCACAAACATCTTCAAACGCCCATAAGCCCCCAAATAAAAGAAAAGTGGATTGGAACATTTTAGTCCTTTCTTGTGAGATCGTGTGGAGATTGCTCAGTTAGGGAAGTGGACAATGTACTACTTTCAGGTGCATCACCAGGATTTTGGGGGGAAAGAATAACAACCCTGGACCCAGTTTTGGTCACCACAATGTAAAAAAGATGTTGAGACTCTAGAAAGAGTACAGAGAAGAGCCACAAAGATGATTAGGGGACTGGAGGCTAAAACATATAAGGAATGGTGGCTAGAATTGGGTATGTCTAGTTTAACGAAGAGAAGGACGAGGGGGGACATGATAGCGGTATTCCAATATCTCAGGGGCTGCTCCAAAGAAGAGGGAGTCAAGCTCTTCTCCAAAGCACCTGAAGGCAGGACAAGAAGCAACGGGTGGAAACTAATCAAGGAGAGAAGCAACCTAGAACTAAGGAGAAACTTCCTGACTTTTAGAACAATTAATCAGTGGAACAACCTGCCTCCAGAAGTTGTGGGTGCTCAATCACTGGAGGTTTTCAAGAAAAGATTGGACAGCCACTTGTCTGGAATGGTATAAGGTTTCCTGCCTAAGCAGGGGGCTGGACTAGAAGACCTCCAAGGTCCCTTCCAACTATGTTTTTTTGTGATTCTGGGGATGAATGTTCCAGGTAGGATTGTGGGAAAAGATCAGAGCTCTCTCCCTGCACTTAACTGCGTACCTTTCAGTGTTTCCATAGATTCATTGTGCTGTAGAATAAAATTTCGAATCAACTTCATGGCATCAGTGTTTTGTCTGACATGGACTGAATAAAAATAATCTAAAATAGAAGACAGCAAAAAAACCAAGAATGTATAAATTCTGATGCCACATGTTCATGTGGGGAGAAGCTGGCTCAACATACACTTGCCTGAATGGAAAATGTTGTGTATTCCCACGTGAGGCTGGAATTAAGAATCTTGGGACACCTTCAAAGAACTTACACACTGTAGCTCTATATATATTTTTTCTTTTTTCTTTTTGCTGTTCACAAGTCAGTCTTGATTCCTGGTGATGCACTTTTGGGGGGGCAACTCTGGCATGACAATTCCTTCTTCCTAGAGCTGAGAGGGTGGGACTGATCCAAAGTCACCCAACTCGTGGCAAGTTGGCTGTGGTGAGTCGGCCATGATTAGACCCGCTGGCTGATGTGGTTCCGGCTAATAAAACATTCCAAAGAACTTCCAGGCATTTATTTTCCTAAAAGTCTTTTATTGTTACAAAATGTCGGCACAGGCACAACGGAGGGATGCTAGGATCTAAGTTCTCTTCCTCTGAGCAGTTAAATTGTCAGCATGTTCCCTCCCTAAATTAGCCCTCATATCTCACACTATCCAATTAGTGTGAAGGTCAAATGTTTTCTTCCTCTTTCTTTCCCAGGCTTTACCCCCAACACCCCTTCTGCTCTTTATTAACCCCATATTTACCAGACAATTCTGCATATTGTCAAAAGCGAGAATATACAATATTTGCAGCGTTGACACTGGCATGACCAAAGTGCCACTGATATGAACAAGTGAGCTTTCCTCACACGCGTTACAAGCAAGCACCTCACTGGGAGGTGAAAGGAGAGGGCTGGTGGTGCCTTCCCCTTTGGAGAACGTTCTAGAAAGACATTGCATTTACTAACTAGAGTACGCACGTTTTGTGTATATGGCTGCTGAACTGGAAATCATAACCAAGCACAGAAAACCCAACGTCCATTTAGGCAAGTTGGTAGACCAAACATCAGAGGTTCTTTCTAAGGCGACAAAAAAGAAAACCACCCCGTTAGACGCCGTCCTCAACTTACGACTGGCAATCGAGTCCAAAATTTCTGTTGCTATGTGAGCCATTTGCTAAGGGAGGCTTGCCGCCTTTTACGACCTTTCTTGCCACCGTTGTTAAGTGAATCGCTGCAGTTATTGTTAGGTCGTTAAGCGAATCTGGCTCCCCCGTTTTGCTCGTCAGAAGATCACGTGACCCTCCCCCGGGGGACACTGCGACCGTCATAAATGGGAGTCGGTTGCCAAGCCTCTGGATTTTGATCACGTGATCATGGGGATGCTACAAAGGATGTAACTGTGAAAAATAGTCACAAGTCATTTTTTTTCAGTGCCTTTGTAACTTCGGATGGTCACTAAATGAATTGTTGTAAGTCGAGGACTACCTGTACTATTAAGTTCGATTTCAAAGTCTCTCTTCTGCTGCCCAGTTTTAAATGTTATATTCTCTATCTTAATTTTTTTTCTTAACTGTATATATCAGGGGTAGTTAACCTTGGCTCTTTTATGACTCGTGGACTTCAACTCCCAGAATTCCTGACCAGCTAAGCTGGCTCAGGAATTCTGGGAGTTGAAGTCCACGAGTCATAAAAGAGCCAAGGTTGACTACCCCTGGTATATATGGGAACCATGGAAAATGAAATCCCTCTGCAACCGGTTTTGTCTCCTCGGGTCGTCTTAACTTTTCCATGTTCTTCTTGTAACCACTCTTGGTCAGTTAACCATTTTTTCTTATCTGTTTTTCTCTCCTGTAAAATGCTTCTTGGACTGAGACCCACAGGACCAGCAAAGCAAGAAGGGACAGCAAGGATGCCTTTCATCGTGATATTTGTGCAATGCTTATTTTATTTTAAAAATTAGATGGTCTCTTATCTTATACAAAATCACCTGAGACAGTTCACAGGACTAATGGGTGAAAGTCAAATAAATAAGCCAGATCTTGAAATGCTGCAACATCCTATAACTGTAGGTGGTGAACCTATGGCATGCGTGCCACAGGTGGCACTCAGAGCCTTCTCTGTGGGCACGCGTGCCCTCGCCCCAATCCTAGGCCTTCAGCTGGGTTTTATAAAACCTTTTCGCTTTAGGCCTTCACCGCCGTGTGCAAAAAAAAAAAAAAAAGGTTCAATCAATCAGTCAATTTCAACTTCTCGCGGGAAAAAAAAAGATCTCGCAAAGTTGGAACTGATTGATTGAACTTTTTAGTCCCATCCAGTCTGCCCTTCCCACCGCAGCCATGCCTACCCAATGGGCCATGCCCACCCAATGGGAAACACCCACCCAATGGGCCACGCCCACCCAATGGGAAATGCCCACCCAATGGGCCACGCCCAACCGTCAGCCGACGATACATAAGTGGATTTTGGGTTGCAGTTTGGGCACTCGGTCTCTCAAAGGTTGGCCATCACTGCCCTATAAATTCTGCCGACTTTTGCATTTGCTGGGCTCACTTTCTAGCCCCTAATCTGAGTGATGAGCACTTTTTAAAACACACACACACACACACACACACACACACACACACACACACATACACACACACACACATACTTCTTGCTCGTCTGCTCTCTGGTCCAGGTGTCTGTCTGTCTGTCTGTCTGTCTGTCTGTCTATCTATCTATCTATCTATCTATCTATCTATCTATCTATCTATCTATCTATCTATCTATCTATCTATCTATCTATCCTGTTCGCTCAACAGCCTTGACTATCAATTCCCAACCTTTTCCAAAGCCCTTTCCCCTCCCCCTTCTCCCCTCCCACAACCCCCCCCCCAAATCCTGCCCTACTTCAGGACATGCAGCTCATTTACCTGGTGCACAGGGTTCTGTGGTCATCTTTTCATGGACTTCTTCCATCTTGATTTTCACCACCTTCTTTTGCTTAGCATCTGCTGCAGAAACTTTGATTATTTGAAAACACTGATACTTGACATACACACACACACACACACACACCCTTTTTTGGTGCCTAGTAAATATTATGTTGCTAGGAAGGGGACAGGAAAGAAAATCAGTCTGGAGAATGTGAATAATTCATTGTTTTTGCACTGGCTTGTCCTTTCTGCAACCAGAATTCTACAGATCCAGCAGGCTGTGGCTTTCCCAGTTGCAATGTATGGCTGTGAAAGTTGGACCCTCAGAAAGGCTGAGCGCCAAAGAATGGAGGCCTTTGAACTCTGGTGCTGGAGAAGACTCCTGCGAGTCCCCTGGACTGCAAGGCGTTCAAACCGGTCAGTCCTGGAGGAGATCAACCCCGACTGCTCTTTAGAAAGCCAGATCCTGAAGTTGAAACTCAAGGACTTTGGCCACCTAATGAGAAGGAAGGACTCCCTGGAGAAGGGCCTAATGCTGGGAAAGATGGAGGGCAAGAGAAGAAGGGGACGACAGAGAATGAGGTGGCTGGATGGAGTCCCTGAAGCAGTAGGTGTGAACTTAAATGGACTCCAGAAGATGGTAGAGAACAGGAAGGCCTGGAGGAACGTAGTCCATGGGGTCCCAATGGGTCGGACACGACTTCGCAATTAACAACAACAACAATTAATAATACAGAACAACAGAGTTGGAAGGGACCTTGGGGGTCTTCTAGTCCAACCCCCTGTTCAAGCAGGAAACCCTATAGCATTCCAGACTCTTCTTGAAAACCTCCAGTGATGGAGCGCCCACAATTTCTGGAGGTTCCGCCAATTAATTGTTCTGGGAATTTCTCCTGAGTTCTAGGTTGCTTCTCTCTTTCTGAAGCTTCCGTCTGTTACTCCTTGTCCTGCTCCCAGGTGCTTTGGAGAAAAGGTCAAGCCCCTCTACTATCAGAAAGAGTGGAACGACAAAAGTTGGCCCTTTCAGCCTGGCAATGGGAGTGGTTGGCTTCCTAGAAGATACCACTAAGAGACACATCCTTTAGTTGTCTGTTTATAATTAGCGTGGTTTCGTAAAATGTGACCCCTTCCTTCAGTAACGGCCTTATTTCTCTATCGCCCATCTTAACTTCTCATATTGAATATTTTTTTTCCCCCTGTTAGGTCAGATATAGAATGGAAAATTAAAATTATGCCTTGTTGAGAAATTATTTGATCTGTATCTTGCCAGAAGGGAGTCAAGGTAGAGTAAAGCACATGACCTGTGACCCAGAAGTGCAAATCAAAGAGACCCCTATCCAGGGGTGGGATTCAGCCGGTTCGCACCACTTCGGCAGAACCGGTAGCTAATTTTTTATTGCCCAGGCCCAGAATGGACTTCGGGAAGCGACATCCACAGAGAGAACCGGCTGTTCACATATTTGAATCCCACCACTGTATCTATCTATCTATCTATCTATCTATCTATCTATCTATCTATCTATCTATCTATCTATCCATCCTTCCTTCCTTCCTTCCTTTCTTCCTTTCTTTCTTTCTTTCTTTCTTTCTCTCTCTCTCTCTCTCTCTCTCTCTCTCTCTCTCTCTCTCTCTCTCTCCCTACCTATCTACCTATCTATCTATCTATCTATCTACCTACCTACCTACTACCTACCCATCCATCCATCCATCCATCCATCCATCCATCCATCCATCCGTGGTGGGATTCAGCCGGTTCGCACCACTTCGGCAGAACCGGTAGCTAATTTTTTATTGCCCAGGCCCAGAATGGACTTCAGGAAGCGACATCCACAGAGAGAACCAGCTGTTCACATATTTGAATCCCACCACTGTATCTATCTATCTATCTATCTATCTATCTATCTATCTATCTATCTATCCATCCATCCATCCATCCTTCTTTCTTTCTTTCTTTCTTTCTTTCTTTCTTTCTTTCTTTCTTTCTTTCTTTCTTTCTTTCTTTCTTTCTCTCTCTACCTATCTATCTACCTACCTACCTACTACTTACCCATCCATCCATCCATCCATCCGTGGTGGGATTCAGCCGGTTCACACCACTTTGACAGAACCGGTAGCTAATTTTTTGTTGCCCAAGCCCAGAACGGACTTCTGGAAGTGGCATCCATGCAGACAACCGGTTGTTCACCTATTTGAATCTCACCACTGCCCCTATCAGCTCCCAAAATTCAACCAGACCCTTATAAATTGAATTTGGTTCAATGAGACAATATCTGCTTTGCATGCAGAAGAACCTGAAACAGGATTCGGAAACAACACCCTGTTTTGGGGGGTTCTGAAAAGCCCACAAAGGTAAATATTTGTAGGGTTGAAAGGAAGGGTCCTTGGTGCTGTCTGAGCTTGGTGGTTTTCTTGCAGATGTTTCACTAGGCAAACCAGCTAACATTGTCAGGGCTAGAAGGGAGTGGGGTTTGTGGAGAGGAGGAGGAGGAGGAGGAGGAGGAGGAGGAGGAGGAGGAGGAGGAGGAGGAGGAGGACGACTGTGGGCTTCTTGATGCCCTCTGAGCTTGGTTGTTTTCTTGCAGATGTTTCATTACCCAACATTACCTAACATTGTCAGTGCTAGAAGGGAGTGGGGTTTGTGGAGAGGAGGAGGAGGACTGTGGGGTCCTGGGAGCTCTCTGAACTTGGTGGTTTTCTTGCAGACTGACCCAACTAGGTAACATCATCAGTGCTAGAAGGGAGTGGGGTTTGTGGAGAGGAGGAAGAGGAGGAGGAGGAGGAGGAGGATCAGATTCTAGTCCTGCTGATGTTAGTTAATTTGGGTAATGAAACATCTGCAGGAAACCAACTAAGCTCAGACAGCACCAAGGACCCCTCGATTCTGCAAAGCAGATGCCAGAGAGGTTAGACTACAATGATGTAACTTTGCAGAGTGTAGCCTCATCAGAGCAAGCTTCTTACCTAATCGTGTCCTCTAGCTGTGCCATGGTTTTATGTCCCTGCTGTTCTTCTTGGGACCTCTCCTTCCAACGGTTTCAATTGTCCTTCCTGTTTCCTGCTGAAGGTTCCAGAACTCTTAATAGTTCAGCATCTACTGCTGACCGACTGAAGCTGGTGGGCCGCCAATCAACACAAAAGAAAATCATGAATTCCACACCTCTCTCTCCTTTCTCAGTGGTTTACACAGTGAGGGCCATCTTTATCATGCTACTCAGTCAAGGCCATGAACCCAACACGCAACTCTCCAAATCGTTGATTTCTAAGGGTCCACTGAGCTTGGTCCATCATAGAAAGAACACGTTAAGACCACTCCCAAGATGAAAGTTCCCCTCCCACCGACAAATACAGGCTACATACAGGCTAGATCTATTTTATATGACCCAAGAGACTCAGATGACAAATGACTGGCTGTCACTTAGGTGTCTGGCAACTCCATTCTTGGATACAGATGAAGTCAGGGTAAGAGAGGCACAAGTGTTAAAAGAATATTCACTAAATGCAGACTAACCTTTTAGGCCGCACTGCAACGGTTAACATGAATAAGATCTGAAAAAGCAGAGCTATTGCTATAAATACAGAAAGCAGGTTAGTCAGAGCAGTGGTCTTCCCTATAATAGTAATACTGGTTGAAGAACTGATGCCTTTGAACTGTGGTGCTGGTGTAAATTATTGCATGTACCCAGTGCTTTTTTTGTAAAAAAAAAAAAAGTGCCAGAATTCACACACGTTATACAACCCGCCTTGCCTACCCTACAAGGTTCCATCCAAAAAAGATGCCGGAACTCCATTCTGGGCGTTCTATGACAAAAAAAGCCCTGCGTGTACCATGGACACCATGCCAGAGCAACCAGACACATCATTAGAAGCCAAAATCACAAAGCTATGCCTGATTTACTTTGGCCAGGTCATGCGTGCGAATTCATTGGAGAAGGCAACGATGCTAGGGATGGTTAGTTGCACAAGAAAAAGGGCCAAGCAAAGAGCACACTGATATGATTCCATTAAAATGGATACCAAGATGAACATCCAACCAGCAAAAAAAGAAGCTATGCTTGACAGGGTAGCATTTGCCTACAACAGTGGTCCTCAGCCTGTGGGTCGGGACCCCATTTGGGGTCGAACGACCATTTCACGGGGGTCGCCAAGCAACGCAGTCCGCCATTTTTTTCCCCTTTTCCTTAGCTGTGCTACTCCCTTTTATTCTATTGGCTTTTGAAAGCCAATAGAATAGACTCTCTTGAATAGAGTCTAATTCTATTGGCTTTTAATTGTCCAGGCTGTCTCTGCCCTGCTAAGCCCGCCAAAAGTCCCATTCTGCAAACAGTGCTGCACCGGTTGAGTAGACCTCGACTTACGACCGGTGGAGTAGTCCTCGACTTACGACTGGTTGGGGGTCGCGGCATTAAAAAGGTTGAGAACCACTGGCCTACAAAGTCGCCAAGAGTCAGACATGAGTGAACAATATTAATAAACATTTTAAGTAAATAGATAGCCAGCCTTAGAAGTAAGACGGCACCTAAAAATAGTTTCTGTCTGGATTTGTGGCTGGGCTTCAAGAGGAAGTTGAAATCAGCCAGGCCAGCCAAGCTAGTGATGGCCTCCATCCTATAGTCAAACTATAGCCAAGCCAGTTTCCAGCCTTTCCTGAAGGGACCCATCATGGCTGCCCTCCCTCCCCAAAGACGTCTCAACTCTTCCCGCCAAAACCTGACAGACTCCGCTTTTCTTTTATTGGCTCTCGGGGGTCAGGTGACTCTGGGCAGGCCTCTTGATGGTTAGTTGGCCCTCAGACAGCCTCCCTAAGCAGGTGATAGGCCTTTTGCTCCTTCTTCCCTCCCTTTGTGACCGTCCTCAGGTTGATCCAACTGCCAATCAAACAGCAGTGGCCAATCAAAGGGCTGTTACTAGGCAGGAAGCGAGAAGGAGAGACGACAAAATGACTGCCTGAAACTCTGCTTTAAACAGGCCTCATGAGGAAGTGGCTGAATAAACAGAGCCAAAGCCCAAATTGAAACTAAAAGATAGACAGCTGCAGCCAATCAAAGGGCTGTTGCCGGGCAGGAGGCAAGAAGGAGGGATGACAAGATGGCTGCCTGAAGCTGTGCCACTGTAGGCCTCATGAGGAAATGGCGGAATAAAGAGAGCCAAAGCTCAGGAATTAAACTGAAGATTGAAAGTAAAAGATAGACTGCAGCAGCCAATCAAAGGGTTGTTACTAGGCAGGAGGTGAGAAGGAGGGAAGACAAGATGGCTGTCTGTAGCTCTGCCACCACAGGCCTCCAGGATGAAGCCTTTAAAATGATCCTCTGCCTCCAGCGTCTTCCCATCTCACTCTTGCCCAGTTTAGGAGCTGCCATGCTTTAGCTGGGAGGACCTCCATGCTCTGGGGGGGCCCTGCTAGGAAGGTCTTTCTTCACAGGTGCTCCCAGCATCATTCCTCTCTCACCCACCAGGAACCAGGATGAGGCCTCATGCCAACTGAGGCATTCCAGGAATTGGTCCGCCATTAAATCCGACCGGGCAGAACAAGTGGCTTTTCCCGTTGTGAGGTGGAAGTGGACACACCAATAATAATCATCATGGGCTTGCAAAGTATAACTTGCCAGAGGGTGAAAAAGAAGCAGGATGTCAGAAAGATCAAGCAAGGAAGCAGAAGGCAATATAGAAAATTAATTTATTTCTAGTGGAAAGGAGGGTACGACTGAACCCTTCCACCTCTCGTTTTGGTAGCCCCATAACGTCGATGCGTTGGACAAGAAAGTCTTTTTCTTTAGCTCAAAGGGGCCCCTTGGAGACCTGGCCTTGGACATGGAGGCAGGAAGCTGAACTCTTCCGTCAAGCATTTCAGTAATTCCGTTGGATGTCGAAAGGCTGCTGCACTAATTCGGTTCCAGCTTGCTGAATGGCGCTGTGTTTTATATGTGCCATTTTTTATCTGGCTTCCTCTCACAAATGGCGAAATAATCTATTGAGCAATCAACATTAGTCCAGCAGTTTGGTGCCGTCAAACAGTTGGATAGCACAATGACGCATTTGTCTTTATAGTAATTAGTTACAGTTGCCGCAGACCAGTAGCTGGAAGTCAAACACGGTATATGTCAGTCAGCTAGGCAATTAAGATAAATAGTCATCTGTGGGAGGGTGATGTGGAGGAGAGGGATGTCCCTAGGAAGGTCAAAAAAGTCAAGAAGGTGACCACAAGCATATCATTAAAGGCCTATTCCTTTTTACACGTGTTTGTAATGCCTGTAAAAATGAACAGGCATTGAGTCTGCAATCATGGCTTCTCTCTTGACATCTTTCACCCTCTTAGGGGTGCTTGTGGTAGAAGGGGGCCATGTAACTTTCTTAGCCTAGGTCTGACTCTTTTTTGGGCAATTTAAAGGTGAGCATGGAAAAGAGGAAGGAAATGAAAGGTATGAGAAGGGAGCAAAAGGATTAGACAAAGAACTAGCCCTATTTGGAAAAGTATTAAAGGTGTAAGGAGAGATAGACCTGGAAGCTACTTGGAATAAAATGGAAAATAATAATAACAGAATAACAGAGTTCAAAGGGAACTTGGAGGTTTTCTAATCCAACCTTCTCCTCAAGCGGGAGACCCAATACCATTTCAGACAAATGGCTGTGCAGTTGCTGTAATAAGCAGTTGCACTAATGTGATGGGATAAATAAAAATAGAAGTTTGAAGGAATGATGAAGTGAAAGAGACTGTGGATGAGGGAAACAGGCATATACAAGAATGACTGCAGCCCAAAACGGAGATGATAGAAAGCTGTGCATATACAGAAAAATATAGCTGCAAAGAAAGTAATTGGAGAGAGGAAAGAACTGTTGCAATTTTAAAAAGGCAGGAAAAAAAAGTCAAAATTGAAAGGAAACTTTGGGGAAGTGGCTGAATGGATTGAAATAAATATTAAGGGACTTGGATGGAGATCCTAAAAAAAGAGAAATTACTATTTTAAGGAACAAAACACAGTGTAATAGTGATGGGTCAGCCTGGTTATTTTATTATTTCTTTTCTGTGCTTTGCCTGTTGAATGTATTTAATAATTTCACCCTTTTGTCACATGACAGTTATAACCCAGTGTGTCCTTTCAGATCGTCACACCTGGGGCTGCCGATGGCATATTCCTGGTAAGGATGAATGTGCATAAATAGAGGTTTCAGCAAAAGACAAGCAGGAATTTCTTTCAGGGTTTCTATAGAACAAGGCATAGAGTCCATTACATGGACCAACTTACAAAACTTTTGTTACTGTGCCATCGACGCATTCCCATCTGATATTGAAATTATGCCCAATCCAAAAGTCCTTAGGATGGTTTGCAATTTGTCTTGTTATGAACACCTGCAAACATCAAGAGCACATCACAGTTAGAAATACTTCTTCAGTGATGCTTTTGACATCACTGCCTATTCCGAGATCCTTGGGAAGAACTCAATGCTATATCTGGTCTAAACACTTAGCTCAGCGGTTCTCAACCTATGGGTCGCGACCCCATTTGGGGTCGATCGACCATTTTTCGGGGGTCGCCAAAGGCAGCGATCCGCCATTTTCTCCCCTCCGGGGCGGTGCCGCACATGCGCACCGCGCATGGGCGCCCTGTGCATGGGGGTGGTGCCACGCATGGGGGCAGCGGCCCCATGCGCACGGCGCCACGCATGCGCAGGACGTTTATGTGACGGGGGTCGCCGTCACACAAACGTTGAGAACCACTGACTTAGCTGAATGTGCAACTAACAAAAATAACAACCACAACAATAATAATGGTAAACTTATTTGTCCCAAAGGTGGCTAAGGAAGGACTAGGACTCACTGTTTCCTGGTGATTGGCCCAAAGTCACCTAGCTGGCTTTCGTGGCTAAGGCAGGACTAGAATTCACTACCTCTGGCTTTCCAGCCTGGTGCCTTAACCACCAAACCAAAAATTCCTCCAAAGCACTTACTTCTTCCACAGTACTTTCAATACAAGCCAAGGTGGATTTTTTAGTCTCACAAAATGTTCTTGCTGTGGTCCAGTTTCTCGCAACGGTGCTGAAGAAATAAAGGGCCCCTTCAAAGGGCACCCAGTTTTTTTTTAGCAGAATAGTAATGACGTCTTTCAGCCAGTGAAGGACACGTTCCAGAGAGAATTGCAGGAAGAAAGCAAGAGAGAAAAACACAACATTTAGTAGAAGATAAGCTGAAGGTGCTGCATGTTGAAACTGTATACAGGTAGTTCTCGACTTACGATCCCAACGGAGCCCAACATTTATGTTGCTAAGTGAGACATTTGTTAAGTGAGTTGTGATCCCCTTTTCTTGCCCCACTTGTTGAGTGCATCAATGCAACAGTTAAATTAGTAGCACGGTTTGTTAAGTGACTCTGGTTTCCTTTTTGACTTTGCTCGTCAAAAGGTCACCAAGGGGGATCCCGTGATCCCCCGGGGACACTGCGACTTTCAGAAACACGAACCAGTTGCCAAGAATCTAAATTTTGATCATGTGACCACGGGAATGCTGCAACGGTTGTTAAGTGTGAAAAACGGTCCTAAGTCACCCCTTTCAGTGCTATTGTAACTTCGAATGGTCACTAAACAAATTGTTGTAAGTCAAGGACCGCCTGCCATTGAAATTTCACATCCTAGCTTCATTCATTTCCTTCCTTCCCCTGAAGAGGACTACAGAGATCTACGCTACCGGATCCCGACACAACCTTGACCACGACAAAAGTGGTTGAAAGTAGAGGAGGCGAGAGGACTAGGCTCGCCTCCTGCAGCTGTAGGTAGCTTGGCAGAAGCAGCAGCTCCTGGGAGTGAAATGAAACCCTGTCTGTTTGTTTAACGGAAAGAGGGGGTCTCAATTTATCTTTGGAGTTTTCGGTCAAGTCCTGAGACTCTTCAGGAAGCTTCAGTTGTAGGAAGGACCTGCAGGCAGAAGGTGACCGGTGATATGGCCCTCCTGTGCCCCAGTTTGGAGACCAGCTCCTTCCAGCCTGGAGTGGCTGGATCGGTTTTCCAGACCAGCCTCTTCCGTAGGCAGCGTTAGGTATGCCTTGCTGAATGTCTACGGAGATTCTCAGTCCTCCAGTTATGGGTGTCCCAAAGGTGCTTTTTCAGGAGGCAACTGAACTTCCTTGTTTCTCTTTGAAGACGTTTCGCTTCTCATCCAAGAAGCTTCTTCAGCTCCGACTGGATGGTGGGGAAGGGAAGGATTTATACTCCTGGCGGACAGCTGGTCATTTGCCTTCTTTTGGAGAGTCGTTGAGGCCACTTGGAGCTTTATCTGTGTCCTTGAGGTTACCTGAGTGGTGCAAACGGGTGTGGAGCTTCTTGGAACTGTTGAAAGGACCGTATTGTAGACGGGAGATAGATGATGTCATATCGCTCCCCGTCTGTTGAGAGAGGGCTGTTCAGTTTTGACACTGATGGCCTCTTCAACCTCTCTTTCAAACCAGCGGTCCTCTCTGTCCATAAAAAAGGCTCCACATCCATTTGCACCACTCAGGTGACCCTGAGGACTCAAGTAGACCTCCAAGTGGCCTCAACAACTCTCGAAAAAGAAGGCAAATGACCAGCTGTCTGCAAGGAGTATAAATCCTTCCATTCCCCACCGTCCAGTGAGGACTGAAGAAGCTTCTTGGATGAGAAGCAAAATGTCTTCAAAGAAAAACAAAGAAGTCCAGTTGCCTTCTGAAAAAAGCACCTTTGGGATAAGCCTTGCTGGTGACTCCAGGAACTGACATATCTGGATGGCCCTGCACGGAAAGTTTCTCCTTTTCTCTCTTTGATTTTGCTCCTCACCTTTCTTTTCTGTCAAGACGTTGATAGCTGTTTCGATAATAGTTTGAGATTCTTTTTTCATATTTATTTTCCCTCGTGCTGAACTTGTCTCCAGAAAACAGGAAAGAAACTGGGAAAAACTCGACTCCGGGAAGTCCTGACTTAACTTATTTAATTTTATTGCGGCTATTGAACTATTGTTCTGTTTTATGGATTGATTACCCAACTGCAGCGTCTCTGTAATGGAGAAAAACTGGATTGCAAATTTTAGCGCAAATCAGGAACTAAAAACCATTGCTGCTCAGCTGACTTGAGCTTCAGCAGGGCGATCAGGTGGGCAAGAGAAAGGAATCTCTCTACCTTCGAAAGCTGAGGCAGATTTTCAACAGGTGCAGTCTCAGACTGGCTTCCCCCAACCCCTGAGTGTTTAGCATCGCACCCTCAGACTTACCAATTGCACTTTCCACTTCAATGGTTTTTAAAGTCTCTAGTGTCAATTCTTCTGCTAACCTCTGAGCACCAGCAAATATTTCATATTCTAAAAAGGTTTGCAAAATTCAAGTCAGACAGATCTCAGCTAGCAGAACTTTTCCATAAAACCTTGTTACCCTCTGCAGGAGAGGCACAGAGTCGGGTGGAACATTTAGACATTAAGTTCTAACTTTGCTTAAGGCAGGAATCTAACAAAAATCAGCCTTAATAGCAAAGAGAAGCCCACCGTCCACTAAATCCATGGCTATTTTTTCAGAAGATTTTTTGTAACATTCCTATAAGAGCTGAGCAGGCTAATACCGAGGGTGGGGTCAAATGTGTCATCAGTGTGGAGTTGCTTCACTCAACACATTATGTGACCTGTGGATTTCAACTCTCAGAATACTTGAAGCAGCATGGCTGGCTCAGGAATTCTGGGAGTTGAAGTCCACAAGTCGTAAAGGAGCCATAGTTTGCCAACTCTGCTATAGGAGGTGGCCAGGCTGAGCCTGAGGGTGGGGTCAAATGCATCATCAGTGTGGAGTTGTTTCACTAACACAAGAGACCTAAATTCACACACCCCCCTGAATTCTGTTGACTTTTATCTAGCACCAATTTGCCTTGAGTAGTTCAGATTCTTGTGAATAGGTAGCATGTAATAAACCTGAAGTGCTCTGAACTAAACTCCTGTCCCTGGTTACTTGCATCTAGCATTTTCAGTCATATTTCTATGTTTTCTGTTATTTAGGCAAGGGATTTCTGCCTGTATTACAAAATATACAGAAAAAAATTATGAGAGAATAACAGAGTTGGAAGGGACCTTAGAGATCTTCTAGACCAACCCCCTGCTCAAACAGGGGACCCTATACCAGTGGTGGCGAACCTATGGCACGAGTGCCAGGGGCGGCACTCAGAGCCCTCTCTGTGGGCATATGCGCCGTCGCCCCAGTCCTAGGCCTTCAGCTGGGTTTTATAAAACATTTTCGCTTTAGGCCATGTACAAAAAAAAGAAGGTTCAATCAATCAGTCAATTTCAACTTCTTGCAGGAAAAAAAAAGATCTTGCAAAGTTGCAATTGATTGATTGAACTTTTTAGTCCCACCCAGTCTGCTGTTACCACCGCAGCCAGGCCCACCCAATGGACTACACCCAGCCAATGGGCCACACCCACTCGCCACCCGACAATGCATAAGTGGGTTTTGGGTTGCAGTTTGGGCACTCGGTCTCTAAAAGGTTCGCCATCACTGACCTAGACCATTTCAGACAAACAGTTGTCCAATTTCTTCCTAAAAATTTCCAGTGTTGGAGCACCCACAAGTATTTTATTTTATTATTTTATTTTATATTTTATTGTTTTGTTTTGTTTTGCCAATCTGTAAGATAACCACCAGATGGATCCGTAGCTGGCTGATCGGCTGAACTCAGCATGTGGTCCTCAATGGAACTAAATCTACATGGAAGAAGTGTGTAGTAGGGTGCCCCAGGGCTGTGTTCTGGACCCAGTGCTCTTCAACATCTTCATCAATGATCTGGATGAGGGGATAGATGAGAAACTCATAAAATTTGCAGATGACACCAAGCTGGCAAGAATAGCCAACACTCCAGAAGACAGGCTTAAGATACAGGAGGATCTGGACAGACTTGAACACTGGGCACTATTTAACAAAATGAAATTCAATGGTGAAAAAAGTAAGGTTCTACATTTAGGCAAGAAAACCAAATGTACAGGTATAGTATAGGGGGTACCTTGCTCAATAGCAGTAACTGTGAGAGGGATCTCGGAGTCCTAGTGGACAATCACTTAAAATGAGCCAGCCATGTGCTGCAACTGCTAAAAAAGCCAACACAGTGGTAGGCTGCATTAACAGAGGGATAAATTCAAGATCAGGTAAAGCCTTAATACCACTTGGAATACTGCACCCAGTTTTGGTCGCCACAATGTAAAAAAGATGTTGAGACTCTAGAAAGAGTACAGAGAAGAGCAACAAAGATGATTAGAGGACTGGAGACTAAAACATATAAGGAACAGTTGCTGGGAATGGGTATGTCTAGACCAGTGATGGCGAACATTTTACAAATCAAGTGCCCAAACTGCAACCCCAAACCCACTTATCTATGGTCAGATGCCGGGTGGGCATGGCCCATTGGGTGGGTGTGACCCATTGGGTGGGTGTGGCCAATTGGGTGGGCATGGCCCATTGGGTGGGCGTGACTATGGTGGTAATGCCAGACTGGGTGGAGCTAAAAAGTTCAATCAATCAATTCCAACTTTTTTTTACCCCGAGAAGTTGAAATTGATTGAAACTTTTTTTTTTTTTTTTTGCACACGGCGACAGAGGCGTAAAGCGAAAAGGTTTTATAAAACGCAGCTGAAGGCCTAGGACTGGGGTGACGGCGTGTGTGCCCACAGAGAGGGCTCTGCGTGCCACCTGTGGAAAGCGTGCCATAGGTTCACCACCACAGGTCTAGACTAATGAAGAGAAGGACGAAGGGTGACATCATAGCAGCGTTCCAGTATCTCAGGGGCTGCCCCAAAGAAGAGGGAGTCAAGCTATTCTCCAAAGCCCCTGAAGGCAGGACAAGAAGAAACGGATGGAAACTAACCAAGGAGAGAAACAACCTAAAACTTAGGAGAAACTTCCTGACAGTTAGAACAATTAACCAGTGGAACAACCTGCCTCCAGAAGTTTTGAATGAATAAAAAGCTATCCAATGGAGCATGGAGAGAAACACGGAAGATTTTCCTCTTTATCACAACTTAAGGCAAAAAGACCTTTGATAACATCTAGTAAAGAAAAGTTGTGGACTTATTTCAAGTTTAAATCCCAACATTTTTGGCGTTGTATTTTCCAGTGCTTTTGAGATTCTTCATACCTCCACAACATGTGCCAACACGTCCCCTCGGTTCCATGGCATCTCCATCATTTATTACTTTATCACTTGTCTATCTTGGATATTAATGATGGAGCTAGATACCATTTGCAGGGAAATTATTTGAAGGATACTGATAAGACTACCTTGCTTACCACTTTCATTTTTGAGGGATGGATCCCTGCTTATAACAAAGTCCATGACAACCTTAATTGCTTCATTCATGGATGCTGACCTGTTTAGTTCCCAAAGATCTGTTTTTTGTAAAAAAAAAAAAAAAAGAAGAAGATAAATATAATATTCTAATGCATTATGTTTAAATGTTATAAACACCCTTTTCAGAGTAATTCTGAAGGCTTATTTCTAAGTTGTAACATATTATGTTAGGAGAAATTAACTTACACAAAATGATCATCACAACTGTGACCAAAAGCAGGAGCAGGCACAACAGACTTGCAAGATATAAACCAGAGCTGGTCGGGTCGGGCCAAAATTTAGCAAATATTCCTTGAAGGACACAAGAAAGAAAGAAAGAAAGAAAGAAAGAAAGAAAGAAAGAAAGAAAGAAAGAAAGAAAGAAAGAAAGAAAGAAAGAAAGAAAGAAAGGAAAGAAAAGTCTACTTTAATCATCATCCCAAGAAGAAAGATCTTCGCTGTTTGTCTTGTTCCACTATTTGCAAATGTCCAGCTAAACTCCGCTCTCACCTCACTTTTCATCTACGAGGGGGGGGCTCATAAATAACCATCCCTCCCCATTTCATCCCAGCCCCAGACACTTTGGAGGTAGGTGGGGCTGAGAGAATGGCTGCCCCAGGATCTTGCCGTGAGGTCTCATAGCCAGAGGATGAGGAAGAACTGGGCTGCCGTTTCTCTAAGGACCGGCTAGAAATGGACCGTGAATTCTTCCCTTTGTGGCTCCAGAAATATTAGGTGGCCACTCCATTCCCTTTCCTCTCCAGGCCCCTCCTGGTCACTCTCGGCCTCTTTGCTCTTCGGGTTCGGTTCCCAAAAGGAAAGGAGAAAGACAAAGGCAGAGCGAGGGTTTTCCTTTCGTCTCTGGGGAAGACGGAGGGAGAAGGGAGGGCTCCTACGGGAATTGCCCCCTTCTTCCCACCCCTGGCTGGCATAGGAAACGGAGCACCTACGCCAGGAGGCTGTGATCTGGGCCTAACTGGGGAATTAATGGAAGAAGATGTAGGTTGAGGTTGATGAGATACGTGTGCCCATACTCCGGACGTACAGGGAGCAGAATTCGGCCTTTGTTAAGCCCATTTTAAAGCAAAAGCATAGGATCCAAGTCTCAGGAAAGCTGTGTCTCTGTCAGCACCCGAGGGAGAGGCTGAGCAGACAACCTCGGTGTTCATCAGCCAGTGCAATGACGAAGGGCAGCCAAGGAAGCCCTTTGAGGCCACTTTTGCTTGCTGAAGAGCCAATTCCCCACTGGAGGAAGCACCTCTTCGTAGCACCGTGGTGTGGAGGACACGCCTGGCGTTGTCTGTCGTCCCAGGTTCCACTTCAGTGAACGGAGAGGTGTTTTCTTAGGCATATGAAATGACCACAGCCTGATTCCAGAGCACAGACCGAGGCTGGAACGCTCTTTTAAGAGTATGAAACCAGGAACTGGTAAAGTCCAGCCTTGGCTCACTCTCCCGTTGTGGTTTTCAGAATTGTCTTCAGTGTTTTTGTCCACTCTGTCATGCTTCGTTTCAGCCTCTCCCTGATTCCTGTAATCTCCCCTTTCCTATGTCCTACTCTTTTGTGTAATCACATACATACCACACGCATACCTCTATTTTGCGGCGCTCGTCTGACATTGGATCTGGAGGCCACGTTGGATCTGGAGGCCACGTTGGATCTGGAAGCCACGTTGGATCTGGAAGCCACGTTGGATCTGGAAGCCATGATGGATCTGGAACTCTCTGCTGCTGCTTAATCCGGCCCTTAAATAACAACATTTGTTGAGCAGGAACACAAGACTCAAAGGATCGATTCAGATCAAAGGTGATCTGACTGAACTTCCATTCAGTTGAAGCTCATTCAAAGCATTGAATTAGGCGGTTTTGGAAGACCCTGGAGAAGTTTGAAGGTGACTCAAACGACTTTTATTTATTGACATAGATTTAAATAAGTGCCTGACTTTGGTTGCTCTGCACTGTAAAATGGTAGAACAATAAAGTGAAAGAATAAAGAGAGATGTTCCCAGGAAAAAGAAGAACTACTGTATTTAAAACAAAAGCAAATCCTAACAGGGGCTGACCTAACCCAAGACTTGGCAGAACATTGCCTTCCAATTGGTCATCAGGATGGGCGCCATATGGACCTCTGGGAGGATGCCAGGTGCCATGACAGAGATATGGACACTTCAGGGGTTCCACTAGGTGACACTACGTAAACGAGGGGACCTGAAGTGCACCCACTCTGCCAAATCTTACGAAATAGGCAGAGATTATTGGAGATGGGCAGCCCCCCAAATTGCCAGGCTCCCTGCCCTCAAAAGCTTGATAGGTGATTGACTTGCACCCAGAAACCAACCAGCAACCATTGCAGCCCATGGAGCAGTGGTGCCACTTGCCCTTCTCTGATGGTGCAGCTGCATTTGGGCCAGCTGTGACTTCCAAAAGGTTTTCAAGGGCAGTCCCATATAGAGAGCACTGCAATAATCCCTTCTTGAGGGGACCATGGTGTGAGGGACTGTCCAGGGGCATAGGGTGTGATCCGGGGACAGGCACAATTGGCACTCTGGATAAACCTGTACAAAGACCTTCTTGGCCACAGATGGTGCCTGCTCTTCAAGTAACAGCTGTGAGCCCAGGATGACACACACACACACCCATTGCAAAGTTGTCTTGACTGTGGAAGTGCAGCCCCATCCAAAACCAGAGATGGAGACTCCCAAAGGCCAGGGAGCCCAAAATACCCTCCGTCTTGTTGGGATTGAGCCCAATCGGTTCTTCCCCATCCACACACGCCCAGCCTCCTGATTATGAGACGTGACCTCAGGAGCATCATTTATAAAATTGGGAACCTCCACCTGCAGAGGATATTGCACTGGGAACTGGTGGATGGCTTCCCCCCAGAGATTCCAGGTCGGTGTTGAATAGGAGGGGGAGATTGTCCAGCACCCCACAAGTGAGGGGCTGTAGACCCAAACTCTTCCCTACCGACATCGACCGGAAGCACCACAGGGAAAGGAAGGGAACCACCACAATATGGTGCTCCCCACTCCGAATCCCAAAGCCTGTCCAGAGGTTGACCAGGGTTGCCAGGATCAAAACCCACTGAGCCATCCAGGAGCGCAAAGATGGAGGCAGCACCAATCCTGGCCCTGCCAAAGGTCATCGACAACGCAAACAGCGCCGTTTCGGTACGATGTCCCAGGCTGAAGCCGAATGAGATGGGTCCAGATCACCTCTTCCCTTCACCACCTTCTCAAGAACCCAGCTAGAAAGGAAAGGTGGGAGACTGGATGAAGATTGATGAAAAGGATCGGCGAGCCCAGCAATGGCTTCGTGAGGGGAAGGACTCTCCAAGAAATTAACCCCACTTTCTGGCTTTGCGGATTGTCAGGCGCTATTGCCCAAATTCAAGTGGGGTAGCAGGATCCTCTTTTATCCTTCTCTGTACCCCTGGATCCCCTTGACTGACAAGTCCTGTAATTCTTCTCAGCCTCTTCCTTGTTCTGGTCTTGTTCTGACTGAAATAGGTTTTCCTCATGCTTGCTTGTTAACAGAAAAGGGTTGAGGAAGCAGCACAAAAGACACCATCCCCCCAAGGCAGCTGAACCTGCCAGGGAGGAAAGGCCAACCAGCCATGGGTGGCTCTGTGAGGGGGGCAGACCATCTCTAAACTAGATATATAAAGAAATAAAAACAAAATGAGCAGGAGAAGCAAAGGCTCCATCCATCTCAGAAAGGGATTTTTGCTCTATGGAATTCTTGCTGAATAATTGAGAAGCTTATACTCAGATTTACACTCCATGTAAAATGTGGCTAGATCTGTGTTCAGAGATTCAAACCCTTTTTTCCATTTTTGGTGTTTGCATCTCTGAGGTTCAACATTTTTCCTACTAAGAGTGGCCTTTGAACCTCCATTTTTTTATCTTAGGATCGCTGTGGAGGGACTGCCAGCCTTATAAGCTCCTTCCTTCCGCCCTTCAGGGCCATTGTTAGGGCGACCCAGCTGTCAATCAAGCAGCAGCAGCCAATCAAAGGGCTGTTGCTAGGCTGGAGGCGAGAGGTAAGGAAGACAAGATGGCTGCCTGAAGTTCTGCCACCCAGGCCTCGTGAGGAAGAAGCTGAATAAACAGAGCTGAATAAACAGAGCCGAAACCCAGGAATTGAAGTGAAGACTGGAACTAAAAGATAGACTGCCCTTATGAGGAGAGGCTCTGGAAAGGAGGCAGCAGCTGAAAGAAATGGGGGGAGAGAGGCATCTTTGTCCTTCCCTCAGACAGATATGAGGGAAAAGTTCTCCCTGCCATTTCCCTCAGGTGGAGCAAAGATTTGGGAGAAGAGGAGGAAAAAGGAGCCAGGAAGGCCAGCCAGGAGCAAACAAGGGGGAAAACGTGGAATAAATAGCATGGCTAGATCCCAGGGAAAATAGTTACAGTTTTATTAAGGTTCATTTCCACAGCAGTCTTTCACTTCCTTTCTTTAATTTTTTAGCGTTCCTTTCTTGGCAAAATAGAAGTCTTAACACCCACCCCCCTCCCACTGAGGGAGATACAAAATCCCAAACAATTGTCCAAAGTTTCATGTCTTCGTTGTCTCCTTTGAGCAACATAAATGCAGATATAGGCATGATGAGGTCAAAAAGAGTAAACCAGTAAACAATTTTGTCATAAATAAAAAGTGGAAAAGTATCGTAGAGAAACTTCCAGAAATAGATTGCAGAGCAGACCATGCTGTCAAATGGATAGGTTAAAGCTGAACGATTAGAATAAGGACTTCAGCAATATTTTATTCGGGTGAAGTCCATTGTTTCTGAATCCTCAAGAGGAACAAATCACAGCAAAGTCTGGATATCTCCCCAAATTGACCGGTACTCAGACAATTTAGTTCTCAGTCATATCAGCCCCTCATGTCATCCTGTATTCAAAATCATGATGCAGGAGACATTTTATTTATTTATTCAGCTTGTGTGGCTACCCATTTCACCAAGTGGCTCTGGGCAGCGAACAATCTTAATATAAATTAAAAATAGATTTCCATCATAAGTACATGCATTAAAATAGCACAGCAGCCAAGGAGAATTTTACAGTCCGTGGTTGTTCACACCACCAGTACAAAAGGCCAGCAGGATCAGGGCCATCCTGATCTCTGGAGGAAGGATGCTCCGTAGGACAGATGTTACGGCAGAAAACTAACTATTGCTTGCTGTCATTCCAGAAGAAGAGATCTCTCAGAGGCAAGGGGGTCTAATCCATCCCCCACTTGAAAATACAGCGTGGGCTTTCCTCTGAGGACACTACTCTTTCCTTAAGAGGGAGAACCAACCACGTGAATCCAAGCCCAATCACAAAGCCCAGAGAAACGGGGGCATAAAAGCCCCTCTGGGTTGCAAGACCAATGGGTGCCCCCAGCTGTGAAGATGCTCAGGGAATGGGCTCCCCAAATATTCTGCAGCCACTGAAGTTGGCAAGAGAAAGGGAAGAGCCTCCTCCTCCTCCTCCTCATCCTCATCCTCCTCCTCCTCCTCCTCCATCGTGCAAAATATTCCTTCCACCGCCTCCTTGCCCCGTTCAGAATGGAGCTGCACATCTGTGGCATTCGCTGCACCTTCCCCAGGACGAAAGTCCCTCTCGGCCGCATGGAAATCGCTCTGCCTCAGGCACATCCTGTCTGCGATGCGTAAAATGGGATGAGGTAAGCCAGCAAGGATCCCTTGTAGATTTAGCAGTGTGCAAAGAGAACAAAGAAATGCACAGACACACCAAATCAGGCAGGGTCCCCAAGGTCTCTGCCTGTAGCACATGCTGGCTCTTTGCTCCCTCCTTCCTGTCCTGTTTCATTCTGCCCTTTTGTGCAGCCCTCTGCCACAGCTCCCCTTGAAGCCCCACAAGGAGATGCTCATCTCTGGGCTGCAGGAGCCTCTCAGAAGATTGAAACAGAGAGAGAGGGAGGGAGAGAGGAGGAATCCCGCTGCCCTCTGTGGCCATTTCGAGGTGTACTATTCCACTTTGTCTAAGGGAGGAGGATGTTCAGGCAGCCAAAGGGGAGGGTCCTTTGAGGGAAGGAGGGTCCCCATAAGAGCCCTGTTCCTTCCAAACTGCTTTGCTAAAGGTGAGGGACAAAGGCCCTTATGCCTCTGGGTCCCAAAGGGATTGCCTCCCACCCACCCCGGGTGGGCTCAGTCCAACCCCGACATTCCCCTTCCAGCTGTGAGGCTTTTACTGAGTTATTTCCTGCCCAGCTGGCCAGTGAGAAAAGCCGATGTTCATCTTACAAGAATAATGTCCATGCCTCTCCAAAGGAAGACGGTGGATAATGTGGTGGTGCCTCTGTCGGTTTCTTTCCTCTCAACCTCTCTTCCCTCCTGGCCTTGATCCTTCGGTCAACACCTTCAACCATCATTCTAGAATTCCCATTCAGTTGACGTGGTCCCCCGATTGGCTGACTGGCTCGCTTCATCAGCCTTCCATGTGTGGCATCAGTCCTGGAAAATCTGGGCCTCCGATCTAGGCTTTATCAGAGTTAAAGAGCTGTGGAAAAGGGGAGACATCCCCCACTCTCAGAATAGCAGAATTGGAAGGGACCTTGGAGGTCTTCTAGTCCAACACCCTGCTCAACAACACAACTCAATGACATTCGATAAATACGTCAATTTTCTTTTCAACCCTTTAATCCCTTGTTTCAGGGTGGAGTCAGGGTGGCTGAGTAGAGCTCAGTGTTTACTGGCCAGATGCCCTCCCTGACACCTAATGCACAGCAGATATTTGTGCTCTGATAGAGCATCATCAGCGACTGTCTAGGATTGGACTCTCAACATTCGGAGTGGAAGAAGAGCATCTTCACCTCTAAGTCACCACACTGCTCAAATAGAGCAATTAGTTAATTAAATTTTAACACAGCAGTCTGGACCTCTTTTCTAAGTTTAAGAAAATGGTTTTCCTTTTAGTCAAAAGCATTTTTTTTTAATGTGAAAAAACTAGCCTATCCAGCAACCAAACAATAGAGAGCGTATTCTGGAAATTCTTGAATACACTTGCAAGTCTAAAGCAACATACAAACTCGACTGGGAAAGAGGGTTGTGTAACCCATAAATTGGCCACTTTTAGAATGTTCTCTAGGATCACTGGAGGCTAAAACGTATGAGGAACGGTTGCTGGAATTGGGTATGTCTAGTTTAATGAAGGACGAGGGGGGACAGGATAGCAGTCTTCCAGTATCTCAGGGGCTGCCCCAAAGAAGAGGAGTCAAGCTATTTTCCAAAGCACCTGAAGGCAGGACAAGAAGCAATGGATGGAAACTCATCAAGGAGAGAAGCAATCTGGAACTAAGGAGAAACTTCCTGACAGTTAGAACAATTAAGCAGTGGAACAACCTGCCTCCAGAAGCGGTGAATGCTCCAACACTGGAGGTTTTTAAGAAGAGACTGGACAGCTATTTGTCCGAAACGGTATGGGGTTTCCTGCTTGAGCATGGGTTGGACTAGATGACCTCCAAGGTCCCTTCCAACTTTATTATTATTATTATCACTGTTTCCTATTGCTTAATTCTCAGGCTTGATTAATGTTTTTTTTTTACTGTTTGATTTCTTGCTTTCTCATCCATCACATACTGAATGTGTGTATTATTTCTTTCTGTACTCTATAAAAAGACTGGACCTCTTTCCCCCCCTCCCCAATCAGTATGTGCATTTGGCTCCCTTCCTCCCCATCTTTTCAACTGTAAATTATGCATATTGCAAAGTTTGTTGTTGAAAGGTACCAATGGCGTTTAAGGTGTTATGATGAGACGAGCAGCAAATATGTCAAATAAACAAATAAATAAATGCTTTTCGCTTTGCCTGAATCACTCGGAGATTCGTAGTTTGGGGTGGGCGAAAAAGCCTCCTTGCAAAGTCAAAGTGTTTTCTTTCCCGTACATAGAGAATGTGTTCCTTCAGCTTCGCACCACTGGGGCTGCCTGAGTTTATAGGCAGCAATCCAACGAAGGGGCTCCTGGTTCCACCAGAAGATTGCTAGTATTCTTTGGAAGGTTTTGTTTCGCTTGCTTTCTAGTCTGGAATCTGCTCTCCTATAGCTTAAGTCCCTTCTGCTCTGATTCTACTCTGGAAAGGTGGTGGGCAGGCCAGAAATAACCGTTCTTGTGTGTGCGATATCCTTTGGAAGCATTCCCACCTTCCCCTTGGTTATCTTTCCCCCAAAAGCTGTTTCTTCTTTCCAAGAAAAGTTTGCATTCAGATTGGGGGGGGGGGGGAATTCCCAGAACAGATTCCCTGGGGGTGAAACTCAAACCAGTTTAATTGCTGCCACTCTAGAAATCTTCCTCCATTAAGGCGTGCCTGATTTCCAGACCCAACAGCCTGTTTCCTGAAATAAAGCCAAGCGAGAATGAGAAGGAACAAAGAACGGCTCGGTCTTCCTCAAGCTCTGCAGAGTCCCCACTATGCGTCGCTAATAGGTGGGGGAGGCTCTATCGGCTGCGGATTGAGTTCCAGGGGCTGGTTTTGACTAGGGTTGGGGGCCCCACAGGACCCTCTTTGTTGGCCCTGACCAGTCAGACCAGCTAGCGGCCACGTTCAGCAGGTCTGGGACACCAAAACGAGAAAGTTTAGTGCCCCAGTTGTGACAACATTGTGGAATTGCGTCCCGGAGGAGATTAACTTAGTCTCCTCTTGGTGGACATTTCTGAAATTGTTGGAGACGGAGCTGTGTGGGAGAGACTTCCGCTGGTTTTACGATGTCTCAGTTTTTCGGCTTTCCCGTTTGTCTTTTTGTTTAGTGATGCTTTTCTTGTTCTTGTTGAGCCTCTCATGTGGTTTGGTGTATTCAAACACCATGGATGTTGCGAACCCTTCTTTTGTATTCTATGTCAGCCAAGGACCTTTTGAAGGCAGCAGAGTAGAGATGTGATAAATCAATAAATCCCTTGTGAAGATGGTTACCAGCATCAGATTCCTGGCTATGCAATTAACAAGTAGGCTCGCTTGGTCACTCAGCAGCAGGACAGTGGTGAAGCGGGCACAGCAGCGCCTGGATTTTTTGCCTCGCCTGAGAAAAGCACATCTTCCTTCCCCTGTCCTTACCACTTTCTGCAGAGGGACGATCGAGAGCATCCTGTCATACAGCATCACAATCTGGTTTAGAAGCATCACTGCTTCAGATAGGAAGGCAGTGCAGAGAGTGGTGAGGATGGCTTAAAAGATCATTGGCAGTTCCCTCCCTTCCATCCAGAACATAGCACATACGTGTTGCTTGAGCAGGGCCTTTAAGATGGTCTGGGACACTGCACATCCTCTTTATGGAGGAGGGGGCTTCGTGGTATCCAAACCAGAACGTCCAGATTCAGCCACAGTTTGTTCCAGTGTTAACTTATGAACTCTAAAGCAGTGGTTCTCAACCTGTGGTCGGGACCCCATTTGGGGTCGAACGATCATTTCACGGGGGTCGCCAAACAACGCAATCCGCCATTTTTTCCAATAGAATAGACTCTCTTGAATAGAGTCTAATTCTATTGGCTTTCCAAAGCCAATAGGAATTGTCCAGGCTGTCTCTGCCCTGCTGAGCCCGCCAAAAGTCCCATTCTGCAAACGGGGCTGCACCAGTTGAGTAGTCCTCGACTTACGACCGGTTGGGGGTTGCGGCATTAAAAAGGTTGAGAACCACTGCTCTAAAGCTTCATCTTTCCGTTATGTATTTAAGATGGACAATGATTAACATATATTTATTACTTATATGTAAGGGTGTAGATCTATACATATTTGTATATAGTACGTTTCAGTGTGTGTTATGTATGTGTACACTTTGAGAGCAAGCAATTAAATTTCATTTTTAACGTGTGCCATTGTGCCCACAGTAAAAAATGATAATAAAAGGTTATCTATTTAAATCAAACTTCTATAATGACTTGGATGGCAAATCCTGGGGTGGAGGGTGGGGTGCACATGGGTCCTGGGGGGGGGCCTTTCGATACTCCTGCATGTAGTTCTATTTATTTATTTATTTTAAAGATTTCTATGGCCGCCCACTCACTCTCAGTGACTCTGGGCAGCTTACAAACAATAAAGCTGAGCGAAATAGAACGAACACAGAAAAGACAGTTTTCATTCTTCTTTACTTGCTCTTTAATTTGCTAAATATGACAATGTCTTTAATCTCCGAAAAGGCAGGATGGCAAAGGTGTTTGGAAGCTGATGTCAAAGCCCTGAGTTCTTCCATGTCTCCACACTGGCTGACTGGGGCAACTGTTTTTAAGAGGCAGGTTCGCCGAGTGGCGTTTCTTTCTCACTGGGTTCATCAAGTACAATTTTGTGCAACGTTCAGCAAAGAGCTAGGACATCCATTTGATTATAGGGCCCTGCTTGCAAATGCCTTTGGATGGTTCGCTACAGTCCATTGTGACCCAGCAACTCAGTGGAATGTTACATCCACCTTCTGCTCCTGCACACCATTTATAATTAACCGGTTCTCCATATTTCCAGTATCTGGAAAGAAGAAACAACTGTTGTCAGTCCTCTAGACAAAATGAGTATCATTTATAGACTTTGGAGCAGGAAATAAATGTTGGATCCATTCACCTTCTTCCTTCACCTCAATGAGAGATTCTAAATAGCTCAGATAAGTAGAAATAGTTCTATTGTATATAATATTGTATATAATATTGATGTTTTAATTTGGAGAGAGGAATTGCTCGGGCATTTCCCCTGGACCGTATCCGGAGCGAGGAAGATAGGAAGAAGGGGAGAAGCAAGTAGGAAGGTTGAGGAGAAGGAGGAGAGGGGGAGAGTGAGGAAGAAGAGGGAAAGAGGGAGGGTAGATACGGTTTGGGGGGAAATGGGTGAGCAATACCGTAAGTTGTGTGTATCAATTTATTTTACTCTTTATCTGAAGTACTTTTATGAATGTAATGCATTGCAAAATTGCAAATAAAAATTTTTTTTTACAAAAAAAAATATGAGAGACTCTAACAACTCCAAATGTTGGACTGTGGTTGTTTTGGCAGAGAAATAGAGGTGGAGTTCACAAAATCTTGGCGACACATCTCTCCCTCCGTCCTCTTGGACAGACCTTGGCAAAAGATTATGGATCTCTAGGCAACCGTTTTTTAAAAATGGACCGTGGCACCCTTCTTGGTTGCTTTGGGCATTGAGGCTTGGGGAGAATTCTGGAGTGTTTCTATTCCTCCCTTTGCCGGTGGTTTCAGTTGGGGGAGGGGGTGGGGGAGGAGAAGTCGGGGAGATGGGTACTCATTCATGGGGCACCGTAGAGTTTGGTCCTTTCCCCATTATTATCGCCCTGCAAGAAAACATCGGGGAAGGTCGTCCATCAGTTCAGGGCTCAGTGCCATCCCAATGTGTGATGGAATGTGCATCTTTCAGGCTATAAAAAAACAAACTTGAATTAGACCCTTACTGGTTTGTAAGTAGAGTTCCAGAAGGAAACCACTTCCACTGTGCTCCGAAGTAACTATAACTCAATGCAATGTAGTAAGAACCGGCCTTGTTTAGAAGTGCTTTTTCTATGAATGTCTGAAAGAAAAAAATCCACACGTCAGTTACAGTGAATGAAGGAGAGATTCTCACCTTCCAAATCAGAGCCTCCCTAGAAGCATCAGGGGAGGAATATGTAGAAGCAGCAGCAATGCAATCCCTGCGGTACAATCACAAAGAATGGGACAGATCAGATTCCCGAAAGAATGGAACCTCCAGGAGGAACCAAGCAGGCCTTTGGCTGAACCAGCAGAGCCACGAAAGCCACGATCAAACCTAGTTTATGGGCCATTCCACGTTTGCACGTAACCATGGTGAGAAATGACCAGGGAGCTGCCTGGTTCCACCCTTCCCCAAGTCCTTGTCTCATCTCCTCCTCAGCCCAGAACTTTTTCCTCATCCCTCTCTCTGGCCTTAGTTTGTCCCCATAAAATCAGCAACCACCTGCAGTCCATCCACAATGAACAGAATCTGATGCCCACTCAAGTCATCCCACAGGGGAGGAGGCACTGAGGTTGGTGAGAGCCTATCTGCTCGCCTTCTTTCCTTCTTCTGATCAGCTGCTCACTGCCCCTGCTTGGGGGCTTCCAGGAGGAAGGAGCCCTGCAACACTACCAGCCAGCAGGAAAGGCCAGGTCTCTCAACACTGTCAACACCGTTCCACACCTCCACAATGGCTTTACGGAAGCCTCCTCGGTTGCAGCACAGAGTCTTCTTTCAGACTCAGCACAACTGTGGGCCCAAAAGCTCCATGGCAGCTTGCAGGGAGCAGCCATGTTGAGAGGGCAAGTGGAGCTTGGAAACAGCCTGAAACCCACACTGACAAGGAGCCCCTCTGCAGTTCTGTTCAGCACCCATGCAGAGCTGCTGAGTATTGGCACTGGTGCTTTCCTGTGTCAAGCCGTGGGTCCAAGCCTGCCACCCCCACCCCACCCAAGACCCATCTGAGCCCTCTCCTGCACCCCTGGCCTGGAAGCACGAGGACAGCATTCAAGCCAATATTTCAATTTCCTTCGACTGTTCTCTGGAAGTCCCAGGAAGCATGAGGGATAGGCTAGAAGTTCCTTCTAAGAGCCTTGTTATATTTTGCTCACCTTGATCAAAGGCAGGGCAATTAAAAGCCATGCAACACTTGGGATTCACCAGCAAATGCAAAGTATTTGCCTCTGTCCGTCTACAGAAACAAATTCTTGTTTGCGTGAGTTCTACATGACTTCTGATATAGATTGCTGACAAATGATAGTCATGGAGAGGAACATGGAAAGAAACTTTTGGACTGGCCTCGTTAATCATGGCCATCTTGGACAGATGGGTCGACTGCATGAGGCTGAAAGTGTAGGCTTTGTTCAGGTGGAACTTCTCTGACGTTCCACATTAGTTTCACCTCCATAAAAGTTAGGATAGAGATTGACCCAGTTCTTTAGCCATGCCTCCTGATGATGATGTGATGATAAAGTTATCTATTCAGTCGTGTCCAACTCGTGGTGATTCTGTGGGTCAGCTCTCTCACATCTTCCAATCTTGCCCCACTAGTTTGCTCTTTGCTCTGGCTGGTGCCAGCTTTGATGGTGTCCAGCCATCGTGTTGTTTAGCAGCCTGGGTTCCTTTTCGCGCTAACTCTTCCCAACTGAATTGCTTTCTCCAGTGAATTCCCATGCCTGACATGGCCAAAATAAGCGAGACGCAGTTTTGTTTTTAGTGACATGTCTGGTGTTATTTGCTCCGGTACTTGCTTGTTAGTTACTTTTGCTGTCCAAGCCTTCTTCGGCACTACAGTTCAAATGAATTGGTTTTCTTTCTGCTTGTTTAAGGTCCAACTTTCAAAACCATAGGTAGCCTCAGGGAACACAATGCAGCAGAATAACCTACATTTGATTAGGCTGATGTCCTTCCTTTTCCATATTTGGCTCATGTTCATTATTGTTGTGCAATCCAGGGCAATCCAATGTTTTATTTCTGGGCTGCATTGTGTGCCATTGTGTGCCTGCTTACTCTCCTAATCCCTTCCTGTCCAAGAATGTAAATACAAATATTAGTTTGCTGCTTGATCATTTTCCCAAGGCTAAGGTGAGCATTTTGAAGTGTGCAGGAGTGTGGAAAGAGAATTAAAGATTTGCCTGTGTACCCCACCTACTTGTGTTTGTGCATGTGCATCTGTCTGTCTCTCTGTTTGTATATAGTTATAGATATATATAGAGAAAATATAGATATAGGGAGGGAAGAGGGAGAGAGAGAGAGAAAGAGAGAGAGAAGGATGGATGGATGGATGGAAGGAAGGAAAACATGAAAATAAGGAAAAGTGCAGAAAGAATAAAAAGGAATAGAAAGGAGCTTCCAATATCCTTTGCAGCACACATAATCACACATTATTTCTTCCTATTATCCATCTTTTCCTATTATCCATTAGTCCAAAAGACAAAACTCAGTTGCAATTTAATCTTTAAAATCTGAATTAATATATGTATTTGTGTCTAAAATTCTTTGGCTTTCTTCACATCTGGATGGAATGGCACTTTTCCGGACTGAGCTGAGGTGAAATTTCCTACACTCGCAACTCCTGCTCAAGGACCAGGTGGCAGCCCTGATGGGGGCGGGTCCTTTGCACAGATTCATCCAGAGTACCAACTGCATCCTTTTTGTGGACCAGGATGCTTTACTCAGGGCTGTGAGAGATGGATCACAAGGAAGGCTGAGCACCGAAGAATTGATACTTTCCAGTTGAGGTGCTGGAAAAGACTTTTGGGTGCAAGGCGGTCCCGTGACTGTCCTTTAGATCCTTAAGCAGAAGCTCAAATACTTTGGCCACCTAATGAGAAGAGAAGACTCCTTGGAAAAGACCTGATGTTGGGAAAGATGCAAGGCAAAAGGAGAAGGGGATGGCGGAAGTCCAGATACTTAGACATGGTAATCAGTGCAAAGAACATGAATTTGGCAAACTCTGGTGAGGCAGTGAAGGACAGGGGCAGATCTGGCGTAACTGCTGTCCACGGAGTGGTAAAAGTCGGACACAACCTAGCGACTGGACAACAAGTTTTACTTGGGGTCATGCCTTGATCAACTCTCCTTTAGATTACTACAGTGCACTGCACCTGGGCCTGCCTGTGAAGACCACCCAGAAACTTCAGCTGATCCTGAATGCAGCAGCACACACAGCAATGGATTTGCTGACGTGTGACCTGCCCTGACCTCTATGCTCTTTCTGGGTACAATGAGAGGTTCCGCTCATCACCTCTAAAGCCTTATCTGGCCCAGATGATCTTCTGCACCTCCTTTTCCTAAGAACATCTACTCATCCTATCAGATAAGGGGGGGCATTCTCCTAGCCCCTTTCCCTAAATAATGCCATCTGATGGGAACTAGGATGTAGGGAGTCCCTACCACACAGGACACTCTGCCCACTAAGGTTCAGGAGGCCTCTGCCCATCTGGCTTTCCATAAAGCTATTAACAGAAGAGCCAAATAACAGAGCTGAAGCGGACCTTAGAGGTCTTCTAGTCCAACCCCCAACTCAGACGGGGGACCCTAGATCGTTCCAGACAAATAGCTGTCTTCTTCTTCTTCTTGTGCCCTATCCGTTATCAGATGTTGGCGATCCTGTTGGCGATCCTGCTTTTATCAGCAGCCGCATGAAAAAGGGCTGCTGAGTTTTGTCCAAGCCGGTCCCTTCGATTTTGAAGCCACGATGTTCTTCTTCTGCCTGGACCTCGTTTGCCTTCCGTCTTTCCCTGGAGGATTGAATGGAGCATGCGTGTTTTTCTGGGTGTCGCATCACAGGTCTGAAATATTCTAACTTTCGTTTTTTTAATTGTTTTGATGATTTCCCTGGGCTTTCCCAAGCGGCTTATCACCCCCTCATTTCTGATCTTGTCAGCTTATACGTAACAGCCACCTGTAAATCCACATTTCAAATGCTTCTCGTCTCTTCAGGTGGCCTTCTGTCAGAGACCTCCAAAGAGCAGGACAGAAAAAATATAGCATCTGACAAGCCTGGTTTTCAGTCTTAGGCTTCGGTCGTGACTGCAGAAGACCTTTTTCATTTTGAAGAATGCTGTTCGAGCTTTCTCTGTCCTTGTCTTTACTTCAGTGGTCATGTCCCAGCTTTCATGTAAATAATAGCTGTCTAGTCTCTTCTTAAAAACCTCCAGTGATGGAGCACCCACAACTTCCGTTCCACTGATTGATCGTTCTCACTGTCAGGAGAATCCCCCTTGGTTCCAGGTTGCTTCTCTCCCTGATTAGGTTCCATTCTTTGCTTCTTATTTATTTATTTATTTTATTTATGAGACTTATATACTGCTTTAAGTGCAAGCACTCTCTAAGCGGTGTACACCAGTAAGCAATGTAATATATATATTACATACATACATACATACATACATAATATATATATATTACGTTGCCCCAACAATCTGGGTCCTCATTTTACCTACCTCGGAAGGATGGAAGGCTGAGTCAACCTTGAGCCGGTGAGATTTGTTCTGCCTTCAGGTGCTGAGATGAAATGAAGTGACTGCACTCCAGACATTTTACAGGTTTCTGCTTTTAATGTGTTTAGTTTTTATAGTTTTAATATGGCTCTGGTGCTCTTTTAACTTCTGATTGTAAGCCACCCGCCGTTGGTGACAAGATGGACAGCTACGTAGCAACGGATGTAAATAACGAATATCCATAGAAGCTAATAGATGTTTTAATTTTCAACAATTTAACAAACTGTTCTCGTATTTCTGGTGTCTCAGAAGCTGAAAAGCTGCTGCTTCAGATAATGCTGTTAGCAAATGTTGTAAAAAGTCTGTATATCGTTCGGTTATATCGACAATCTTTATCTCTCAACAAGTCTAAAAAATATTCTTCATTATCTGTCAGTTGGTCCAAAAACAATATCCCTGTTTCCACCCAATTTTTTCCATATCAACCACCAATTCTCCCAATTTTTAAAGTTAGATTTCCTGATAAAGTCAGTTTTGTGTGTTTCCCATAGGTGCTTTTTCAAAAGGCAACTGTAGTCTCTCTGTTCTTCCTTGACTAAGCTTCGCTTCTCGTTCAAGATGCTTCTTCAGTTCCTGAAGAGGTTCCTGAACTGAAGAAGCTTCTTGGATGGGAAGCGAAACATCTTCAAGAAGAAACGAAGAAAGTCCAGTTGAGTTTTCAAAAAGCATCTTTGGGACAGCCATGACCCGGATAACTGAGAATCTCCATAGACATTCAGTTTTGGGTGGGGAAAAAAAATCCACCAAATATTATAAAATATCCCTTCATGTTGTTCACATTGCTAGTAAAGATGTGAACCATTTTCCCACGGTGTTTCTCAGCCTTCGCAACTTTAAGACAAGTGGACTTCAACTCCCCAGCCAGCCACTGTTCTAGACCATTTCTTTGGTGACAAATATCAATGATGCATCATCTTATAAAAAATAAACATACGGTTTAAGGTTAGAGCATAATGTTCATTTCAGTCCTTTCAATCGGGTATTTTCTCTTGGTTCCATTTGTACACTGTAACCAAAAATGTAGCCCATTTTATCATACATTGTTAGAGAATTTTAATTTCTCTAATTGGTGAAAAATAAATCAGAAGCTCTTACAGTTGACTGCATTTAGCTGATTCAAATAACTTTATATTTATATAAAAATATTTACAATACCATTCTTCTTTACAGCAACATAGCTTAATTGAAGACTTCTTACAGAGACAGACCAGATACAAACATGAGACTGGAAATCCAGCTCCTAACTCAATACTCTTTTGCACAGACTCAGTAGCACTTTCCTCACATTGGCTGACTGAGTTACCACATGACTCTTCCTGTTCATGAATATTCCAACATACATCCTTTCACCTTCTTCTTTCGCCTCATATTTCAGCAAAAGATTATGTGTTTTAGCAATAATGTGTTCATCTTTAGTACATAAATTCTATTTCAAACTCAGTTTTAACATATATTCAACACAATAAATTAGATGATATTATTAATCATTTAAATTCTTTACCCGATTTAATTATTGAATGTAAGTACATAAAAATAATGACATATTTTATCCACTCTAAATCTTTCTAATCATCGTACATAAAAAAATCATTGACCAGCATATCCTTCTGTCTTTCCTAGATTTTATTTTACAATCTCCTCGTCAACACTGTAAACAAACTTGGCTGAAGCCATTTTTGGGAGGGGGGGGGACGTGTATCTTTTAGCTTAGTCAAAACAATAAATTGTTCTGTGGGAATCAAGGTCATTGCCACCTACGTTTTGGCGCTGAAACGCTTGTTAGAAAGCTTGCCAAAGTAGTTTGTTGGGGAATGTGATTATGACATATTCCTGGGGTGGGAAGTTCAACTTTGTAACCTTTGAGAGGGAACTTCAGTCTTGGTTTCACTTTTGATCATGCCGATACTATGTAGCCAAATAAATATATTCTTTAAGGAAACCTTTTGCCTTAAAGTTCTGTTTCTACTGGTCTCATCTGTAGGAACCATGACACTCCTTGTGAAAATTCTAGTACATCACGTATTAGATTTATGTTTACTTATCCTATACTAGCCACTTATGTTTCTTTTTCCTTTCTCGTCTATAAAATGCTTTTTGTGCTGAAAGCCATAATGGTATTTTTCAGGCAGAACTTAAATTTGTATTTATTCTATACTGTAAGAATATCTCGCCTAAGATAATGCTTTTTAAAATCTACATTCAGCGTAGCTTTATTGTATCATAGGTATCCATGCCACCCAAACCTCAGATCATGACCTTCTAACTCCAATAGTCTTCTAGTTTTCAGCGAAACCCATTCTTTCATCCAAAGTAAACAGCAAGTAGCAAAAATATTATTTCAGATCTAGTAACCTGTATCCTTTTGGCACCATAAAGCAAAGGAAAACTGGAGTAAGATTGTAAGCACAATTGCGATCATGTAATTTTCATTTAGCAACTATCAATTTTGCGAACCATATTTTACTTACCTCCTCTTCCGCAGTTATTTCTAAAATAAGTTCAGCATTTTGATCTTTACAATAATTTACGAAATCATTCTGGGAAAATGTGTGGTCAGTGAATGAATAAATGTGTCCATCATATGCCATCCAGCCATGATTCAATTTATACTCAATTTTCGCTTTGAGCCAAATCAGGATTATGACATGGAGAGAGAAGGGGGGAAAAAGCACAATTAGCTTAATGAATGGTTAGGATCACGGTATATCCTAGATTGAGCTACATGTTTTTTATTTCTATTTAAAAACTACAGTATATTGTTAATTTCCTTGATTTGTTTTTTTATTGTTGCTTTGCATATTGCTGCTTATCCTGAAGGGGTAATGGCAATCTCTATAGAGTCCTTGGATAGAAGATACATTTCAGAATAATAAACAAACAAAGGCAATCTCTGTCTACGAGCGTATTTACTCATCCATTGGAGAAGTTACTCTGTTGCCTTCTTCCTGTGCCTGTTCATTAATCAATAGAGGATATGTTCAGGACATCCTAAATTTTTCTTCCTTAACTCTTAATTTTAGATATATTTCATCGTTTGCATGATGCATTCTCCTAGGAGAAGGTTGTTTGACCATTAAAGTTAGACAGAGAAGATCAAGAATCACATCCTCAGAGGCATGCTCTGAACCAGGGGTATGCAACCTCGGCTCTTTTATGACTCGTGGACTTCAACTCCCAGAATTCATAAGTCAGCTTGGACACTCTCCTTTTCCCCTCAGCATGGCTGGCTCAGGAATTCTGGGAGTTGAAGTCCATGAGTCATAAAAGAGCCAAGGTTGCCAACCTCTGGCCTAGGTCTAGGCTGCTTTATGACTCGTGGACTTCAACTCCCAGAATTCCTGATCCAGCACGGCTCAGCTTGGAAACTTCTCCCTTTCCCCTCAGCGTGGCTGGCTCAGGAATTCTGGGAGTTGAAGTCCACGAGTCATAAAAGAGCCGAGGTTGCCTATCCCTGCTCTAAACCGTCAGTTTTAGAATTTTTCCCATTGTGGAAAATGGAGGTGGTGATTTGGAACAGACCCATGGAAATTCTTGAGAGATTAGCCATACTAAGCCGGAAAATGGACAAAGTAGTCCTTGCTTACTGACTGCCTCATTTTGGTCATTGTTCAAGCCACAACATCATAAAAGCTGGCTTTCTAACCAATCCTCGTACCTACAATCATCTTGGCATTCGTCCGTCGCATGAGTTGCAATGGGCTTGCCACAAGCAGGATTAATAAAAAAAGCAGAAGTAAAACCCTGAACCGTGGTCCCGAGAAGTTTCCTGAATGACCACAGGAAGTTGTAAGCCCATCCCGGTCCTGTGATTTTTCTGCTCAGTGACGGCTGTGTTTGGTGGTGGGGTTGCTGCTCCCAATTTGGGTTGCTAAACGAGGACTACCTGCAGGTTTTGTTTGCCCAAATCCCCTCCCCCTTTACAGGTGCAGGTGGGGTTGAGGTCTCCACAAGATTTGGATCATAGAGCCACAATTGGAAACCTCCCCGCCTCACATATCTACATCATCAGGGAGTTGGAAGGGACCTTGGAGGTCTTCTAGTCCAACTCCCTGCTCAGGCAGGAGACCCTCTCGTAGACACCACTGCCGTGAGACTGGTGGATGCTGCCTTTGAATGGGTCTTCCACAGACACCCCAGAGACCACCCCACCTCCAACACCTCCCAGTTTTAGGGCAGGCTCTCCTTCCCTTCACATACTGTACTTATCTGTCAAAACCTGTGAGAAACATACTAATCTCAGCTTCAATTTCATTGAGCTTTGTAGCCCATGGCAACAGTTGTGTTGCAAGCTTTTCAGCTTCCAGGATTGTATCAGCATCTGAAACAAGCGAGGCGAGAAAATTTACTTAGATCTGAACAGCTTCCTGCATCTATCCAAAGAGCCCATCTTCAAGCACCACACCACCACAAAAACAGGCATCTAAAGACCTATATCGGATTATACAGCTAGGAAAAGGCCTTCAGTTAAAGGAGAGTATTTGCAGCTGAGGGTTGAAATGAGAGGGATCTTGGTGCTCTCTGAGCTGGGTGGTTTTCTTGCGGACATTTCATTATCCAAACTTGGTTAACATCCTCGGCATGCACATGCCAGCACTGATGAAGAGTTTACTACTCAAAAGATAATGGTTAATTGAACTAAAGTAAGTTGGGGGTCGCGGCATTAAAAGGTTGAGAACCACTGAGATAGAGGAAGGAAGGAAGGAAGGAAGGAAGGAAGGAAGGAAGGAAGGAAGGAAGGAAGGAAGGAAGGAAGGAAGGTGAAACTTGTATCGCAATTGCAAAACTGCAAACTATACAAACATGGTGGCATAGAAAAATAAACAGTGTTATTGTATGAAACATCCTATAAATTCCAACTATTTGATTGACATGTTTCTGCCATCAACATTACACACCCATCACTTACTTTAGTTCAATTAACCATTATCTTTTGAGTAGTAAACTCTTCATCTTTTTAGAAACCCTACTTATAAATATGCAAATATTTGTCCATGGGGCTGCTAACTCCTGAAGGTGGGAATTTCCATGCATGCAAAACCTATTTGCTATTAGGCTTCCAGAGGCTGGCTTCCTTCTTCCCTTTCTTCCAAGGGATTGCTACAGGACTACAATTCCCATAATTGCAGCCTTGATAAATCAAAGAAAGAAAGAAAGAAAGAAAGAAAGAAAGAAAGAAAGAAAGAAAGAAAGAAGGAAGGAAGGAAGGAAGGAAGGAAGGAAGGAAGGAAGGAAGGAAGGAAGGAAGGAAGGAAAAGGCAGGAAGGAAAGAAGGAAAGAAAGAAAAGGCAGGAAAGAGAAAGAAAGAGAAGGAAATAAAGAGAAAGAAGGAAGGAAGGAAATGGAAAGAAGGCAGGAAGGAAGGAAAGAAAAAGAAAGAAAGAAAGAAAGAAAGAAAGAAAGAAAGAAAGAAAGAAGGCAGGAAAGAAAAAGAAAGAAAGAAAGAGAAGGAAGAAAGGAAATAAAGAAAGAAGGCAGGAAGGAAGGAAAGAAAGAAAGAAAAAGAAAGAAAAAAAGAAGGAAGGAAGGAAAGAAAGAAAAGAAAAAAAGAAAGAAAGAAAGAAAGAAAGAAAGAAAGGAAGGAAGGAAGGAAGGAAGGAAGGAAGGAAGATGGATGCCAGGTGGCCTCAGGAACAGGACTGTATATTTAGACTGTAACATTACTTACCAGTAAGTATCTTAAGGTCAGGGTTGTGTGAAACCATGTATTTCCTAATGTTCCTTATTGCCTTTCGAAGAGGCTCATATTTTTCCCTCACTTGCCACACTGAAAGAGAAGTTTATTAATCGTGGATTTTAGTGGTGAGACAATCCTGCGACACACACGCACACCCAAGATAAATATCAGTTCCTCTTAATTTGTACTCAAGGGGCTTGAGTGATTCATTTGGGTGTCCTTGAACTGGGAACAAATATATGGCCTTTTAGTTCTTCAATCTCCTTCTGGTTACCCTGAAAACGATTTTTGAGGGAAGGGAACACTTTTTAATGTCAAACCCTGTTGTTGTTAAATTACTGTTTTATACCAAAGTTGCACTAGTTTTTTTTTTTTTTCCAATGTAGAGTCTCCACCATTATTGTCCTAAAGGTGCTTTTTCAAGAGGCAACTGGACTGTCTTTGTTTTTCCTTGAAAACATTTTGCTTCTCATCCAGGGACAATCATGACCTGGATGACTGGGAAACTCCATAGACCAGGGGTAGGCAACCTCAGCTCTTTTATGACTCGTGGACCAGCTCCCAGAATTCCTGAGCCAGCATGGAGGAACTATGGCCCCTTCAAGACTGGTGGACTTCAACTCCCAGAATTCCTGAGCCAGCCATGCTGAGGGGAAAGGGAGAGGTTTCCATGCTGAGCCATGCTGGCTCAGGAATTCTGGGAGTTGAAGTCCACGAGTCATGAAGGGGCTAAAAACCCTCATGCTGGCTCAGGAATTCCGGGAGTTGAAGTCCACCAGTCGTAAAGCGGCTTAGGCCTAGGCCAGGGGTAGGCAATCTTGGCTCTTTTATGACTTGTGGACTTCAACTCCCAGAATTCCTGAGCCAGCTAAGCTGAGGGGAAAGGGAGAGGTTTCCATGCTGAGCCATGCTGGCTCAGGAATTCTGGGAGTTAAAAGTCCACAACTCATGAAGGGGCCATAGTTCCCCCATGCTGGCTCAGGAATTCTGGGAGTTGAAGTCCACGAGTCATAAAGCGGCCTAGGCCTAGGCCAGGGGTAGGCAACCTTGGCTGTTTTATGACTCCTGGACTTCAACTCCCAGAATTCCTGAGCCAGCATAGCTCAGCTTGGAAACCTCTCCCTTTCCCCTCAGTGTGGCTGGCTCAGGAATTCTGGGAGTTTCAGTCCACGAGTCATAAAAGAGCCAAGGTTGCCTACCCCTACCATCATGGCCCTCTTACAATATCTGGAAATTTATTAGCGATCTTTTAAAAAAATCCTTCCATTGTGATTATGGCACCTGTCACCGTCTGATCAAGATCAGTTTTGATTACAGAGATTTTGTTTTCACTGCTTAATTGGACATCAGAAAATCCGCAGTGCTTCTCATGCGATAAATTTCTTCATGGAAGCATAAAGCCAGGAAAGCAAGAGGAGATCCTTCCATCTGTTTGTCCTGATAACGCACTGGGTGCTACGGGGATTATTTTGTGAGAAAGTGGCTCAGTATGGAAAGGCTAGCAATTTCAGTTTGCCCTAAACATCAAACCTTCGTTTGACAGTTTCTAAAAACTTACTGTCCACATTGGGCAGCAAAAGAAACTACACACAACTAGAGAAACTTTGGTCAAACCATGTTCTGGAAACAATGATCCTGGTTTGTGGCATGGAACAAAGGGATAATAGAATAGCAGAGCTGGAATGGATCTGGGAGGTCTTCTAGTCTGACCCCCCTGCTTGAGCAGGAGAGCCAATACCATTCGGACAAAGGGCTGTCCAGTCTCTTCTGGAAAGCCTCCAGTGTTGGAGCATTCACCACTTCTGGAGGCAGGTTGTTCCACTGGTTAATTGTCCTCACTGTCAGGAAGTTTCTCCTTAGTTCTAGGTTGCTTCTCTCCTTGCTTAGGATCCATCCAGCTCCATTTCCATCCAGGAAAAATGAAGCAGGGGAGTACATTTTTCCAGCTCCTGCCGTTTCATCTAATATTTTGAATAAATTCTTGGAGGTAACAATGCTTTTCCCTCCATAAGGGCAATCTCCCATCCTCTCCTACTCCAGAGAGGCTCCAAGGAACCAGCCTACTCACTGGTTCTTCGGTCTTTGCCTCCATCATCATCTCTGCTCACCACGGAGAAGTCTTTCGAGGCCACGCTTCCACTGGCAGCCCAAAGCACTCTTCATTCTTGTGCCAATTTCGGCCCCTTGGATGGTGAAATGGACTCAGAGCCTAACCCTTTGGCGCATGAGAAGTGGTTGACACCCGTTTTGATGGACCAGACAGATTTCAACCTGTCTGCTTTTGCCCTGGCCAGATCTAGCCCTCCATCCATGTGATTAAAAGAGGGGACAGAGGTTCCCCTGCTACACCGTCAGCTTTTGGTACCTGGGGAATTCCAGAGAGATGGTGGGAACATCACTGGTACCAATTTTGGCCGAGATTCTCTTTTGCTGTTATTTTACATTGCCCACAGGGCATAAAGAGCTCCGTGCCATAAAGACATCCCAGCCATTCTTTCCAAATTGCCAAACGCTGCCTGCTTTTGTTCTGAGTAGACATGATCCCTGTGTGAAACCCGCAGAGTATAATCAGAAACTTACACAAAATGACCATCCACACAGTGGCGATGATGAGGAAGAAGAGAATGATAAGACATATCGTGGCGCAGTCATGTCCTATGAGGAATTGTATTATCACAGTTTTGACACCTGGTTTTGGAGAAAAGAAACACGGGAAGAAAATTATATTCAGTATTACCGCCAAGGACTTCGCTGTTGACGAGGCATCTGGATTCTCTCTGTGAACTTTATCTACAAAACGAAGCCTTTTTCAACTGCTCCAGACCAAAGCACAATGCAGGTTTGTCTCTCTTATTTTCTTGACATGAAGACTTCTCTTTCCCTCCAGCCCTTCCCACCTTTTTTCTCATTTTTCCTTTCTGTTCCTTTCTCTTTCTTCAGTTCATTCCCTTATTTGATAAAGGGAATGTAACACGCAGCCACTCAGTTCCACTTATTTGACAAAGGGAATGTAACATTCCACTTATTTGATAAAGGGAATGTAACATGCAGCCACTTCCAGGTTACTACAAGTCAGTTACGGTGCCTTCCCATCAGCATCCAAGGAAGGGATATTTTATTAATTTATTAAACAAATTTATACAGCTGCCCAGTTCACGCATAGATGGCTCCAGGCAGCTTACAAAATTTAAAATTCATCGTATAATAAAGCCCGTAACCACAACTTCCCCAACCTCCATTACAGCAACAACACAGTCGTCCCATCCGGGGTCCCCAGGCCCATGGGACTTTTGGCGGGCTCAGCAGGGCAGAGACAGCCTGGACAATTCCTATTGGCTTTTGAAAGCCAATAGAATTAGACTCTATTCAAGGGAGTCTATTCTATTGGCTTTCAAAAGCCAATAGAATAAAAGGGAGGAGCACAGCTAAGGAAAAGGGGGGAAAAATGGCGGATTGCGTTGTTTGGCGACCCCCGTGAAATGGTCGTTAGACCCCAAATGGGGTCCCGACCCCCAGGCTGAGAACCACTGCTCTAATACTACCCCACCCCTTCACCACTAGCCCATCCTGTGTGCTATCGCTCTGCCCAAGAGCCCAAAGCAGCCAGCTTAACGTAGCACCACCGCTGGGACCACCTCTGCTCATCCTCGGCAGACCGATGGCTGGCCTTGGGCAACAAACGTTCTTAGGCATGCCTGAAGCCCCCCCCCAGAAAGACAATTAACTGTAGCCAAATTGGCAAGGGGGCTTCTTCCCTTAGGAGAGAGCCTTTCTCTGTCTCTCCTTTGTAGTGGAACACCCTCAGTGTTTGCTCCTTCCGCCGGAAATGGCTTCCCTCAGCTCCCCCCTGCTATTGAGGGCCTCAAAGGTTTTGGTGGGCCGTGTTGGGAGTCCTCCTCTGCGGAGACCCTCCTCCCCCTCTGCTTCCTCCGGTAGCATGCCAGTAGGAGCAGAGGGTCTCCGTTCCTTCTCTACCTGGAGTGGGTCCTGGTCCTCCCTTCCCTTGCACCTCTCCTCTCTCACTCCCTGCCACTGCTTGGCACAAGTCCCCACAACCATCCGGAAGGTTGTGGGGAGGGTGAATCTGCACCAGGGCTAGGAAGACGCTCAGAGGGGCAAATACATCTAATTACAAGTTTTTATCAGTTCAAGCCATTGTCAAGACTGCTAACATCGGATGTTCTTGCTTGCCAACATCGGATGTTCTTGTATAGCACTTCTAGAGTTAAAGCAGATAGTAATAGTCTAGTGCAGTGTTTCTCAACCTTGACAATTTTAAGGCATGTGGACTTCAACTCCCAGAATTCCACAGCCAGCATTGCTGGCTGTGGAATTCTGGGAGTTGAAGTCCACATGCCTTAAAATTGTCAAGGTTGAGAAACACTGCGTCTAGTGGATGGGAAAATATGCTAGTTAATCATAACAATGTCTGAGCACAGTGTGGCCATGGTCAGCTCAGCTGCAACTGGGAGGGGCACTTCCCACTTCACATTAATTGGAGAATGTGATTGATGACTGTAAAATGGAGGGGTGAGTTATGCTTTGTTACGGGTGTTTGTGGGAGGGAAGATTCAGTTTTTGGCTTAAATTTGTTAGTGCCAAAGCTATGCAGAATAATAAAAGATTCTTTTAGAAGAATAAGCCTCAAAATTCGTTGAAAAGCTGCTTCCTTTCGGAACCACGACAGCAATTTCATATAAGAAAGGATTGTAAAATTCACTTACTGGGTGGTGGTGGTGGTGGTGGTGGTGGAGGAGGAGGAGGAGCATGTTTTGATGCTTTGTGACCTAGAAAACAACACAGTATATTTTTACATCCAATTTACGGCTATCATGTTTCATATGCTATCAAGAGATGCAGGTCATTTGTTCCTAATTAAATACAGTAGTCCTTGACTTACAACAGTTCCTTTTGACATGGTTCCCACAGATGAAACGAGGCATTGCTTTCCTTAAAGAATCTTTTATTCGGGAAACAAAGTATCGGCACTACATACCCCAAAACTAAATTCCCCTCCCCTGGATAGAAAGTTACAAAGTACAATTCCCACCCCCAACAAACAGTCATAAAGCACATTCCCCAATTAGCTTGAAGCAGTGGGTTTTCTCCCCAGCCCTCCAGCCCACCAAAACGTTATCAGCTCTGGATTCAATTTGTCCTTGGGTTCCCAGGGCAGAGATATTATTATTAGGACTAATTGAACTCTCATTTATTTATTTATTTATTTATTTATGAGACTTATATACCGCTTTAAGTGCAAGCACTCTCTAAGCGGTGTACACCAGTAAGCAATGTATATATATATTTACATTGCCCCCAACAATCTGGGTCCTCATTTTACCTACCCGGAAGGATGGAAGGCTGAGTCAACCTTGAGCCGGTGAGATTTGAACCGCTGACCTGCTGAACACAGTCAGCTAAAGTGGCCTGCAGTACTGCACCCTAACTGCTGCGCCACCTCGGCTCATCCCAATCCCCCCCCTCCCAGCACCAGCTAATTCTAAAAGCAAGAAAAGGGGAATGGAGAACATGGCTGCATTTTCATCTGTTGTCGAAGCAAGAACATCTGATGTTAGCAGGGTTGACACCTTCAGTAACTGCTCAAAATTATGATGGCATTGGAAAAAAGTGAGTTATGACCATTTTGCACATGAAGCATCCAAATGGGGGCATGAATCAACATTCAGATGCTCGTGTTTATGACAGTGGCCCAGGTCCTGGGGTTGTGTGATCACCTTTTGTGAAGCTACGGACAAGCCAAATCAACGATGAAGCCAGCTTCATGGAACAATCATGTCACTAACTTGACATCTGTGGGCATTCACTAATTAAGTTCCCCAATCATTTTGGGAATTTGTGAGTTTTTAAAACAGTGGTTCTCCACCTGTGGGGAACCCATTTGGGGTCGAATGATCATTTCACGGGGGTTGCCTAACAATGCAGTCCGCCATTTTTCCCCCCTTTTCCTTAGCTGTGCTCCTCCCTTTTATTCTATTGGCTTTTGAAAGCCAATAGAATAGACTCTCTTGAACAGAGTCTAATTCTATTGGCTGTCCAAAGCCAATAGGAATTGCCCAGGCTGTCTCTGCCCTGCTGAGCCTGCCAAAAGTCCCATTCTGCAAACGGTGCTGTACCAGTTGAGTAGTCCTCGACTTACGACCGGTTGGGGGTCGCAGCATTAAGAAGGTTGAGAACCACTGGACTAGATGACCTCCAAGGTCCTTTCCAACTTTACTATTATTATTATTATTATTATCGATCATCGCACAGTCAGCCAGATGTTCAGACTGGATTTGGCATTTTGTCTACCTATCGAGTCCTTACCCAGGACCTGGGATAGGCAGATGTGGATGTTTGATGGTATTACAGATATCGTCGCAGGATGGAAGTAGTTCCTAATAAGGCCGCCTTTTGCAATTGACTAATAGCGAATTTGTCAATGCCGATGGAGTTCAAGTGGTGCTCCAGTTGTTTTAGGATTGCACCCAAGGAGCCTATGACTGTTGGTACTACCCTTGTTTGCTTTTGCCACAGTCTTTCTATTTCTATTATTATTATTATTATCAATCATCGCACAGTCAGCCAGATGTTCAGACTGGATTTGGCATTTTGTCTACCTATCGAGTCCTTACCCAGGACCTGGGATAGGCAGAAGTAGATGTTTGATGGTATTACAGGTATCGTCGCAGGATGGAAGCAGTTCCTAATAAGGCCGCCTTTTGTAATTGACTAATAGCGAATTTGTCAATGCCAATGGTGTTCAAGTGGTGCTCCAGTTGTTTTGGAATTGCACCTAAGGAGCCTATTACTATTGGTACTACCCTTGCTTGCTTTTGCCACAGTCTTTCTATTTCTATTTGTAGGTCTTTGTATTTTGTTATCTTCTCCAGTTCTTTCTCGTCTATTCTGCTGTCTCCAGGCATTGCCACGTCCACTATCCAGACTTTTTTGTCTTTTTTATCGACAATTGTTAAGTCCGGGGTGTTATGTTGCAGGTGCTTGTCTGTTTGAATTCTGAAGTCCCAGAGCAGTTTAATTTTATCATTTTCTATGACTTTCTTTATTTTATGATCCCACCAGTTTTTGCTTACAGGCAAATGATATTTTTTGCAGATCTTCCAATGCACCATTGTTGCTACTTTGTCATGCCGCTGCTTGTAGTCAGTCTGTGCAATCTTCTGGCAACAGCTTACCAGGTGGTCCACTGTTTCTTCAGCTTCTTTGCATAGGCGGCACTTACTGTCTGTTGCTGTCTTCTCAATTTTGACTTTGTATGCATTTGTCCTTAAAGCTTGGTCTTGTGCAGCCAGAATTAATCCCTCGGTCTCTTTCTTCAATTTTCCTGCTCTTAGCCATTGCCAGGTTTTATTATTATCTGCTTTCCCAGCTATTTTTTTAATGTATTGGCCATGTAGTGCTTTGTCTTCCCATGCCTCTATTCTGTTCTTCATTTGGTCTTTCTTGTAGGCCAGTTTGGTCTCTCCAGTAGTTAGTAAGCCTTCCTGATATACTAATTTCAGTGCATCTTCATCATTGTTCTTCAGATATTCTTCCAAAGCCATTTTTTCTTCTTCAACCATCTGATGTACTTGTAGCATTCCACGCCCACCTATTTGCCTTGGTAGATAAAGTCTATCAATGTCACTGCGTGGATGAAGGGCATGATTCATTGTCATTATTTTTCTGGTCTGCCTATCCATTGCTTTTAGTTCTGCTTGAGTCCAGTCCACTATTCCAGCTGTGTACCTAATTACTGGAATTGCCCAGGTGTTGATTGCCTTTATGGTATTTGCTCCATTGAGTTTGGACTTTAAGATCTTCTTCACTCTCTTGATGTATTCACCTCTAATCTTTTTCTTGACTTCAGTGTGCTTGATGTTGTCAGCTTGAAGGATACCCAAGTATTTGTAGTATCTTCCTCATCCAGACTCTTAATGTTATTTTCGTGGGGCATCTTGATTCCTTCAGTTTTCATTATTTTTCCTTGTTTGATAGTAAGTGTGGCACATTTGTCCAAGCCAAACTCCATTACAATATCTTGGCTATATATACGGACAGTGTTGAGCAGCGATTCTATTTCAGATGATGTTTTTCCATACAGCTTCAGATCATCCATGTAAAGGAGGTGGGATAGTCTGGCAGATGTTTTTGATGTTTGATAACCATGTCCTGAGTTATTCAGTATTGTTGACAGAGGAAACAGTGCAATAACAAATAGTAATGGTGATAATGAATCTCCTTGAAATATTCCTCTCTTGATATTAACCTCTCCCAGCCTCTCACCATTGATCTGCAACTGTGTCTTCCATTGTGCCATCGATTTTGCACAAATTTTCTGATGTTTCTACTTACTCCTGTTATTTCTAGGCACTTGATTATCCAATCATGTGGCAGAGAGTCAAATGCCTTTTTGTAGTCAATCCATGCCACATTCAGGTTGGTCTTCCTTCTCTTGCAGTTTTCCAAGATCATTTTGTCTATTAGGAGTTGATCTTTTGTTCCTCTGCTATTGGGGCGGTTTCCTTTCTGCTCAGGTGGAAAGAGATTGTTTTCAACTAGATGCTGTTGTACTGCATCAGCTACCATACCAGTTAGTAATTTGAAAGTTGTTGGTAAGCAGGTAATTGGCCTGTAGTTACCTGGTGTTGCCCCTTTTGCTGGATTTTTCATTATTAGGTAGGTTTTCCCAGTTGTTAGCCACTTTTCAATTTCTCCTCCTTGTAGTATATTGTTGAACTGTTTGGCAATGAGTGGGTGTATAACAGTTAGATGTTTCAACCAAAACCCATGCAGTTCATCTTCACCTGGTGCTGACCAATTTTTGATTTTCTTTGCTCTTTTTTCTACCATTTTTGTTGTTATTACTAGTTCTTTCATTTCAACTTCTGTTTTATTTGCATCCACCTCTTTTAACCAAGCCGCATCCTTGTTGTATTTCTTTGGGTTATCCCATATCTGCTTCCAGAACTGCACTGTTTCTTCCTTGTCAGGTACTGACTGATTCCTTGCAGTTTCTCCATTGATGGATTGGTAGAAACGTTTCTGATTGGATTGAAATTGGAGGTTCTGCCTATAGTTTGCAATTCGAGCTTCATATCTACTGATTTTCCTGGCTATAGCTGTTATTTGTTGCTTTATTATTTCCAGTGCTTCCTTGATCTTCCTTGTTTCTAAGTGGTATTTCTTGATTAGGTATTCTTTGGTCTTCTTGTTCTTCAGCTTCTTTTCTTTCATCTGTTCTAGCTTGCTTGCATGTGATCTTAACTTGCTGATCTTATTTTCTAGTCTAACCTTCCATTTTTGTGGTGCACTGTTTGTTTGTTTTTCTTTTTTTGTTGATTTTACATCCCAGGTATTCTGTTATAACTGCAGCTGTGCTGTACATTAGTTGGTTTGTTTCTTGCAGTGAATTGGTGCTTATACTTGCTATTGCAGTATTTGCATCTTTTAATGCTTGTGCTAGCTGTTTCTTTGGAACAAGCTTCAATGCAGGTAGCCTTATTCTGTTGTTTTTGTGCTGTTCTAGATGCTCAGTTATTCTTTGTTTCAATTCTTTTATTTCTTTAGTTAGAGGGTTTTGTTCTTCCTGAGGAAGAGGTGCCTGGTTTCCAAATGAGAACAGTTGTATATCTCTGCTGGATTCCTTCACTGCCAACTCCCCCTGGTTTGCCTCTACATTCTGAATTACTTCTTGTAAGGCTTTGATTTCTTTGCCCTGGGTAAACCTTTGCAGTTCGTCCAATTCTGTTTCTGTAAATACTTTATTTCGTGTTATAAATCGGCGTTGATCTGCTAGTCTCTGTTCTGTTATTTCTGATTCTGGATGTTGTTCTTTCCAGAATTGGTGCATTCGTTTTAGATATCCTCGTCTTGTTGGACTTGATCTGTAGTAACAGATCATTATTTCTTTGTTTTCCATCACTGTGTATCTGCGACGGGTAAACACCTTTTCTTCCAGTAGTTCTGCAGCTGCTGGCCCTGGTTGCTCAGCCAACAGTCCTGAGTCCTGTAACCCATTTTTCACCAGATATCCAGGAACTCCAATATCTAGTGCGGACCTTGTTAACCCGGGCGACGTCCGAGCCGGTATGGCATTCTGAAATTTACGTCTCACCATATTATTATTATTATTATTATTATCAATCATCGCACAGTCAGCCAGATGTTCAGACTGGATTTGGCATTTTGTCTACCTATCGAGTCCTTACCCAGGACCTGGGATAGGCAGAAGTAGATGTTTGATGGTATTATAGGTATCGTCGCAGGATGGAAGCAGTTCCTAATAAGGCCGCCTTTTGCAATTGACTAATAGCAAATTTGTCAATGCCAATGGTGTTCAAGTGGTGCTCCAGTTGTTTTGGGATTGCACCCAAGGAGCCTATGACTATTGGTACTACCCTTGCTTGCTTTTGCCACAGTCTTTCTATTTCTATTTGTAGGTCTTTGTATTTTGTTATCTTCTCCAGTTCTTTCTCTCTATTCTGCTGTCTCCAGGCACTGCCACGTCCACTATCCAGACTTTTTTGTCTTTCTTATCGACAATTGTTAAGTCTGGGGTGTTATGTTGCAGGTGCTTGTCTGTTTGAATTCTGAAGTCCCAGAGCAGTTTAATTTTATCATTTTCTATGACTTTCTCTATTTTATGATCCCACCAGTTTTTGCTTACAGGCAAATGATATTTTTTGCAGATCTTCCAATGCACCATTGTTGCTACTTTGTCATGTCGCTGCTTGTAATCAGTCTGTGCAATCTTCTTGCAACAGCTTACCAAGTGGTCCACTGTTTCTTCAGCTTCTTTGCATAGGCGGCACTTACTGTCTGTTGCTGTCTTCTCAATTTTGACTTTGTATGCATTTGTCCTTAAGGCTTGGTCTTGTGCAGCCAGAATTAGTCCCTCGGTTTCTTTCTTCAATTTTCCTGCTCTTAGCCATTGCCAGGTTTTATTATTATCTGCTTTCCCAGCTATTTTTTTAATGTATTGGCCATGTAGTGCTTTGTCTTCCCATGCCTCTATTTTGTTCTTCATTTGGTCTTTCTTGTAGGCCAGTTTGGTCTCTCCAGTAGTTAGTAAGCCTTCCTGATATACTAATTTCAGTGCATCTTCATCATTGTTCTTCAGATATTCTTCCAAAGCCATTTTTTCTTCTTCAACCATCTGATGTACTTGTAGCATTCCACGCCCACCTATTTGCCTTGGTAGATAAAGTCTATCAATGTCACTGCGTGGATGAAGGGCGTGATTCATTGTCATTATTTTTCTGGTCTGCCTATCCATTGCTTTTAGTTCTGCTTGAGTCCAGTCCACTATTCCAGCTGTGTACCTAATGACTGGGATTGCCCAGGTGTTGATTGCCTTTATGGTATTTCCTCCATTGAGTTTGGATTTTAAGATCTTCTTCACTCTCTTGATGTATTCACCTCTAATCTTTTTCTTGACTTCAGTGTGCTTGATGTTGTCAGCTTGAAGGATACCCAAGTATTTGTAGTACTCTTCCTCATCCAGACTCTTAATGTTATTTTCGTGGGGCATCTTGATTCCTTCAGTTTTCACTATTTTTCCTTGTTTGATAGTAAGTGTGGCACATTTGTCCAAGCCAAACTCCATTACAATATCTTGGCTATATATACGGACAGTGTTGAGCAGCGATTCTATTTCAGATGATGTTTTTCCATACAGCTTCAGATCATCCATGTAAAGGAGGTGGGATAGTCTGGCAGATGTTTTTGATGTTTGATAGCCATGTCCTGAGTTATTCAGTATTGTTGACAGAGGAAACAGTGCAATAACAAATAGTAATGGTGATAATGAATCTCCTTGAAATATTCCTCTCTTGATATTAACCTCTCCCAGCTTCTCACCATTGATCTGCAACTGTGTCTTCCATTGTGCCATCGATCTTTGCACAAATTTTCTGATGTTTCTACTGACTCCTGTTATTTCTAGGCACTTGATTATCCAATCATGTGGCAGAGAGTCAAATGCCTTTTTGTAGTCAATCCATGCCACATTCAGGTTGGTCTTCCTTCTCTTGCAGTTTTCCAAGATCATTTTGTCTATTAGGAGTTGATCTTTTGTTCCTCTGCTATTGGGGCGGTTTCCTTTCTGCTCAGGTGGAAAGAGATTGTTTTCAACTAGATGCTGTTGTACTGCATCAGCTACCACACCAGTTAGTAATTTGAAAGTTGTTGGTAAGCAGGTAATTGGCCTGTAGTTACCTGGTGTTGCCCCTTTTGCTGGATTTTTCATTATTAGGTAGGTTTTCCCAGTTGTTAGCCACTTTTCAATTTCTCCTCCTTGTAATATATTGTTGAACTGCTTGGCAATGAGTGGGTGTATAACAGTTAGATGTTTCAACCAAAACCCATGCAGTTCATCTTCACCTGGTGCTGACCAATTTTTGATTTTCTTTGCTCTTTTTTCTACCATTTTTGTTGTTATTACTAGTTCTTTCATTTCAACTTCTGTTTTATTTGCATCCACCTCTTTTAACCAAGCTGCATCCTTGTTGTATTTCTTTGGGTTATCCCATATCTGCTTCCAGAACTGCACTGTTTCTTCCTTGTCAGGTACTGACTGATTCCTTGCAGTTTCTCCATTGATGGATTGGTAGAAACGTTTCTGATTGGATTGAAATTGGAGGTTCTGCCTATAGTTTGCAATTCGAGCTTCATATCTACTGATTTTCCTGGCTATAGCTGTTATTTGTTGCTTTATTATTTCCAGTGCTTCCTTGATCTTCCTTGTTTCTAAGTGGTATTTCTTGATTAGGTATTCTTTGGTCTTCTTGTTCTTCAGCTTCTTTTCTTTCATCTGTTCTAGCTTGCTTGCATGTGATCTTAACTTGCTGATCTTATTTTCTAGTCTAACCTTCCATTTTTGTGGTGCACTGTTTGTTTGTTTTTCTTTTTTGTTGATTTTACATCCCAGGTATTCTGTTATAACTGCAGCTGTGCTGTACATTAGTTGGTTTGTTTCTTGCAGTGAATTGGTGCTTATACTTGCTATTGCAGTATTTGCATCTTTTAATGCTTGTGCTAGCTGTTTCTTTGGAACAAGCTTCAATGCAGGTAGCCTTATTCTGTTGTTTTTGTGCTGTTCTAGATGCTCAGTTATTCTTTGTTTCAATTCTTTTATTTCTTTAGTTAGAGGGTTTTGTTCTTCCTGAGGAAGAGGTGCCTGGTTTCCAAATGAGAACAGTTGTATATCTCTACTGGATTCTTTCACTGCCAACTCCCCCTGGTTTGCCTCTACATTCTGAATTACTTCTTGTAAGGCTTTGATTTCTTTGCCCTGGGTAAACCTTTGCAGTTCGTCCAATTCTGTTTCTGTAAATACTTTATTTCGTGTTATAAATCGGCGTTGATCTGCTAGTCTCTGTTCTGTTATTTCTGATTCTGGATGTTGTTCTTTCCAGAACTGGTGCATTCGTTTTAGATATCCTCTTCTTGTTGGACTTGATCTGTAGTAACAGATCATTATTTCTTTGTTTTCCATCACTGTGTATCTGCGACGGGTAAACACCTTTTCTTCCAGTAGTTCTGCAGCTGCTGGCCCTGGTTGCTCAGCCAACAGTCCTGAGTCCTGTAACCCATTTTTCACCAGATATCCAGGAACTCCAATATCTAGTGCGGACCTTGTTAACCCGGGCGACGTCCGAGCCGGTATGGCATTCTGAAATTTGCGTCTCACCATATTTTTTATGGGAGAGACACTCTTTGTCTGACTCCTCTGATGAGACCTGTCCAGTATGGTTGAACCTCTGGCATAGCTCTCATCTTCCTCAGAGTACACAAGCCCCACAACCACGTCAAGGTAGTGCCTCACTGGGGGATTATTATTATTATTATTATTATTATTATTATTATTATTATTATTATTATTACTATCCCCCCAAATGTTAACGTAATATTAGTAGCACTCTGCCCAAAGAGCTGTCTGGTTACAAAAATGTACATACTTTTTGGTGGTTTTTCTGATTTTGGTGTTTCTGAAGCATCATGAGCTAGAAAACAACCGAGAACATTGGGTTTAATTTAGTATTCCAATTTCAAGACTGCCCACCCTGGACCAACTGTGGATAGCCTGGTTAGGACTGGGTTTGAGCCTGTTTCCCCCCCAGCCTCCAGTCCTGTATCAGGACTTTAAGAATGTCCCTTGTCCCAGGCTTCAGATGCAGAACTGGGTATGATCAGCAAACGTGTCCAAGGTAAGTACAAGGCCATATCACAGGTACCTCATCAGAACCTGTCCAGACATTCTGAGCTGATCTAAGCAACTTTATCTGCCAGATATCAGGAATATTTCTCACAGCAGCCTGGCAGATAGTCCTGTGACTTGTGTTTCCCCAGGGTCACCTTAAACAGGGCCTTAAACAGGTGGCTGCTGGGAGAAGCGATAAGGACAGAGAAACAATGCTGTTTTGCCCCACCATGATTGCCAGGATGTAAACTCTTAATATGGGTTATTAAAAGAGCCAGTCTGCTCTAGTGGTGAAGACCTCAGACCAGAAGCTGCCTTGGATTGTTTGTAAAAATAATAAAGGCAGAATATAAATAAACAAATCAGTATTCCGGCTTAAACCATGGGATCCGAAACAGTTGAAGTAATAGCCTTCTGGCTAAAATGGGCAGCTATTATAAATTTTTACGTACCTTTTCGGGGTTTTTCTTTGTCTTTGTCTTTGTGTTTCACTTTCTCTTCATCAGGAACTGGAACTAAAGCAGGAGAGAATGCTTTGTTTAATTTAGGGTTCAAGGCTGCTCGCTTGGGAACAACTCTCCCTGGCTTACAGGGAGAAGAGACATACGTCAGAGCAAAGAAAAGAGGAGAGAGTTGACTGGAAGGACAATCCATAATGGATGTTTATGGAGAATCTCAGTCATCCAGGTCAGGTTGGACGTCCAAGTTGTAAGTTGTAAGGACTTTAGTAGTCCAGTTGCAAGGTAAACAAGGCACCAGTGACAACCTGAGTGGTCTCCTGGTCCTGGAACAGATGCATCTGGCACATCTGTAGATCCCACCTATTCTGGGGTGGAAAGAGCAGAAACTCCAAATCCAGGAGGACCAACGTTTTTCACACCACACCTTGCAAACTCATTAAAGACCAAAGATGGACTTTCTCTAGAGTTGGAGGGGGAGGGGCAAAGAAACCCTTTTGATATTGTCATGATGTAGAGCTGAACATTGATGTGATTGTTATTTCTTATGTTGCTTTCCTACAGGAATTCTCATCTTTCTCTAAAACAGTGTTTCTCAACCTTGACAATTTTAAGGCATGTGGACTTCAACTCCCAGAATTCCACAGCCAGCAATGCTGGCTGTGGAATTCTGGGAGTTGAAGTCCACATGCCTTAAAATTGTCAAGGTTGAGAACCACTGCTCTAAAAGATCCCTAATGTTTATCCCATTCACCGAGAACTGCTTCCCAGCAGCTCCCTTCCGACACTCAGTGCTCTTACACTGTATGCTCTACCAATAAAACCATTTTATTTATTACTTAATAAATGTATATGTCGCCCATATCGTGGCTTGAGGTAACTCTCAGTGGCTATTAATAACAGCCTTCTGCAGATAATATTAGGTGCTCTGCCAGAGCTTACATACTTGGTGGTCGATGTTTCTTTGCTTCAGCATGTTTCTTTGCGCCTATGGAAATGAGAGAATTTTTTTTTTACGTTAAGTTTAAAGCCTTCATTATTAATATCTTAAAAAGACTGTGCAGACTATTGGTCCCCAAGAAAGGGCAACTGGCATAGAACAGTGGTGGCGAACCTATGGCACGGGTGCCACAGGTGACATGCAGAGCCCTCTCTATGGGCATGCGCGCCGTCACCCCAGTCCTAGACCTTCAGCTGGGTTTTATAAAACCTTTTCACTTTAGGCCTCCGCCGCCATATGCAAAAAAAAAAAAAAAAGTTTCAATCAATCAGTCAATTTCAAGTTCTCACGGGAAAAAAAATCTTCCAAAGTTGAAATTGATTAATTGAACTTTTTAGTCCCACCCAGTCTGCCGTTACCACTGCAGCTACGCCCAGCCAATGGGCCACGCCCAGCCAATGGGCCACGCCCAGCCAATGGGCCACACCCACCCGGCACTTGACAATGCATAAGTGGGTTTTGGGTTGCAGTTTGGGCACTCAGTCTCTAAAACAGTGGTTCTCAACTTGTGGGTCGGGACCCCATTTGGGGTCGAATGACCATTTCATGGGGGTCGCCAAACAAGGCTGTCTGCCATTTTTCCCCCTTTTCTTTGGCCACACCCCTGGCACCCGGTGATGTATAATTGGTTGGGGGTCACCACAACATGGGGAACTGTATTATGGGGTCGCGGCATTAGAAAGGTTGAGAACCACTGCTCTAAAAGGTTCGCCATCACTGGCATAGAAGCTGATGCGTGACTGCCAAGGGATGAATCCCATCCAGGTTTGGATTATTTTCATCTTGCAGAGATTTTAGAGGAGGATTGCTTTCCAGCGAAATTCCACTCAGTACTCTTCGTGCAATTTATCCCTTTCAGAATAAACAGAATTATACAAAATACAGAAAGGGAGCCAAAATAAGCCAGTGCGCTTAGAAACATTAGGAGAAACGACAAAAGAAAATATAAATATGCAGGTAGTCCTTGACGTACGACTACAGTTGAGTCCAAAATTTCTGTTCCTAAGCGAGACTCTCGTTAAGGGAATTTTGCCCCATTTTACTGCCATTCTTGTCACAGTTGTGAAGTTAGCAACCCAGTTGTTGCAGCTTCCTCAAATGGATACGTGTTTGGGAATAGCCATGTCTGTGAACATTAAATTGCAGATGGAGGCATTTCTTATTTCTGGGAGAAGAACATTCTATTACAGACCCAGCCTTTGGACCCCATGCAGCCCTTTGACTGTCCCTGGCCTACCCACCTGAGGTCAATTGGAAATTAGGAATCAAATACAAATAAGTACGCCGTGCGTGCAATAGAACTGCATTGCTTTAACTTTGAAGGCAACTGCCACTTTCCAATTTACATGTGTGTGTGTATGTGCGTGTGTGTGTGTGTGCCTACTCACCTTCACAGCCTTACTGATTCAGCCTGCCACAACAGTGCCAGTTTCTCAAATTTATTGTTCACCCCTGTTCTATAAAAAGAGGGCTCCCCATTGAAAAGAAGGTCCATCACAGGTGAAGGTCAAGGTGTTTCCCTGTCCAGACTTTCCATCTCTGAGGGGGCAGCTCATCTCCGTTTCTTAGCCTGGGGAGCCAGCGTTGTCCTCAGACCCTTTCCATGGTCATGTGGCCAGCAGGACTATATGCCGAAGCGCACAGATCCCTGTTGCTTTCCCACCTATAGTGCTACCTATTTATCTACTCACGTTCGCCTGCTAGGAGAGCTCACCCCGTCTTGAACCCAGGCTGTTAACTTCCCAGCTGACAAGCTCAGCCTGTTTAGCCACTCTGCCACTGTGCCCCCCATCACAACTAAACTAGTATTCATAGTATTCTGCGTAAGATAGAAGGTGAGCTGCAAATGCTTACACACCTGGTTCATGGTGCTTCTTTTCATCTTTTTTGGAGCCTGTGAGAAGACAAAATGCTTGCTTACATCCAGTTTAAGTATTTACAGGCAAAGAATGGATCTGACCTGATGTTGGAGCTGAAATGAGGACTCGTTTCAAGAGGGCTTTCTATCTATGGAGATTCTCAGCCATCCAGGTCCCAAAGATGCCTTTTCATGAGGCAACTGGACTTTGTTTTTCCTTTGAAGGCGCTTCGCTTCTCAACCAAGCAGCAGCTTATTGGATGAGAAGCAAAAAGTCTTCAAAGGAGAAACAAGAAAGTCCAGTTGCCCCGTGAAAAAGCATCTCTGTGGGCTTTCTATCCTTGATTCAAAATATTCCTACATGAGCACAGAATGCAAAATGGTTGGGTTGTTGTAAGTGTTTGGATTATCTGAATTTAATCACATGAGATAAGCCTGAAGGGAGGGGAAAAACAAGAAAGTGAAAGAGGAAAACAAAATTAGATCCAATCTAAAATGGTAAGAAAGACGAATAATATATGTTCTTCAGGTGCTCCATCATTTCAGATACTTAACAGCTGCCCCAAATCCTGTTTGAAATAGCAGCGTTTTAAAAGCTTTCTTAAACTGCAAGGAGAATGCATATTTTCTTTCTGTTGGAAGAGCACGCCACAAGAAGAGAGCACCAGATTAAACCATAAGGTCCCAATTAGTTAAAGGAGTAATATGGAATTGCACATCAAAATAAATGCTTGGCTGTAAAAGCATACGTACCTTCTGCTTTCTCCCCACCATGTTTCTTTCCATCTGGAAAATGAAAGAATGCATTTTTACATCCGGCCTAAAGCCATTATTTCCAATGTGTTACTAAGACTTTGAGAGGAAAAAGGTACGTGCATGGTTAGAAAAAATGTTGGGAGAACAGGTTGATTTTAAACCTGAACTTTTCTTATTAAGTATAATGCCAGAAAAGATTAATAAACAAAGCTTATATTTGATTTTACACGTCACAACAGCAACAAGACTATTTTTTGCGCAATATTGGAAAAATGAAAGATTACCACCGGAGGAAGAATTAATCAGAAAAATATTGGAATGTGCAGAGATGGACAGATTAACTATGGGACTGAAAGATAAAGAAGAAACAGAATATTACCAAACTTGGGGTTTATTTTATCAATGGTTAGAGGAAAGAATGAAGGATTAGGAACTGACTATGTATTAGCGTTTTTAAACCCAGACAGCCCGTTGGTTGAAAAATTAATATATGTATGTAAGAGAAAATTAATAAAATCTTTATTAAAAAAAAGACTTTGGATAATTGAAACAGCCATTCTCTACTTGCACTGAGGACAAGGTGATGCTACTAAGTGATGGATGCAGTCTTTTGAATTGCTGGTCTAACTAATGTTGGATTCCTGCTGAGATGTAAGTTGTACGTCTGCCGTTTAGTAAATAAGATACTATTGCAGCCTCTCCACAATGTTCTCTGCAGGCTGCCTTGGGCTGGGAGATTTGATTTGGAATAAGAGGTATCAAAGATATCTAGCTAAAGCCATCACCTTTAGAGCTGATACCAGCACCTGCTGCATTTGGAAGTAGTTGCAGCTTCTAGATAGTTTTCAAGGGCAAGCCCATTTACAGCCCATTACAGTAATCAAAACATGAGATGACAAGGGCATGACTGACTGCTATTAGCAATTCTTGCTCCACAAAGGGCTACAACAGATACAGCAGCCAATGCTGGACAAAGTCTAGGGCCTGTTCTAGCAGGGGCTCATTCTCAGATTGCCATGGTCAGCTCTGGACAGTATGTTCCTCCAGTGCTGTTTGTGGCTCTGGCCCATCATCTTTTTGAAAAAAATGCATTACTAGTCTTACACCAGTCCACATGTAACATTCCCCAGTAACATTAAGCACCACATCCTTTGACCAGACTGGCAGAAACACAGGCAAAGCCCTGTTTACATCAAATATTCCCACACGAATTTATGCAAGCTAAAATCCCCAATCAAGCAACAAAATTGCAAAGCTAACGTTCTCCAAGCTGCAGCCCACCAGAGTGCCTTGTGATGGGAACTTAAGTCAGTTTGGAAAGTAATTAATTTATAGAGGAAGGGAGATTTCCTCTGTTGCAAAGATAAGACTCTTTGTGGTGAATTAAATCTTCATTTGAGATTATAAAAACTAAAAAAAGAGATTTTGATTTAAATATTTAAGAATTATGTTGGAAAAAGTTTAAAAAAAGATGTAAGAAAGTTTTAAACTGGAACAGGGGCAAGTCTTTTTCTCTTATTTTGCCATTTTTATTTTTCTTATTTTTACCTTTGATGGTTGTCTTTTGGCATAATTTTGCACTAAGCCAATTAAAGACACTAGCTGTGGTGGGAATATTTGTTATTTTTTCCTTAAAAAGTATGTGAAATTGGCTGAATTTGCATAAGGCAAAGAATTAGAGTATGATGTTTACTTGCCATGGAGACTGTTGTTGGTGAAATAAGAGGGAGTCAAGCTATTCTCCAAAGTGCCTGAAGGCAGGACAAGAAGCAATGGATTGAAACTAATCAAGGAGAGAAGCAACCTAGAACTAAGGAGAAACTTCCTGACAATGAGAACAATTAACCAGTGGAACAACCTGCCTCCAGAAGTGGTGAATGCTCCAACACTGGAAGTTTTAAAGAAGAGACTGGACAGCCATTTGTCCGAAATGGTATAGGGTTTCCTGCCTAAGCAGGGGGTTGGACTAGATGACCTCCAAGGTCCCTTCCAACTTTATTAATAATAATAATAATAATAAGGAAAAGAGAGAGAGCATAGATTGCATTTTTTATTTTGCCTGGCTGAAATGTTATTTTTGGATTAGAATGGCTCCTGCCAAAATGGCAAAAGAAGGCTGAAGGAGGAGCAGACTGCAGAAAAAATAATTACACAATACATGCTTCAGAAATATTTTGAACAGATGGGAAATGAATTTGGCCAAATGGAGAATAAAATGGATTGTTTGGGGGGGGGGGAAGAATGGATGCAAAATATGTAAAGATAGGAGCGGAGACAAGATAAGATGTTAAAAAGGTTGAAAGTTCTATAAAAAAAAATATTTGGAGAGATAGAAGAAATTAATGACAGAATGGAAATTTTAGAAAGTAAGAACAGAGGTTCACAGCAAAGAGTTGGAAACAGAATTGGATAATTTGGCTTTACTGTAATGGAGAGAGAAAGAATTCTCCTTGACATTTAGAGCTGTTCTTGAGGCTTTAGAGGAAAACCTTTTATGGCAAATGTTTTGGATATGGAGGAGGAACATATGGAGGCAAAAAATGATAAGATTTATTGAAAAATATCCTGATTTGCCAGAATTAGGAATATCCCCAGGGATATTTTGGTGCATTTTTTTTTAAGATAAAAGAATCCCTGTCAGCATTTTAACACAAAATTGAAACTGGATAATATTGACATAATTGTTCTGAAAGAGATTCGTACTAGAATTCTGTGTCAGAGAAAAGAATAACATTTATTTGTTTGTTTGTTTATTAAACTTGCATGCTATTAAATGGGCTTTAAGTTAAAATACTTGGGCAAAACTGTAAAAAATATGAATGGTATGATGTTTGAAAATGAAGAAATGGAATGAAGTTAGAAAAGATATGTCAAAATGGGGCAAAGTACAAATGTTGGGTACCCTACATATTTGGGTAGGATTTCTCTGATTAAATATTTTTTTGTTTCAGGCAATACCTTTTTTGACAATTAAACAATGGCAGAAATATATATAAATGTAAATGTTATAGTGGGGAAGGAATCATGAATTAAATAAGAGGTTCTACAAGATGCAAAAGAAAAAAGGGGAAGTGGATCTGTATGATTTGAAATGATATTTTGCTGCCTGTTTGGTTTTGATGAAAGAGTGAGAGAAATAAAAGACTATTGGACTTAGAAGAGCATCATCTGAGTTTTGGGTGGCATAGATACACATGATATAATAAAGCTAAGATGAATGTAGATTTTAAAAACCATTATGTTAGGGGAGATATTTTTAAGAGTATCTGATAAATTCATCTTTAGGTTCTTCCAGCACAAGAAGCATTTTATAGACAAGAAATAAGTAAGCATAAAAGGTTAACCTACCATAATGTACTAGAATTTTCTCAAAGGGATTGTAAACTAAAATCGAGAGAAAATTTGATAACAGAATCTGCCCATGGTTTTCTTATGTACAATCAGAAAGTTTGAAGTGGATAAAAGATGGTATAGTTTTGAACAAAGGAAGTCTGAATTTGCAATAGAATTATGGGGGGACATGATAGCAGTGTTCCAATATCTTTGGGCTGCCACAAAGAAGAGGGAGTCAAGCTATTCTCCAAGGCGCCTGAAGGCAGGACAAGAAGCAGCGGATGGAAACTGATCAAGGAGAGAAGCAACCTAGAATTAAGGAGAAATTTCCTGACAGTTAGAACAATTAACCAATGGAACAACCTGCCTCCAGAAGCTGTGAATGCTCCAACACTGGAAGTTTTTAAGAAGAGACTGGACAGCCATTTGTCCGAAATGGTGTAGGGTTTCCTGTCTGAGCAGGGGGTTGGACTCGATGACCTCCAAAGTCCCTTCCAACTTTATTATTATTATTACTATTAACAGGTTATTAAAAATGTACAAACATTGGCTAAATAGGAAGCAAAAAAAAAAGAACAAGTGAAAGAATGCATGATCAAATGGGCTAAAAAATTGGCTACAATATAAAATGGGAAATATGCGGTTGCAACTGACATTGTGTGGAAAGATCTGGCAGTAATTCACAATGGAGGAATGGTTGGTGAAAAACATAGACCTTGTTGAGATGAATGTTTTTGATCAGAGAAAAGAGACAACATCTACCTTTCTGGCTGACTAGAAACACCTGATTGCATTAAATGGGGGGGGGGAAATGCACATGCTTTAAATAATTGGATAATAGAAAAAGGTTAGCTTTTTTTGCAACCATACAATGAGAGATAATTTTGTAATTATATTTTCTACAAAGGCAATCAGAAACATTGTTCTATTTCTTTCTTCTTTCTTTTTTTCTTTCTCTTTTTTGTTAGTTTGAGTAATTTTTTTTTTGTTCTGTTTTAAACTTTTACTAAAATTTATGAAATAAATGAGCTGTAGCCCACCAACCCACATATTCTTTAGCAGAGAAAAAGAAGGCAGAAACAACTTACGATGTGCAGGTGGCTTTTTGTGAGCCATTTGATCTCTTTCAGTGCATTTAACAGTTCATCCTGAATGGGGAAGAAGAGGATGGAGCAGACGGTGGAAAAGGAATGTTACAAGACAGAGATCCCAACGCCACCCCAAATTTTTGGATTAAAGGAAGGAGGAAACTAGGAGGACTTCAGAAATAAACATTTAATGAAACATTTTGGACCCCATGACTGTAGTTTGGATCCTGGTTCTATCCTGATTGGTTATACTGATATCCCACTTTTGTGTTAGAGTTTCACATTGTGTGTGTGCTGTATAATACACACACACACACACACACACACACACACAAACACATATATACATATCGCAGTACGTAGGTCTCTGGTTGTTCGGGTTTTCTCCCACGTAAAATTGGAAGTGTCTTGGCGACGTTTCGACAAAGTCCCATTCGTCATCTTCAGGCTGGTGTTTTCAGCTTCGTGCTTCGAGGAGCAATGTGTGGTCTTAGCTCCTCGAAGCACGAAGCTGAAAACACCAGCCTGAAGATGACAAATGGGACTTCGTCAAAACGTCGCCAAGACACTTCCAATTTTACGTGGGAGAAAACCCGAACAACCAGAGACCTACATACAAACACCCACGAAAACCTCAGAAAACAAATATCGCAGTACATATACATATACATCACCATCATTTTAGCCATTATCTAACCACTGCAGGATGAAGGCCTCTTCTGCATATTTCCAACCCATACAGTCCTGAGCTTTCTTTAGCCAGTTGGGCCTGCAATACATGCTGATGTCATATACATATACATACATGCTGATGTCATACACATATACACACATACATGCACGTACACATACACATATGCACACATCGACTCCAATTTAATTCCCACATAGAGTTACCTGCCACAGGAGCAAACAACTGTGTGTGCGTATATGTGGTCGAATCTCTGGCTAGGCTGGACCAAGGAGTTAAGAGGAGCCCAAATGTGGAGTCCGGGCACAGCAGAAAGCACCAAAGTCTTGACCTCGCCTGCAGCTCTTGAAGACTGATCTGACCATTCCCAAGGAAATGCCATCAGTCTGGTGAGGTTCTTGTAATGTAGTTGTCTAGCAATGAGCTACAGTTGAGACTGTTCGCAAGTGGCTTGTTTGCACCTCACAATACACACAAAGAGCTGCTTTCAATCAGCAAGTGGTCTGGGCTCTGATCCGTAAGGATCACTCCTTCCGTTAACCTACAGTAGGGATGCTATGACCTCTCTTGATGCTTGTCTTGTCTTGCATCTATCCTTATTCTTCCTGAGGTCTCCACTCTCTTTTCCCCATATTCTCTCTCTCTGGGCTTCAATTGATAAGGTCAAGGGGCAGAGGGGGAAAATCAGGCAGAGGACAATTGGCCCGAGAGGCCCTCTCTCCACCGGCCTCTCTCATCTGGGCTTCCTGACCTTCTCCTGACATTGACAGAAATCTTTGCAGTGATTCTCCTGGATCCAGCATTCTCAGCTTCTCCATACATTTAGATCCTCTATACCAGGGGTAGGCAACCTTGGCTCTTTTATGACTTGTGGACTTCAACTCCCAGAATTCATAGCTGAATTCATAGCTGACTCAGGACATCTGGGAGTTGAAGTCCACGAGCCATGAAAGAGCCAAGGTTGCCCATCCCTGCTCTATACCACGCTACTCAAAATGTTACTCTTCTTTTAGCTTGATCACAACCGCACATTCCTCACTCTGCTTCCACCCACGTACACAACCTTTCCTGACTGACTACCCAAGGCCCTGTTAAAAATGTCGCAAGGAAGAGCACAGGCCAGCATAGAGCAACTTCACAAGAACAAGGCCCTGTATCCAAGGGAGTGGGCAGAGGGCAGGGGAGACACATAATTGAAGAAATTAACACAATAATTTGTTGTAAGAGCCGAGGTGGCGCAGCAGTTAGAGTGCAGTACTGCAGGCCACTTTAGCTGACTGTGTTCAGCAGGTCAGCGGTTCAAATCTCACCGGCTCAAGGTTGACTCAGCCTTCCATCCTTCCGGGGTAGGTGAAATGAGGACCCAGATTGTTGGGGGCAATGTAAATATATATATATATATATACATTGCTTACTGGTGTACACCGCTTAGAGAGTGCTTGCACTTAAAGCGGTATATAAGTCTCATAAATAAATAAAGTCTCTCATAAATAAATAACAGGGTTGGAAGGGACGTTGGAGGTCTTCTAGTTCAACCTCCTGCCCCAGCGGGAGACTTTGCACTTTTCTGGAGAAATGGTTGCCCAATCTCTTCTTGAAAACCTCCAGTGACTGAGCACCCACAACCTCTGGAGGCAAGTCATCCACTGGTTAATTGTTCTCACTGTCAGCAGCCCTTCTTTGGGGAAGCCCCTTAAGGACTATCCCAGTGGCCAGTGCAACCCAAATGGTTCTCCCAGGGGTCTGTAGCTTCTGACCCGTTGAAGAAAATGTGCTGTTCAGGTGTCGGGATACTTGCACCTTCCAATGCCCCAACTGCCTGGGCCCAATAGAAACATTTATCTCTCTTTCTCCTTGAATCCAGGCCCAATCCTCCTCCCCAGTCACATAGGGCTCAGAGGCAGGATGCTAAGGGTCTCTAGTCAACCTGCAGACTCCGGAGCCACTGCTGGGCTTGAGCAGGTGAGCAGAAACACCTTACCACTAGAGCCCCAATCAATTTTTCCTCTTCCCCTCTATTTCTACCTACAGCTGGAGCTTTGTTCCGCAGCTTCAGACAGTTTGTTTTCTTTATGATGTAGACTATTCAGCTTCTGCCGCTCTCTGATTGGCTGGCTGCTGTGCCCAATCAGCATTCAGCGCTTAGCCCTCAGTTTCCTCCTCCTGGCTCTCTCTTTGATAAGGTTTACTTCCTGTTCTGCCTTCAGGTGCTTTGGATAATCAGTTGATTCCCCCTCTTTTTTGTGGCAGCCTCTCAGATATTGGAAGACTAATTGACATTTTGAGAATATGTCATGACAGCATATCATAGGATGATGGTGATCAATCAATAATCAATCTGAATAGACCTGGAAGGGACCATGGAGGTCATCTTCTAGTTCAACCCCCTGCTCAATCAGGAGGCCCTGTTAGACACAAAAATAGTCACAAATTGAAATCCACTCTGAGTTACAAATAGAAAAGAAGTTTATTAGACTTCACAACAAAGTCTAAAAAAATAAGGGTTTGCAAAGCGTGGTGAATTCAGGAAGGCAATGCAATGTAGCCAAGCACTGAACCACACCCCAAATTCCAAAATCACATATTATTATACATCCTATCGCAATCCCCATTCCTTCCCCCATGGCCCCATTGACTTAGGCTTTGGAGGTTACAATCTATCAGAAGCGCCTAAACAGAATACATTATCTCCACCCCTGTTTGCTTACATTATACTAATAAGATCCCTCCCCTACTATCCTGTTTACTCAGACCATATATGTACATGCTTATCAATTCTAGAAGAGAGAGATGTCCCCCATCTTCTACACCTGTTAGATCCAGTAGGGCAGTGGTTCTCAACCTGTGGGTCAGGACCCCATTTGGGGTCAAATGACCATTTCACGGGGGTCGCCAAACAATGCAGTCCGCCATTTTTTTTCCCCTTTTCCTTAGCTGTGCTACTCCCTTTTATTCTATTGGCTTTTGAAAGCCAATAGAATAGACTCTCTTGAACAGAGTCTAATTCTATTGGCTTTCAAAAGCCAATAGGAATTGTCCAGGCTGTCTCTGCCCTGCTGAGCCCGCCAAACGGTGCTGCACCAGTTGAGTAGTCCTTTACTTATGACCGGTTGAGTAGTCCTCGACTTACGACCGGTTGGGGGTCGCGGCATTAAAAAGGTTGAGAACCAGTGCAGTAGGGGTACCAGGTACCAAAAGGTACTTAAAAACAATTCCTAGATGGTGACTCACACTGGGCCCCACGGTAACTCCTGTTCTCCCCCCTTCCTCCACCTAAGGCTTGTATGTTCCCTATATACTCAAAGCATCTACTCAGGCAATTGATTATACAATGCTAATTACAAAATATAAAATATGATTACATGATAATACTAAAAACATATATATTTTTATTTTTAAATTTCCTCCACAGCCCTATAGCATCCCAGACATGTTGCTGTCCAGTCTCTTTCTAAAAACCTCCAGTTGCTTCCAGCTGGAGGCAAAGCTATTCCACTGGCTAATTGTCCTCACTGTCAGGAATTTTCTCCTTAATTCCAGCTTGCTTCTCTCCTTGATTAGTTTCCATCCATTGCTTCTTGTCCTGCCCTCAGGCGCTTTGGAGAATAGCTTGACCCCCTCGTCTTCTTTGGGGCAACCCCTGAGATATTGGAACACTGCTATGATGTCACCCCTGATCACCTCCTTCTTTTTGTCAAACTAGGCATACCCAACTCCCACAGCCATTCTTGTCTTCTTGATCACCCAGCCATAAAGAAAGCATCTTAGGCATATCCCTTTCACTATTAACAACACAGGTTGTTCTCCAGTTATGTATTTCCCACATTATTTTGTCATCCTAGAGGAGGAGGCTTTCTTGTTCCAGCAATGTGAGCAAACCCCAAATGAGTCCAGCTTTGGGGGCAGATTCAGAAGACATATCACTTCAAGGAGACCTCCCTCAAAGCAGTCTGCATCTCTTCCTCTGCTCAGCCTGAAAAGTAAATCCAAAAGGAGGGAGATGGATTTAGCAATCGGTATACTTAACAGTTTGGTCAATTGGAAGACAAGCTTAAGATACAGAAGGACCTGGACAGACTTGAACACTGGGCACTATCTAACTAAATGAAATTCAGGGGTGAAAAAAGCAAGGTTCTACATTTAGGCAAGAAAAACCAAATGTACAGGTATAGTATAGGGGGTACCTTGCTCAATAGTAGTAACTGTGAGAGGGACCTCAGAGTCCTAGTGGACAATCACCTAAATAGGAGCCAGCTGTGTACTGCAGCTGCCAAAAAGGCCAACACAGTGCTAGGCAGCATTAACAGAGGGAGAGAATCAAGGTCATGTGAAGTCTTAATACCACTTTACAAGGCCTTGGTAAGGCCACACTTGGAATACGGCATCCAGTTTTGGTCAGCGTGATATAAAAAAGATGTTGAGACTCTAGAAAGAGTACAGAGAAGAGCAACAAAGATGAATAGGGGACTGGAAGCCAAAACATATAAGGAACAGTTGCTGGAATAGGGTATGTCTAGTTTAACGACGAGAAGGACGGGGGGGGGGGAGGAGGACAGCATTGCAGTGTTCCAATATCTCAGGGGCTGCCACAAAGAAGAGGAAGTCAAGCTAGAACAATCTGCCTCCAGAAGTGGTGAATGCTCCAACACTGGACGTTTTTAAGAAGAGACTGGACAGCCATTCATCCGAAAAGGTATAGGGTTTCCTGCCTGAGCAGGGGGTTGGACTAGATGACTTCCAAGGTCCTTTCCAACTTTATTATTATTATTATTATTATTATTATTATTATTATTATTATTATTATTATTATTATTATTATTATTATTATTATCGATCATCGCACAGTCAGCCAGATGGTCAGACTGGATTTGGCATTTTGTCTACCTATCGAGTCCTTACCCAGGACCTGGGATAGGCAGATGTGGATGTTTGATGGTATTACAGATATCGTTGCAGGATGGAAGCAGTTCCTAATAAGGCTCCCTTTTGCAATTGACTAATAGCGAATTTGTCAATGCCAATTGTGTTCACGTGGTGCTCCAGTTGTTTTGGGATTGCACCCAAGGAGCCTATGACTATTGGTACTACCCTTGCTTGCTTTTGCCACAGTCTTTCTATTTGTAGGTCTTTGTATTTTGTTATCTTCTCCAGTTCTTTCTCTTCTATTCTGCTATCTCCAGGTGCTGCCACGTCCACTATCCAGACGTTTTTGTCTTTCTTATCGACAATTGTTAAGTCTGGGGTGTTATGTTGCAGGTGCTTGTCTGTTTGAATTCTGAAGTCCCAGAGCAGTTTAAAATTATTATTATTATTATTATTATTATTATTATTATTATTATTATTATTATTGTCATTGTTGTTGTTCTGTGATTTTCCACGCCAAAGGAGAAGATGCTGGATGCAAAGCAAAGTTAGTTCCAGATCTGTGTGAAGCCCAGATGTGTGTGGTTTAATCCACTGCATGCCTGTTTCAGAAAGTAGTTATCATGCTTCAAGGCCACAAGGCTTATATACAGAGCTCTGAGTATCCTACTCTGGTGTCCGTTCTCGTGGAGGGGGAGAGAAGAGGCTTGGTGTATTGCAGCATGGAGGAATTTACAAGAGAGACAGACGGACCAGGATCGGCTGGAAGTGAAAGAGGACTCTTATCTCAGTGTGGCTGCCCTTTATAACAGCAACTTGTAGCCTGCCAGTGTTTTGCAAGCTGCAACAATTTAACAGCAGTTTAAGGGAAACTGATTTAAGACAAAGGGTTGGAAAGCTCACTTTCATCTTTCTTGATCCTGGTGAGAAAGCATGGCTGTTTTCCAAATAAATCTCAGGAATTATGAAAACCACAATAACAGAAATGGTAGAGGGTCTCCTGCTTGAGCAGGGGGTTGGACTAGAAGATCTCCAAGCTCCCTTCCAGCTCTGCTATTCTGTTCTTTAAACAGCCATATCATAATACTGATGAAATTATCTAGCCCTCTTCTCAAACATCTGCAAGAAGGAAACCAACCTCAGAGAATGCCCAAAGCCCAACAAGTACCAGTTAATATATTTTATTCCCTTTAGTTGAGACCCAAACACAAGGTTGCCTGCAGCTAGCCAGGTTTTACTCAAAGATGTCAACATGTGAATCCTGCATCATGAGGCAAGTTTTGTCCCTAAGACACTGATGTGAGGAGTGGCAATGAAGGTAAAACGGGCTGAGTTCGTTGTGAAATGTGGAGAGAAAGATCTGGGCACAAATAGGGGAGCAGCTAGGCAAAGAAAAAATAATAAAGAAATGGATCTATGCACAAAGAAGCAGTGGAGAAACACACACACACAAGTTGAACTATAGCCAAGCCAGTTTCCAGCCTTTCCTGAGAGGACCCATCATGGCCGCCCTCCCTCCCCAAAGACACCTCAACTCTTCCCGCCAAAACCTGACAGGCCCCGCTTCTTATTGGCCCTCGGGGGTCAGGTGACTCTGGACGGGCCTCTTGATGGTTAGTTGGCACTCAGACTGTCATCTGTCATGGAAGGACCGCCTCCCTGAGCATATAATAGGCCTTTTGCTCCTTCTTCCCTCCCTTTGTGGTGGCCCCCAGATTGATCCAACTGCCAATCGAACAGCAGCGGCCAATCAAAGAACTGTTGCTAGGCAGGAGGCGAGGAGGGAAGACAAGATGGCTGCCTGAAGTTCTGCCACCACAGGACTCATGAGGAAGAAGCTGAATAAACAGAGCTGAAGCTCAGGAATCGAAGTGAAGACTGGAACTAAAAGATAGACTGCCCTGATGAGGAGAGGCTCTGGAAAGGAGGCAGCAGCTGAAAGAAATGGGGGGAGAGAGGCATCTTTGTCCTTCCCTCAGACAGGTGTGAGGGAGAAGTTCTCTCTGCCATTTCCCTCAGGTGGAGCAAAGATTTGGGAGAAGAGGAGGAAAAAGGAGCCAGGAAGGCCAGCCAGGAGCAAACAAGGGGGAAAACGTGGAATAAAAGCAAAGACTTGGACAGAGCAGAAATAGAAATCAGGAATTTAAATAAAAGAAAAGAAGATCCAACTCTGGGGAAATGGCACAGTAGAAATAATTAGGGACTAAGACCGCAAAAATAGAGAAGCCAGCAAATAAACAAATTAATGGAGATATAGAATAGAAAAAATAGAATGAAGTTGGATTTTTAAAATATAGCGTGGCTAGATCCCATGGAAAATAGTTACAGTTTTATTAAGATTCATTTTCACAGCAGTCTTTAACTTCCTTTGTTTAATTTTTTAGTGTTCCTTTCTTGGCAAAATAAAAACACCCACTCCCCTCCCACTGAGGGGAGATACAAAATCCCAAACAATTGTCCAAAGTTTCATGTCTTTGTTGTCTCCTTTGAGCAACATAAATGCAGATATAGGCATGATGAAAACCAGTCAACAATTTTGTCATAAATAAAAAGTGGAAAAGTATCGTAGAGAAACTTCCAGAAACTGATTGCAGAGCAGACCATGCTGTCAAATGGATAGGTTAAAGCTGAAAGATTAGAATAAGGACATCAGCAATATTTTATTATTGTTTCTGAATCCTCAAGAGGAACAAATCACAGCAAAGTCTGGATATCTCCCCAAATTGACCGGTACTCGGACAATTTAGTTCTCAGTCATATCAGCCCCTCATGTCATCCTATATTCAAAATCATATGATGCAGGAGACATTTTATTTATTTATTCAGCTTGTGTGGCTACCCATTTCACCAAGTGGCTCTGGGCAGCGAACAATCTTAATATAAATTAAAAATAGATTTCCATCATAAAAATAGCACAGCAGCCAAGGAGTGTTTTACAGTCCATGGTTGTTCACACCACCAGTACAAAAGGCCAGCAGGATCAGGCCATCCTGATCTCTGGAGGAAGAATGCTCCATAGGACAGATGTTACGGCAGAAAACTTAACTATTGCTTGCTGTCATTCCAGAAGAAGAGATCTCTCAGAGGCAAGGGGGTCTAATCCATCCCCCACTTGAAAATACAGCATGGGCTTTCCTCTGAGGACACTACTCTTTCCTTAAGAGGGAGAACCAACCACATGAATCCAAGCCCAATCACAAAGCCCAGAGAAACGGGGGCATAAAACCCCTCTGGGTTGCAAGACCAATGGGTGCCCCCAGCTGCGAAGATGCTCAGGGAATGGGCTCCCCAAATATTCTGCAGCCACTGAAGTTGGCAAGAGAAAGGGAAGAGCCTCCTCCTCCTCTTCCTCTTCCTCCTCCTCTTCCTCCTCCTCCTCCTCCTCCTCCATCATGCAAAATATTCCTTCCACCACCTCCTTGCCCCGTTCAGAATGCAGCTGCACATCTGTGGCATTTGCTGCACCTTCCCCAGGAAGAATGTCCCTCTCGGCTGCATGGAAATCGCTCTGCCTCAGGCACATCCTGTCTGTGATGCGCAAAATGGGATGAGGTAAGCCAGCAAGTATCCATTATATTGATTGGGGTGTTATTTACTTCTTGATGGTTGGTCTGATAATGTTAATCTTGGAATTAATCTATGCTCACCCGGGTGCTGATTGCTGATGAGGAAGTGTTTTGGTCTTTTGGTTCCCTTTTTGGCTGGCTGATTGTGTCTTTTGTGCACAATATGAAGGTATTGTTTGTGTGTCTATTGATGGCCAATTTGTCAGAGTGCCAGGCTTCTAGAAATTCCCCACTGAGTTGGGACTTGACTTGACCTAGGATGGTCACCATTTCTCAGCTGAAACTATGGCGAAGTCTGTCCATATGCTATGAAATCGAAGAGTTTTCATCGTGTCTTCTGCCATGCCCAGTGAATAGTTGTCAGTTTTCTTATTTGGGGGTTCAAATCGTCCAGTTCAGCTTGTGTCCACTTAATATTTCCAGCAGTCTATTGTACCACAGGGTTGGCCCAGTTATTGATGGCGTTTTCACTGTTCGGTTTTGTCTTCTCAAGTCTTCAGATGAATTCTTCGCTAGTCAGATTTTTAACTTGATGTTATCCAAAAGTGTAAAATTCCTAGATACTTGTAGGCTTCATCCTGAGGGCTCCTGGTGGTTTTTTTTGGCATTTCCCTTCCATTACCGGTCCTGAGCTCAGGCGGCTTTATTGCTGCTGAAGCACATTGCTCTAGGCCAAACTCCATGGCTACATGTGCGCCACAAACATCTTTGGTGTTTGTCAGTGATGGGATTTTGAGTTCTGAGTTTTCCATAAAGCTTCAGGTCATCCATGTAAAGCAAAGAGGACAGGAAGACCTGGAGGAACGTTGTCCATGGGGTCGCGATGGGTCGGACACGACTTCGCAATTAACAACAACAACAACAATTCATTTTTTTTTTTTACTGCTGCTCGATAGCCAAGATTTGTTTTTTCTTCAGCATCACAAAGTTGTTGGCCCATTCTGTTGTGAGGAACGACAATTCTTAGATGAATAGAAGTGTGTCTTCTAAGACAATGATTAAGACACAGAGGGAGGAGCCACCACAGGGAAGGCCCTTCTTCTTGGTCCCACCAGATGGACCCCCTTAGCAGAGAGGACCCATAACATTCTCTGCCTCCCTGCTCTGGTGGGTCGGGTGGACGTAACTGGGAACAGACAGTCTTTCCAATAACCTGGTCCCAGGCCACGCAGGGTTTTAAAGACAACAACCAGCATCCTGAATTGGACCCAGAAGCAAATCAGAAACCAGTACAGTCCCTGCAAGAGGAGTGACACACGCGCAAATCTAGACTTGCTAAAAACCACGTGGGCCAGCGTATTTTAGACCAACAGCAGCTTCTGGATGCCTTTTAAGGGCAGCCCCATGTAGAGGGCCTTGCAGTAGTCAGGACGGAGGGTGTCTGTGCTGTGGGTGACTGTGAGCAGGGCTTGTTGGTCCAGGAATGGGTGTGACTGATGCAAAACCTGTAGTTGCTTACAGGGTTAAGGCTTCTATATGCTACAGAGGGAGTCTTTCCAGTGAACCCTGAATAATAAAAGCTGCAATGAGCCTTGATTATCTGCTCTGGGTTTTCATTCTGGACCACTAATTCAGCAAACCTCCACTTACCACATCTCAATAAACTGTTTCAGACACTGTAAGATAAGTTTTGTCGAGAGGATAAGGACGAGTAGGAAGCCGGCAGAGAAAAAGAAGTTGGCAAAATATGGTTCCCACCATGCATTTATTAGTGCCAATGCCGCTGGGTTTGGAGATCTCATACTCAGATTCCACCATCTTGAATTAGCTAGTAGAACCAGATGTCATTTGGTCTCATCTTACAACAAAAGTATCTTTTCTCTGCACAAGGAGCATCATGCCAACAGTTCTTAATTGAGCAGGGAGGTACGGTAACAATGCAGTTTTCTTTATCTCCACCATCTGGTTGCCCTCCACTCCAGTACCTGAGGAAAAAAAAACACAATACTTATCAGTCTCTATCTAGATCTAGATATGTAGATCTAGAGCAATGGTTCTCAACCTGTGGGTCGGGACCCCATTTGGGGTCGAACGACCATTTCACGGGTATCGCCAAACAACGCAGTCCGCCATTTTTCCCCCCTTTTCCTTAGCTGTGCTACTCCCTTTTATTCTATTGGCTTTTGAAAGCCAATAGAATAGACTCTCTTGAGTACAGTCTAATTCTATTGGCTTTCAAAAGCCAACAGGAATTGTCCAGGCTGTCTCTGCCCTGCTGAGCCCGCCAAAAGTCCCATTCTGCAAACGGTGCTGCACCAGTTGAGTAGTCCTCGACTTACAACCGGTTGGGGGTCGCGGCATTAAAAAGGTTGAGAACCACTGATCTAGAGATATAAAGGTAGAGATCTAGGTCTACATCTAGATTTAGTCTGGATCTAGATCTTTGTCCTGCTGCCAAATCACAATCACAATGGGTTATTGTTAGATTAGCATTTTCTGTCGATATGAAATACACAACTTGTTATTGGCAAATTTACAGCAGGGCATTGGGATGGGGGGGAGAGAGTGGATGTTGGGACCTCAGCATGAGGTCCACGGGGACTTCTAGTGGTCAAGGGTCAGGGGAGATTAGGGGTTATATTTCATCTTGACACATCTGCGGCAGAAGAAGTCCTAATGAAGGAGAATCTTTGTAGCTCGGGGTTGAAATGTCCTTGGTGCTCTCTTCTCTTGGTGGTTTTCTTGCCGATGTTTCATTGCCCAACTAGCTAACATCATCAGGGCTAGTGCCGGCACTGATATTACCTCGTTTGGGTAACAAAACGTCTGCAAGAAAACAGCCAAGAGGTGAGAGCACCAAGGACCCCTCAGAAGAAGATCTGTTCCCAGAAAGCAAGTGGCCTGTTGCAGCCTCTGGAAACAATTTCAGGATGAGGGCCACAGTATCACTGGATCTATCAGGGCAGGGATCTATCAGCATTCGGTTACTGGTGGATTCATTTACCAGATCAGCCTTGCAAAGGCTTCCCAACAGCTCGGGAAACAGCCCAGTTCTTTTGGGACAATGCTTGTAGATGCAAAGGGTTGGCCAATCATGTCCTTTTGGCTAGACTTTTGAGGGTTAGGACCATGGATGATTGATTCGTGGTGCTGTCAGCAGATTCCCAGAATTTCTAGGGGATCTGACTCCCCTTCTTTCAGCCCCATAATTATTTCCTTATCTCCAGCAAAAGCCCTTCTGCTATAGTGGTGAAGGTGCTGGCCTAGAAACCGGGAGATGGTAAGTTCTACTCTAATCTTATGCACAGAACCCAATTGGGTGACTTTGCGCCAGTCACTCTCTTCCAGTGCAGCCCACCTCACAGGGCTGTTGTGGGGAAAATGGGAGGAAGAAGCAGTATTAGGTATGTCTTCCGCCTTGAGTTATTTATAAAAGTAAAAAAAGGAGGGATAAAAATCAAATAAATAAACTTGGATTCTATTCCTGAACCACCATGATTCTGAAATGCCTCTTGGGTGCTTCTGACACTGTTGATTGATGTGGCTTGTCAGACTTCCTACCTTTGTGTGACCATCTGTGACTGAACACTTGAGACTGTATTTTGCCCTTGCTGAAGGCACTGAAAATCATGGTTAGCAGCTCTACTGGTGCGTAAATTCCTGTTGCTTGGTTTGGGGTACATAAGTTCCTGTTGCTTGGTTTAGGGTGTCCCTCAATCTGAGCTCCACTTTACTATCATGATGGGTAAATTCAACAACTGGTCTGCCAGGACTGAGCCAGGTTTTGGGGGGAAGGTGGCAGGCATGAAGTCCTTATGCACAACTTGTCACATAATTGTAATCCGTTTGAAAACTTACAAAGTTCCTGCAACTAATCCATTTAGCCACAACAGCCCACCACGAACACTGGCGTTCTTATAGAGTCCAACCCAATAGTCGCGGTTCTTTTTAAGTGCCATATTATCTATAAAGCCCTTGAGGAAAGAAAATTAGATTAGATAGATGGATGGATAGATAGATAGATAGATGGATAGATAGATAGATGGATGGGTGGGTGGGTGGAGGGAGGGAGGGAGGGAGATAGACAGGGGAGGGTGAGAGGGAAGGAAATGGGGGAAGGGAGGGAGAGAGACACACAGAGAGATGATATAAACTTTATTGGAAATTAAGGTTTAAGGGAGGAACATATGTGGCCCATGATTTCTCCCCCCCCCCCCATCCCACTAAGGACTGACTGAGCTGCTTCCCTTCCCAACTATCAGTCTTTGTGAACCTTCAGGGGCTTTGAGCATCTATGGATATAAAGCAGTGATTCTCAACCTGTGGGTCGGGACCCCATTTGGGGTCGAACGACCATTTCACGGGGGTCGCCAAACAAGGCTGTCCGCCATTTTTTTCCCCTTTTCTTTGGCCACGCCCCTGGCACCCGGTGATGTATAAGTGGTTGGGGGTCACCACAACATGGGGAACTGTATTATGGGGTCGCGGCATTAGAAAGGTTGAGAACCACTGATATAAAGCAACTGTACACAGGGGCTTTATGACAATTCATCATAGTTAATATTTTAATTTTTTAAAAAATAATTAAATTGAACTGTTGAATTGTCCTGTAGCAATGTTTCCCATGGCAAGTTGGCCATGGCGAGTTATCCTGTGGCAAATTGGCTGTGGTGAGTTGGCTGTGGCAAATTGTCCCATTCCAGTACAGGGGACGGTCCTTGGGTGGACCCTGGCTCACAACTCCAAGGATTAGTATATGAGGAAGGGGTTTCAGTCAGGTTCCTTCTCCCTTCCCGTCCCTATCCTTTCCTTCCCTTTTTTGTTTTGCTCACCATCTTTCCTTCCCTTCCCTTTCCTCCTCCCCTTCCCCTTCCCTCCCTCCCTTTCTCTCCCATTCCCTTTCTCACTCTTTATCTTTCTCCTTCCTTCCTTCCTTCCTTCCTTCCTTCCTTCCTTCCTTCCTTCCTTCCTTCCTTCCTTCCTTCCTTCCTTCCTCCCTCCCTCCCTCCCTCCCTCCTTCCTCTCCCTTTTTCTCCCTTTCTTTCTCTTCCCTCTCTCTCTGTCTTCTTCTCTCCCTTTCTCTTTCTTTCTCCTCCTTCCCTTCCTCTCCCTTTCTCCTTCCTCCCTCCCTCCCTCCCCCCTTCCTATATTTTCTTTTGTTCTGCAGAATATGCAGCGCAGCTCCCCTTTTCCTGTGCACCCCAGGAGGCAGGTGTGGGCTCTTCTCATCTATCCTTCCAAAAGAAAATTCCCTCTAAGCCCCTTTCAGCTTCCCAGCAAATCCCCTGCATTCTTCCCTCTTGGGTCCTAACCAGGCCTGATCACGGATGCCCCCCCCCCCGCCCACGCTCTCTCTTGCCCTTATCACTCCACCGGCCAACACAGAGAAGCGGCTCCAGAAACCTTCAGCATCCGTTCCTCCCTTCTGCGTCTCTTACTCTCACTTGCTCTCCTTCTGTTGTCTTGGGGATCCAGGCAGCTTCCCGGCTGCACCCATTTTCAGCCACCAGCAACTGATTTTCAGTTTGGAAAAATAATTGGGGCTTTTTCATGAAATACCTATTTTAGAAAAATAGTGACATATATGATTGTACTCACTTGTTCTTCACCATATCTACAAGAAACCAAATCTGCAGTATGCCTTGTTAGACAGTCTTGACGAGCCTCCTTCCAAGTTTTCCTTTCATTAGAAAAGTAGTAGAGATTTTTTTCGAACGCATGCCAGGCTGGAACCATTTCAATAAGAATTTCTTTGAATCCATAGAGAAAACAAAAGTATTACCTTAGTTAGCGCAAAAAATTCATGAGCATATTCTAATCTTTAAAATTGATTCACCATTCAAAGTTAATTGTATACTTAGGTTGAAGTACAGTGTTCTTCCTAAAATTTCAGGAAGTATTTCAAAACAGTTCTCTGTATTTTTTTTTAATTCATTAAATTTATTTGCTGCCCATTGCGTGGCTCCAAGTGGCTCCAAGTCATTAGATGTTTCATTGTCCTTCAATGAGGCACTGTTCCGCTATTTTTAAAAATTATTTTAAATAATAAGAACAACTTATTATTGTTATTCTTGAATATCATCGGCACTGACAAAATGCCCATCGGTCAATTGTAAAATGCAGCTTGTCTTGGAACAGCTTACATCTTGCACCGATCCCACCAAACAACCAGATCTGCATATCCCAACTCTTTGGGAAGGACTCAGTAGGAGGATAAAAACGCCAAATCTAGTGTGAACATCTGGCCGACTGTGCAATAAACCAATACTTATAATATGTTTTTCTCCTCCTGGACAATCCTTCAGGATTATTAAATATTTGCGAATGCTGCCTCTATTTATTCCATTTTTCAACAAAATGTTTAAATTTAGGGGCTACTATTGTGGAAAAGTCAGATATTTAGGACTTCTCTCATAAAGCTTTGACTGTCACATGATAATGGGGTCTTTATCCACTTCACTAATGTCTCGGAATAAAAATTAAACCAAGTATAGATAGTCCTGGACTTACAACAGTTTGCTTAGTGACCGTTCAAAGTTGCAACAGTACTGAAAAAAGAGACTTATGATGATCATTGTTCACACTAATGATTGTTGCAGCATCCTCATGCTCATGTGATTCACATCTGGATGCTTGACAACCGGTTCATATTTATGACAGTTGTAGTGCCTCAGGATCATGTGATCCCTTTTGCAACCTTCTGACCAGCAAAGTCAATGGGGAAGCCAAATTCACTTCACAATCCTATTACTACCTTAACAATTGCCACGTTTCACTTAACAACTGTGGCAAGAAACATCATAAAATAGGGCAAGGCTCACTTACCAAATTTCTCACTCAGCAAGATAAATGTTGGGCTCAATTGTGGTCATAAATCGAAGACTATCTGTATATACTATTGCAGGCTCAATAGAAGGGTTACTATTTGGCACCCTTGAATGCTACTGCCTTGTTAATTATATTCCAGAGTTTTGTCTATATCAATGCAAAAGGAACTTTGAGTATAGAGACCAAATTTACTAGCTATTTGGAACCAACAGATATCATAAGCTTTGATTAGATGTTTGAAATTAAAGATTATAGAGCATTTTGAGATTCCAGAAATGCTTCAGGAAAGGGAATTTCAGATTGCTTATTCAACAGTGTTAGGCTTCAAGATTGCAGACTTGATTAACTTACTAAGTTCTTGTTCTAGCTCTTCGTTCTTTAGGGTCCAATTCAACAGCTTCAATGTAAAGTGATGAACTGCAGCAAGGACCTCCAAATCTAAGAGATGTGAAGTAAAAATCTACAATAAGTATCAAAACATATAAGGAACAATTGCTGGAATTGGGTATGTCTAGTTTAACGAAGAGAAGGACAAGGGGGGACATGATAGCGGTATTCCAATATCTCAGGGGCTGCCCCAAAGAAGAGGGAGTCAAGTTTTTTTCCAAAGCACCTGAAGGCAGGACAAGAAGCAACGGGTGGAAACTGATCAAGGAGAGAAGCAACCTAGAACTAAGGAGAAACTTCCTGACAGTGAGAACAATTAACCAGTGGAACAACCTGCCTCCAGAAGCGGTGAATGCTCCAACATTGGAAGTTTTTAAGAAGAGACTGGACAGCCATTTGTCTGAAATGGTGTAGGGTTACCTGCCTGAGCAGGGGGTTGGACTTGATGACCTTTAAGGTCCATTACAATTTTTATTATTATTATTATTAATAATAATAATAAATCATATCCCAATTCTTTTAGATTCTGAGAGATTGTGAGAGAATATGGTGAAATCCTGGAAGATTTTGAATGAACAACAATCAACCTACATGAGATTTATGAAGTCCTTATCCATAATTATGTATAAAAGTTTAGACATTTGAGGATGTTCTGTTCAACAGGCAGATTGGGGTGGGAGCTGACCTCAGAAAACGTTGAATTTATTATGTTGCCAGCTCATACAGCGGGGGGGGGGGTGGCTGCTTCCATGCATTCCTGCATCCTCTCTTGAGCCAGGGCCACGTGCAACAGGAGGTTGCCTTGCTAGGAAGCCTGTCAACTGGACATCTCAACTTGCCCAGAATATCCTAAGCAGGCTTGAAGTAAAGTGGCCCTGGTTTGCTCTTTTGGCAGACTAGCAAATGTGTGTCCAAACCTGAGTGCTGTTGCTGACCCCACTAACAGGGAAACCTGCCTGTGGCACAGGTGCTATTAAGACTGGTAACCGAGTTGCACCTTCTCCAGCCTGCTCTTAAAAGCTGTCCCGTTTTATTGCAGCCAAGCAGCTGTTTCTGAACCTGCTGGCTCCTTGCTTACCAGTTTTGTCTAATAAACTTGGATCGTAATCCACAGCAAATTGCCGAATTGAAGCCACTGCTTTTTTAAGCCCCTCACCCTTATTCACTTCAACTTTGTCTATAAAAGAGAAAGGAGAAAAAGTAGAGTGTTAATTTCCTCTCCCAATGGTCATAATTGAATATACTATTATTTTGATTATTATTATCTGCGACAACCTGGTAGTCAAAACCTCACGGGCTGCCCTGCAAAATAGGGTGGCCCCCAACAGGTGCACCACCTTCCCTCGGTTGGGCTTTTTCCAGAGATATAAACAACAACAAAAAACCTCTTGAAGAGAATAATTCTGTGGACTTGCCCCATCATGGCCCATTGTCGGTTTGATTGTGTACTATAGAGAGTCCTCAACTTACAACCACAATTGAGCCCAAAATTTCTGTTGATAAGTGAGACATCGGTTACGTGAGTTTTGCCTCATTTTACGACCTTTGCCACATTTCTTAAGTGAATCACTGCAGTTGTGAAGTTAGCCATTTGGGTGTTAAGTGAATCAGGCTTCTCCTTTGACTTTGCTTGTCACAGGGTAATCACATGACCCGGGGACACAGCAACCGTCATAAATATGAGTCAGTTGCCAAGTATTTTGATCACGTGACCATGGGGCTTCTGCAATGGTCATAAGCGTGAAAGCCTGCTGTTGTAACTTCAAACAGTCACTAAGTGAACTGTTGTAAGTGGAGGACTTCGTGCATTTTATCTAATACATTTGTATCCGACATTCAGGGTGGTTTACAGCTCTTGAAAAGTCAAATGATGAAACATAAGAATAAAGGTAGTACAATTAAAACCCAGTCCCAAAGGTGCTTCCTCCAAAAGACTTTCGGGGTGTTTCTTTGAAGACATTTATCGTTAACATCATTAACATTTTCAGCTATCAAAAGAGGGTCCCCGGCATCGCAGATCCTTGATGTTCCTTCCCCCAGTTTGAAAACCACATCCATCTTCTTTCCATCCAGTGTCCCTTCAGACGTATTCAGTAGATAGGTTGAAGAAGAAAGGAGATTGCCACCGGTTGGAAGCAGCCTGAACATTCACTCCCAATGTCCTGTGGCTTCCTGGCCGTGTGCTGGTTTTGCATGGGGACCATGGGATCTTCCGGAAGATATTCTTATGTCTCCATGCACAGGCTGACATGATGAACAGCCGCAAAGGCCTTGGCTTCCTCAGCGATCCAGCACGGATCAGAAAAGGGTCTCCTGTTCCTTGGACTTTTCTAAAGGCACCTGAAATATCTTCTTTCCCAGGAAAGGCTCTGATCGGTGCTGGATGTCATAAGCATGGAAAATTAGAGATGCTTTCAAAAGCCAATAGAATAAAAGGGAGGAGCACAGCTAAGGAAAAGGGGAAAAAAATGGCGGACTGCGTTGTTTGGCGACCCCCGTGAAATGGTCGTTCGACCCCAAATGGGGTCCCGACCCACAGGTGGAGAACCACTGCTCTAATCGGTGCTGGATGTCATAAGCATGATGGTAGCATGGAAAATTAGAGATGCTGTACGATGGCTGCATGATCAGCTGCGTTTCCTCTCTTTGGGGTCGGTATGTATGTTGACCTCTCCCAGTCTGATGACCGCTGCCTCGTTTTCGGGATTGGCCAGCATCATTTACAAATTCTTGTTCTGTTGCCTGCAATATTTCTGTAGGAATTCCCTCTGACTTAACTTCCTTCTTGTACGAGAGATGCTTGTAAGGCGGGAACAGCTTCTTCAGCATCTTGGATGTTGACCTCTCCAATCCATAGACTCTCCGTGTATTCCTTCCTTCTTGGTTTGATCTCTGTGGCATCAGTTGTTATTATTATTTATCTATTTATTTCATCAATTAATCTATTTATTTGCCACCCACCTCACCACAGTCGCAACAAATCAGCTATGATTTGGAGTTTGAAACATCCTCCTAGGTTGAAGTAACTTTGGAAGACTTTCTTTTTCTATGTTTGTTTCCATCTTCAGTGTCTTTACAAATGTCATTAGAATATTGCTTTTTGTCTCCTATAACTGAAATCCCTTGCTAAGTTCCTTCTGGATATTTTTATGTTTCTTGGCTTTGGCTTCTCTTCTTGGCAATTCCCACCATTTGGGTTTACATTCAGTTTGCTTTCGTTTGTTTCCTGATCTTTGTCAGTCTCTTTTCACATTCAGCTTAACTTGATACCTACACCTGAGCATTCTATGGAGATTCTCAGTCATCCAGGTCATCGTTGTCCCAAAGGTGCTTTTCCCCAAAAGGTAACTGGACTTTCTTGGTGTTTTTTTTTTTTTTTTTTTGAAAATGTTTTGCTTCTCGTTCTCTTTTTCAGAACTGAAGAAGCTCCTTGCTCTTCTGGTGGCCTCAACCATCATTTCTTTATGCTGTTGTCGGGTCTCTTTGATGTTGTCTTTCCATCTTCTTTGGGGTTTCCGCTGTGTTCTTTGATCTTCTCCTCTTTTTGTATATGTCTCATACAGTACGCAATCCCACGACATCCTCTCCAAGTGAGCAAACCACTTTATTTGCTGTTTTCTATGTAGTTTAAGATTGGTTCTATGCCAACTGTTTCCCTTATGATATTATTAGTCACCTGAGTTAGGATGCCTTTCAAAAGAGAAATTGTGTCATTCTAGTTGGTACAAGCATCAGAGGATTTGGGATGTTGATTTCAAGGAAGTTGAAAAGAATTTACTAAAATATCACCAAAGCTATTTTCCCTAAGCTGGCAAAGCAGAGCCAATGAAGGTTTCCCGATTGTGAAAGAGAGAGACTGAATTGTTCCCTGGCCTAATTTGTTGAAATCTGTGGGTGGTAACAATAAAGGAGAATATTTGTAGCTCAGGGTTGAAATGAGGGGTCCTTGGTGCTCTCTGGGTTGTTTCCTTGGAGACATTTCATGACCTAACTAGGGAACTTCATCAGTGCTAGTAAGGAGTTGGGTCTGCTCTCAATTTATACTCAAGCCACTAGAATACAGAGTCTTTTGCATGTGGGGAGAGAAATCAGTGCTCCTGTTGAAACAAATTCCAGAGGACCTTCAAATAAAGCCTTTATTGATCTCTTGTGAGAAGACAACTTACACAGATAGCTCATCAGCACAGCAAGAAGGAAGAAGAGGACCACCAGTATTTTAGTTCTTTGTTTGCCTTGATCTGAATCCAGGTAGTCACCGAATCGCTCGAAAACATTCTTTGGTGCTAGAAGAAGACAAATGGGTAGCTTAATCAATTGTGAGGCTGACCATTCCTTCTCCCTGAACCCTGCTCTTTCCTAGAAGGTCCTCTCATGCATTCCAGGCAAAGGACCCCTCCCTTTGCCTATTGGCCCAAGAATGGTTTTATATCCTTTAACAGAGATGGAAATGTTGAGCAACTTTCTAAGCCTGTGCGGTGAGAACTCTACTTTTGCCACAGTTCATATCGGCAGCCTTGGAAGGGAAGACATCACATTTGGAATTTTTTTTTTAACTTAAGTCAGATTAAAGGGAGGGAGGAGCTGCTCTACATGGCTTCAGAAGGTCAAAAGAAGGGGCTCCTGGAAAGAGGTCTCCACCAATGTCAATAGATACATTGACATCAATCCAATTTACCAACTGCTGAGAATGAAGGAACTACTTCAACCGCAATCCCAAAGGCACAGCAAAAATCACCCCACAGCAAAAATCACAATCCCCTACAAGAATCCAGACCACATCCCGACAACAAGAGCCAGCCAAACAAACAACCAGAAAGCAGACCATGACTCAGAGGCAATGAAATGAACAAACACCATTTGTACCACACAAACGATACTTAAACACCAAGGACAATGGCCCTGCAACAACAACCAGCCAATCAAACAGCCTGAAACCAGACCATGACTAAGAAACATCTGGACAAACAACACCCACATTAATTTAAAGGAAAGTGCTCCGACAGAGCACAATTCAAAGCAGAAGAGCCCCTCCCCCTGAATGGAGACAAAACGTTTGCAGCCAAATTGTCAAGTCAGAGATCAAACCTACAGCCCAGGTCTCCTTTTGACTAGACTCCTCTATATTTTCCTTTCACCTGTCTCTAACAGCACCCATTGCAGCTCCTCCATTCTATCTGTAAACACCCCCTCCACCTTCCTAGATCTTTCCCTTTCTCTTTTTGTTCCACTTATTTGCGTGTAGCAGATCTCTGTAATATATGCAATTCCAGGAGGAGCCTGTGTTGCCAGTCCAGGACAAGAAAATGAATATATAGCAAGGAAAAAGTGAAAATGCATGCAGGGTGATGTACAAAACATTTTAAAGTGGGAAGGAGAGGAGGAGGAGGAGGAGGAGGAGGAAGAAGAAGAAGAAGAAGAAGAAGAAGAAGAAGAAGAAGAAGAAGAAGAAGAAAAAGAAAGAAAGAAAGAAAGAAAGAAAGAAAGAAAGAAAGAAAGAAAGAAAGAAAGAAAGAAAGAAAGAAAGAAAGAATCTTCAGCTTGCAATGCAGGTAGAGTTGCTTTTCAGAAATAAGCATCCGGTAATATCCGGTAATATGACTCAGAAGCTCTGGATAGCACAGAAGGTAGCAGATGGAACATCACCATTAATCAACACCAGACAAAGCCAACAACCTTCATCATCAGCACCCAGAAGACACTATCCAAAGGACCGCCAAATTCTTGCACTTAGATCCCTGAAAAAATCTTTTTATGGGATTGAGTAGTTTGGGAGTACACATCCTCTAGACTTAACTTCGATGGAGATGTTATGGAAAAGGAGGCAGCATCTGCAACGCTTTGTAGAAAGAGGTGGGAAATAAGAAGAGCTTAAGCAACATACGTGGAGGTTTAGGAGGTGCTTTGGGTGCCATTTTATCTTCTTAGTCCAAATGATCATTCATCCTGTATTGGAGTTTATAGAATATGACACAGGTTATTTATTTATTTATTTAAAAAAACTATGTTCAGAAATATAATATACTTCTTCCTCTGGAGTTAATCTTTTATTAAAAACCCAGAATCCAGACCTCTGAAGAATCCAGACCTCTGCATGGACCATCCAAACTTTGACAGCTAGGTCCTCAGTCTGCAAAGTATCTTAACTGGCCTTGGAGTGATTCTTGGGCTAGTTCACTCTGGCTGATTTCTGACTGTAGAGCCTTTCCTACAAAATCGTAAATTTCCCTCCCGTTATCTAGGATGTGAAAAAGAGAATGACTGCTAGGACCGACATCTTTCTTCTCCTTGTGCAGGATCCTTAGACCACTACAGGGAAATTGAGCCCTGAAACCTTTGTAGAAATCAGCGGAAGGATTCTCAAACGATGTGAGGGTTAGTAAACTACATCTGAAGCCTTTCCACAATTTGTCTGCGATATCCCCACCCATCTTGCGAGTTCCTACATGACATCTGCACACACCAAGAGGCCCAATCAATAAGGCAACTTTTAGATGTGCTTACTAGTTCAGAATAAAGGAAGGAGATGACACCGAGGACATCCTTGTTGCCAGCAAAAGATTGAAATCAGACTGCCACTTGTCCAGTGCAATGACCAAGTGGAGCTTTGTGAGTCAGAGCAAGACCTCTGACCTCAGTTATTGTATCATATTACATCACAATGGCTTAGTCAATCAATCATGTCAGCCCAGCAGCCACATGTGAAGATGAGTGCTCCAGGAATGCTGCTCACCCCACCTCATTCGTACCTTCCCGGATGAGCTCAGAATTTCTCTCAGCCAAATTGGCAGCTGTTTTTCTGATGATGTCAAACGTTCCAAAATCCCTATTCCAGTTCCCTCCTTGGCCTTCTTTGAGTTGATGATGTTGCTGTCTAGCTGCAATGACGGCAATTGCTCTTGGATTCTTTGTTACGTGGGGAATCCAGTTGTCATAGTTCTGATAGACGAGACCAAACAAATCAGAACTCCGAGGCTAGAGATTTCCTCAAAGGACTTGTTTATTGATTACATAGTATCAGCACAGTCAAAAGTGAAACCAAGTTTGCAATCCCCTTCCAAAGAGAAACACTACTACAAAGTTAAACCTCCCACCCCGTGGCTATGCAATCAGCTACTTTTCCCAGTAGAACAGCTTGGCGGGATTTCTAACCAAATGCTCATATGCCCCACCTAATTGACAGAAATGAACCTGGCTCCCGTGGTATAGTGAATTGTTTAAACTAGCAAAAATCCTCGGAACCCCCTTCCATTCTTGTGGCAACCTAGAATGAGCAAGATGGCTGCCGCCAGGTTCGTTGTAGAGTTGACACCAGCAGTAGGTAGAAGCGGTTCTACAAATTTCTCTAGAAGTGCCACAGCTGGTGTACACCGCTTAGAGAGTGCTTGTACTTAAAGCGGTATATAAGTCTCATAAATAAATAAATAAATAAATAAATAAATAAAGGACAGCGATGGGGGATGGCTGTAATCTATGAACCAGCCCTATGGAACCATGAATGAATTTTCCTTGAAGGATGAGCTTCTGAGAGAGTTGCCCACATGTTGGCTTTGACCACACCAATCTACCGGTGCTTGGATATACCAGCAGTAGTATTTTATGCATCTACTTCTGCTTTTCTCCTTGACAGTTTCCTATCAAGAGTTCTGAATTGAACTCTAACAAAAGCAAATTCTGCTGTTTGAAGTGGTTAATGATTTTGATCATCATGGAATTCTTCATCAAAATCTGTGTTATTTTTTAAAAAAGATATACAGTATATATGAACCTGAAAGAGAAGCCTGATCTGCTGAGATAAGACGTTCATAGCATTGCTTAATTTGCCAGGGGCGGAGTTGTATAATTGGATGTCATACTTCACACCACAACAACAGATAACCTCAACCAACAACCTCATGTAGATGTTGAATAGGAATCAACATAGCAGTTGCTGGGGGTGGGATCGCTCCTCTCCAAACACCACTGACTGTTATCAGGATTAGAACAGGCTACCTGATGAGGTGACAATTTTATCCATGCAATCTTTTCCGACTGTTGACGTTTCTCTGGACCAGGCCTCTCCACGTCTTCTGATCTTGCACTACTTCTCTGAACTGCTCTGTGCTCTGGCTGGTGTCAGCTTTGAGGGCCTCCACCACCGTGTTCTTTGGCAGCCTGGTTTCCTTTTACTGGTAACTCTCCCAAAGATAATTGCTTTCTCCAGTGAATTCCCATTCATGGCACAGCCAGAGTAAGTGAGATGCCGTTTTGTGACTTTTGGGCTACCTGACACTACAGCATATGCCCAGCTGCAAGCAAGAGGTTGGGTGTATTGCAAAGTGCATCAGAAAAAAAGACCCATGTTTTGTCTTCTTAGTTGCTCATAGCTGCTCCGAATTTCAAGGGGGTTCACTTAACTCACCTAAATTATGCTGCAGCTCCGGAACCCCAGAAGCAAATACCAGCAAGGATATTGTTCCAGACTCCAGGAAGAGAGCAGAAGAGAAAAGAAATGTGAATCTAGGAAGAACTCCAAAGAGCAACTTTAATAGACTGTGAGGCAGTGGGCCACATAGCAGTTTAATTTTGGTGTTTAGGCTCCTGCAAGTTTTGAATTTGGTTTGTTTTATTGTATTCTTATTCTTTCTTTACTTTCTGTCTTCCAGAAAAGCACTATCTCAGGAAAAACTGGTGCTTATGCTGGAGAATGTGGTCTGTTTGCAATTGCCCAGGTGTAGGATGCAACAGGCAGTGGACTGGCTGCCTGTCAAAAGCTCTTGAATAGAATAGAATAGAATAGAATAGAATAGAATAGAATAGAATAGAATAGAATAGAATAGAATAGAATAGAATAGAATAGAATAGAAGCTGGAAGGGACCTTGGAGGTCTTCTAGTCCAGCCCCCTACTCAAGCAGGAGAACCTGTACCATCTCAGAGAGGTGACTGTCAAGCCTCTTTTTAAAAAATCTCCAGTGTTGAAGCCCCCACAACGTCTGGGGGCAAGCTATTCCACTGGTTAATTGTCTTCACTGTTAGGAAGTTTCTCCTTAATTCCAGGTTGTTTCTCTCTTTGATCAGTTTCCATCTGTTGTTTCTTGTCCTTCCCTCTGGTGCTTTGGAGAATAACGTGACCCCCTCTTCTTTGTGGCAGCCCCTCAAATACTGGAATAGTGCTATTGTTGTGTCCTGAGCCTGCAAATGCAGGCTCGGGACATTGCAAGGGTCCGGGCTTTGCAGAAGCTGCCCGGGACCAGACTGAATGGCGCCGGCTTGCGTGCATGTGCAAGGCGGGAAAAGTGCCTGTGTTCTGTTGCCACTGTGTCCGGGGATCTGGGCTTAAAAAAAGGAGGCCTGTGTGCCTTTGCTCGTTGTTGGAGTTTTTACTGGAAGCACAATAAAGAGTTGTTTGCCATCACTTCGAGGACTTAACACTGGCGACGAAGGTGGGATCCTTCACAAGATAATCAGAAAGACACTGTAAAGACTCACCCAAAGAAGTCCTGAAGAGGGAAAATGGCATTAAAGTCAGCATCCATCCTGCCAGTACAGCATCGCTGGAGGGTGAGTTTGGCTGAAAGACCCTTTCCCTGGAAGAAGCGAGTAGTGAAGTGCAAGCTACAATGGCGAAGATCGGCCGTTTATCAGAGTTCGACATCTCACACACGGAAAGATGGGAATCATACGTTGCGAGGATGGAGACCTATTTCAGAGTCAACCAAATTCAAGAAGATAGTTTGAAGGCTGCTACCTTGTTGTGTGCCTGTGGACAGGAAGCTTTTGAGATTGCAGAAAATTTAGTGGCCCCTGCCTCTCTGGAAGCTGTAACATACACCGATTTAAAGAAGCTTCTGAAGGAGCATTTCCAGCCCAAGCTGTCCGTCATTGCCTGGAGGCACACGTTTGAACAAAGGGATAAGAAGGCAGGGGAATCCGCTAAGGACTTTATTGCGGCCTTGAGACGAGCAGCCAGAATGTGTGAGTTTAAAGATTTGGAAGAAAGGCTGCGTGATCGTTTTGTATGTGGGTTAAGGAACAGAGACTTACAGCAAAAGATCTTCACTAAGGAAGATGTCTCTTTCCAAGATGCTCTGCGAGAGGTTACAGCAGAGGAAGCAGTAGGTGGGGCAGTTAAGAATATGTGGCCCACCAGAAGCTCTCCAGAGACTGTTGCAATCCACCAGGAGAACGTGCGAGAAGAGTTGGAAGAAGTTCCTGAAGATGAGGTGGACAAGCTTTACCAGGCAGCTGGAAGGAGACAGAAGGAACGTACAGAAAAGGCTTCAACAGCCCTTCAATGCTTTGGGTGCAGAGGACGTGACAAATGAGCAGACTGCCGGTTCCATTCCGCCATTTGCAGGGCATGCGGCAGGCAAGGCCACATCGCATCCGTCTGTTTGGGTTGTCAGAAGGTACAACCTAGAGAAGAATTGCATCTGAAAGGTACCAGGGTCCCCAGACAAAATAGGGTGGGTTTCTGTGCAACACGCAGAAGTGTTCTAAGGACAGGCACACATAAACCCCTAAAGAAGAAGCTGTCACTTAAAGTAAGGTTGCATGGGGTTCCTTTATCCATGGAATTGGACACTGGGTCCGCTCTCTCCATAATTTCCCTCAACACATTCAGGAAGATTTGTAGCAGCAGTGGCCTTCGAGTTAAACTCAGGCCATCACAGACTTTCAGAATTCTAAGGTGTGTGTTAAGGGGGAGGCCACCCTTAAGGTTATTAGTTACTAATGTATTTTGTTTTATTTATGATTTTGGATGTCTTAGTTGTCAACACAAGGAGAGGAACTTATGGGTGGAGGCAACCTCAGGCACTCCCATTCCATGCTTGACTGTAAGGAAGTTGACACTCTTCCCAAAAAAGAAGAAGACTGGAGGTGTCAGGATTGTTCCAAGCTAGGGGGGAGGGGTGTTGTGTCCTGAGAATGCAAATGCAGGCTCGGGACATTGCAAGGGTCCGGGCTTTGCAGAAGCTGCCTGGGACCAGACTGACTGGCGCCGGCTTGCGCGCATGTGCAAGGCGGGAAAAGTGCCTGTGTTCTGTTGCCATTGTGTCCGGGGATCTGGGGGTAAAAAAAGGAGGCCTGCGTGCCTTTGCTCGTTGTTGGAGTTTTTACTGGAAGCATAATAAAGAATTGTTCTGTAGAAATGTGTCGTCCTTCTTCGCCATCGCATCGAGGACTTAACAGCTATCATGTCTCCCCTATTTCTTCTTTTCTTTAGACTAGTCATACCCAAGTCCTCCAACTGTTCTTTCCATAATTCCACCTGAGCCACCTTTATTCTTTATGGGTACCAAGGGAATGAATTAGGATTCTGTGTTCAAAAGAGGCTTTGTAGGGGTGGCTGGCCAACTTCTGGAGGTACCAGACTATTTCTCAGCTGCCCCCAGTGCATTCATTTTCTCTGTTGAGTCCACCCGCTACAAACACCAGTGGACCAACCAAGCATTTTACAGGCTGGAAACCAAGGGCAATCTTTCTTTGGCATCTCCCGTGTTCTTTTTCTCATCGTTCTCTTGGCCTGTAGGTCTACATCCACCTTTCTTGCCACAGTGGTTAAGTAAATAGTTGTTAAATTAGTAACACGGTTGTTAAATGAATCTGACTTCCCCATTGAT